GGGGGGGGGGGGGTTACAAGAGATCAGTTTAGGAGATCGGTCCGAGGAGGAATGAACATTACAAGTTCGGACATTGTCTTAAGGGCTCCCCCACCTCATCCTCGTGGACAACCTTCAGTACGTCTAAATATTCTTGGCTAGGATTTCTGGTTTTCAAGTGTTAATTACAAACTTTATTCATTTAATTATTTTAATATTCCAAACACTTAATTTATTAATATTTCAGTTTGAGCGTAATTTATTTTCGAAATTCTACAATTTTAAGTCAATTTTTATCTATTCCTCAATTTTATGTTTTGAATAAATTTCGAAAGTAAGTATACGTTCGATGCGTTCGACCTATCACAAACATGGATAGGGTTCCAGGTCCCTCCACTCAGATAGCGCGACGACGAAAAAAATTATAAAATTGGTACCTCTAATAAGTTAGCCGGATACTTTTAACTTATTTAATTTTTTTCTGTACTAATCGTTTGGTGTGTTCCGAAATGAGTTTCAGTAACTGACAGTCACCTAACCTAACAGGCAGTACTGCACTGGAGTTCCATAAAGCTGCAGTGCATTAATGGTGGTGTTGTGAGTTGCTGAAATTGATTTCGGAACACATCCAATCTCGCAAGCCACTGGCGTTGCCCTAATTATTTTTTACAATTTTGGGCAGCACTAATGACCACCAAACATTTTAACTAAGTTATTCGTAACCACCAAACGATTTCGCATCGATTTACCCCCTTATTAAACAAAATCGGTTAATAAATAAGTCTAGCTAACTTCTCGCTAAAATTTGTTTTTAATATTCCAGAAAAAGTATTTGACTACCAAACTTTTTAATTAGACTACCAATCACCACCAAACGGTTAGTACAGAGAAAAGTTATAATAGTTAAAAGTGTCCGGCTGAATCATTACAGGTAAAATTGGTTTCAAGAAAATCGGCCCACTGGGCATTGGCCATTTTTCTACTCATCTCTGGTTCGACTGGCAAGAGATTCTAATACATGTACATGTTTATCCTACATAGGAGATTATTGCTATCGTCATGTATAGATAATATGTTTTATACGTTTTAATCTCGAAGACTCGTCCTCACTTTTCATACCGATACATTTTTCCACTATCACTCTCTATTTTAATACAGGGTCTTACCCGTATTGAAATTTACGGGCTCAAGATACTGACTACTCAATGTGTTATCTATGGAACAAATTTTCTATGCCACGATGGCAAAGCTGTAGTTAGTTTACTCAAAACTTTGTACATGAGAAACCTCCTAAAATAACAGATTTTTTTGTCAAATAAATCATAATTTAATATGCCATATACTGAAGAATACATCAGGAACAAGTTAATCAAAGAACTGGAGCCTTTGCACTTGGTAAGCTTATATATTCTATGTATAGCAATGTATCCTATAATTTTATTGCATGGTAACATTACCTTTTACAGCTTATCAGGATATCTCATTGAAATGTTCAAGAGTTAGAATTTCAGTGATGACTAGTGAATACAAAATTAAACGGATAATATCCCGAAGTCGTTATTGTGCAAACATGACTGCAACAATAAGGATCCTTGTTATTATGGGTATAGTGCTTCTCTTGAGATGTTGTGTGACCTATCATCCTTACAGCGGTCAAGGGAAACCTCCTATGTTTGGAGATTACGAGGCCCAACGTCATTGGCAAGAAATTACATTAAATCTTCCCATCAAATGGTGGTATACTAATACCACAGACAATGATCTACAATATTGGGGTCTGGACTATCCTCCATTAACAGCGTATCATAGTTTGCTATTAGGTTACATTGCCAATGTTACAAATTCTGATTTTGTACAGTTAAGGACATCTCGTGGCTATGAATCTGAAAGTCATAAATATTTTATGAGACTATCTGTACTTTGGGCAGAATCAATAACATATCTACCAGCTATGCTGTGGTTTATTTCTGGTCTAAAAATACAAGAATTAAAAGCGATACAGTTGGATGAAAAAAATTTGTTTGATTTTAGAAAACATGATTTTCATCTAGCAACGATTCTTATATATCCTGGTTTAATATTGATAGACCATGGTCATTTTCAATATAATTGTGCATCTCTTGGATTCTTTGTTGCTGCAGTTACAGCTCTGTTGCGTAATCGTCTTATTTTTGGATCATTTTTATTTGTACTCGCGTTAAATTACAAGCAAATGGAATTATATCATGCTCTTCCAATTTTCTTCTATATACTTGGCAATAACGTGCCAGGTAGAAATAAGACACTAAAGTCTTGTATTATCACTTTGTTTTGTGTTTCATTAACAGTACTGTTAACATTTGCGATCATCTGGGTACCATTCTTTCAGGATAGAGAAACGTTTTTAAATGTAATATTTCGACTGTTTCCAATTGCTAGAGGGGTTTTTGAGGATAAAGTGGCAAATGTGTGGTGCGCAATAAATGTGATTTACAAATTGCGCAATGCATTAAATAATGCACAATTAGCACAAATTTGTGGAGCAGCAACATTGTTAGCAGTTCTGCCATCTTCCATGAATCTTTTCTTTAGACCATTAAGGAACAAATTTATAATATCCCTTGTTAATTCATCATTGGGTTTCTTTTTATTTTCCTTTCAAGTTCATGAAAAGTCTATTCTCCTTGTAGCTATACCAATCCTTTTAAACTTTCATAATGATCCACTGCCATGTTTCTGGTTTCTGTTAATATCTACCTTCAGTATGCTTCCTCTTCTCATAAATGATGGCTTATATATTGCTTATATAGCAATTACTCTATTATATGCAATTTCCACAACATGGGTATTCCCAAACTTATGTAGGATTACAACTTCTGTAGAACTAAAGGACGAATGTGATAAAAAATTAAGTGTAATATATGTGTGTAAAAATTATAGACAATTTGCTGTAGTAGGATTATTTCGTCTATCGATGCTAGGCACAGTAGTTTTATCAATGCTATGTGTTTTGGTAAAACCCCCTAAACGATACCCTGATCTGTTTCCACTTTTAATATCAGTTTACTCATGTGGCCATTTCATAATATTCTTTCTTTATTTTAATTATAAACAATTTTGTATAGGGAAACAATATCCAATGGAAAAAATTAAATCAAACTAATTTTGTATCTTGTGTGCTGTGTGATTTTTGTATGAGATGCTTTGTGGCTCCTTTTCATGAATAAAAGATATTTCTTTCACATGGAAATGAGTTTGATCTTTGTTATCCTGTGTGAACCAACTTTACTTTTCTATATCATCTGGGCCATATGTCTGTCCTATTTGTACCAAATCGAATTGCTCATTGTAAGAAACTTCAAATTAATAACATTGTTTAATTGTAATCATTAAATTGTTATCTTATATGTGGTTTGAACTTTATTTGTTTCAGGAGGTCGAGGATCAATCGGATGGATGCGGTGCTAAGTTTTCTGTAGTTATTGTCTCTGATAAGTTTACTGGCAAACCACTGCTACAGCGTCATAGGTATAATACTATTGTGGATAATTTTTAAAATTTATTTTGAACGTTAAAAAAACAAGAAGTATTAAAACTTGTAAAAAATGTACTATTTATAATTACAGACTCGTGAATTCTGTACTGGAAGAAGAGCTGAAGGAAATTCATGCATTTTCCCAAAAAACTTTGACGCCTGAACAGTGGGAAAAGCAAAAGGCTTAGGGTGAACTTTTCAATGTTAAAATCTAATGGGCAATACAAATCAGTATTAATTGATTTTACATCAAATTTACCAATCTGCAGTTATTCTTCGTACATAAGTATAGTTATTTTATTCTTAATTAGAACGCTATCTCACCTTCAATCAATTCATTCCGATGCAAAAAGTTCGTTAATTGATAAGGTAATACATCAACATAAATGATATGATATCAAATATCACACAATTAAAATACTGCAAATTATAACAACGGAAAAAGATGATTGAGTTTAAAGTCTCCGCCCCAGGAAAAATTATATTGTACGGCGAGCACGCGGTGGTTTATGGTAAAACAGCTGTGGCAGGTACTGTAAATTTACGAACGACATTGCAGTTTATAGAATTACCCCATGACCAATTGAACATCCAATTATCGATACCAAAATCTAATTTACTGTTAAATGTGCAATTGAATCAAATACAAGAATTTTTTTTTGGCTCTGAAACAACACAATCCATTGACACTCACGAGACGCTTTATGCTCACGTACAAAAATTTGTGGAGAAAATTGGATATGTAAATCTCCAACAACAATCTACCTTAGAATCTATTTTTTATTTACTTATTTCTGTATCTCAAGCACAAGCTCTGACGCTAAAGCCTTTCAAATTACACTTAGATGGTGTATTACCTATCGGAGCCGGACTTGGTAGTTCTGCATCGTTTTCAGTCTGCCTTGCAGCATGTTTCATACACTGGTCGCATCTGCAGAATAGTCAAAACCGTATCTTAGATGAAAAATTGTTAGAAAAAATTTCGAATTATGCTTTCAATTGTGAAAAAATAATGCACCATACTCCATCTGGCATTGACAACACAATTTGCACCTATGGATCATTTGTTGAGTTTCGCAAAGGAGAAGAACCTGTACCAATAATCACCTCTAAGAAGATGAGAGTCCTGGTCATTGATACGAAAGTTCAAAGAAGTACTAAAGTCTTGATAGAACGTCTGCGGAACCTGAAAGAAAAGTATCCAGACATTTTTCATCCTATCTTTGATTCCATAGATAATGTCTCAAAGGAAGCAGTAAAAATCATAAGACAAATTCATGATCTACCTGATGATCATAGTGATCTTTATGAGGGATACAAGAAATTGATGGTAAATTATATATTTTATTTTATTGTTAGTATTCTTATGTTCTCAAATTCTTTTTTACTTAATTTTCAGAGTCTTATTGAGATAAACCAAGGCTTATTAGTTGCTTGTAATGTCTCACATCCATCTTTAGATAAAATATGTATGGAGGCGCGACGTTTTAATCTTTCTGCAAAACTCTCGGGAGCCGGAGGTGGAGGATGCGCTTATGTTCTATTAATGCCAGACACATCGGAAAATGTTATTGCCAATTTCTCCGAAAAATTGTCATCTGATGGCTACACAGTACAGTTAACGACTTTAGGAGGTCCTGGAGTCGAGATTCATAGCTAAATGAATAATCATTAAATTCTATGACTAAATATAACTGCTGTGTACCAAGTAATCTTTAATTTCAATATACTAGGAATGTAAAAAGGTGATAATAAAATTATGGTTTTGGAAACAAGAACAAAATGATTCATTCTGATGTCTAATAATATTTAACCCAATGCAAACAACTTATGGCACTACTTTTATAATTATGTTTTATATACACAGTGTTGTAAGAGTCAACTACTAAATTCTCATTTTAAAACAAATATTCATCCATTTAATCACGAGCTTCATCCTTGAGCATCTTTACATCGCCAGTGCATTGCTATCGCCCTTCTTGCCAAAGTATCTGTCAATATAGTGTATCGTTTCGAACACCACCTCAACCATAATCAATATAATTATCATCCACTCCAAACGAACATGATGGCGATCACTCAAATGCGAAGATAATAGTTCAACCAATTCAACACAATGATTAAGTTTCTCGTTCATTACCTGTAAATCCAATTTAATAAATACTAGTGTACTATTTAAAGCATGTATAATTAAGTATATCTTGAAATTATTTAAATTCATAGAGAACTTACTCTTGTACGTTTGGAGATACTAAAGTAACTGCAAGTCTGTTGATAGAGATTCTCCAGCTCCTCCCGTTCCCAATAGAAGTCTGGTGTATCCAGTAAATCTGAACTCAAGTTGATCAAATGTCTCAAAGCAAATAATTCTCCTTGTTTTCTCAGTACTTCCTCGCGACTCATTCTTATTTTTCTCCCAGCCTTTAAATCTTCTGTTATGAATTCGATGGAGTTCACGTAGCGGTCCAATGAAGTTTCCCAGATTCCTAATTTAACAGATTGTACTATGGCATTCGAAAATGTGTACTTGTCCAGATCTGTTGCATCTGCTGCTAGTATAATAATTCCATCCTGTAAATGACTCTTCTTTCTACAAGAGTTCACAATTTAATTTATTAATATACATATAATGTGACTATTTTTTATTCAGTTATATATAGCATGTCCACTTACCCCGCGTCCGTATATGTGTATGACATTAATTCGCTCTCTGCGTGCACCATACTGTCAGAATAACTACAATCTTCGTATGCTTTTAAAAATTGCAAGAGATTTCCACTTTCCAATTCAGTAATATTCCACATTACTACTGCACCCTCACGGAAAAAATAAATTTCACGTGGCTCATGTCCCACCTCATACTTTGCTATAGCGTGTATAACATCTGCTAGTGCTGTAAAACAAAGTATTATTCAATTACTTTATCACTACTGATTATAGATAGTATATGTACATCTATACGATTATTTGCAAGGGTGTTAGTAACGTCACATTTTTTAAAAATTAAGGTGCCGCGGTATTGTATTAAAAAAAACAATGAAGAAACATTTTGTACGGTCGACATTTATTGACTTTGTTAAATACATACAAAATTTTGCATTTTTGAGTACTTAGATGGAAACTGTATAAAAGTAGTTTATTGTTCCGAACTTAAAGATGTACTGTGTACTGTACTAAGTAAATACAATTTCTCAAGTATACAAACTTAACTGTACTGTGTGCTTAAATATATAAAACTACATCAATCTTGATTAAGAGAAGTGTTTTCTATATTTACTATAACGGGGTGCCCGGCTCGGCTTGTCCCCGCTATAATCAATTTTTTATCCATAGAGCAGCCAGGGAGCACTAGAGGGCTAGGAATTTCCGAAAAATTAGGAGTTCTGATCGGGATTCGAACCCGATACCTTCGGACTGCCAAGTCGAGCACTTATCAATGTGCTATTGAACCCACTGTCAGACCTGATAAGTCCTATTTATTTATTTTTCGGTCATTCCTAGGTGGTATCCCCTCTAGCTCTGTAACGCCACGTTACATTACATATACTATTTTTATTTAGAAAAAAAGTATAAAAATATCGCTTTGAATTAATTACAATGAGTAGTATAATAATATTATTGACGACAAAAATCGACACTATTATTACATGTAAAAAAATGGAACATAACAGCTATTTTGGAATTACGATTTAGAAATTTGGAGCTCCTTTATCATCTTTTTATAATTAAAAGCGGTAATATCCGTCCAAAAGAAATCAAATTTCATTTTACTTAATATAAGAAGAAAATAATGAGTACAGAATTTTGTAAAATTATAAAATGTAGTACACCATATAATTTTGCAAAGGTGTACGGTGCGGCGATTTAATAATTACCCAGTGTGGTATAAATACTTCCTAAACCGTATAAAGTATTAGTTGATGATTAGTTTTTAAATACATAAAATGCTTCACGTAATGTATGTTCGATTGGAAGATCTAATAAATCAGTCAATCAGATAGGGGCTATCACATGCACCTAAACCACTTGCTACGCCTCCTTCATCAGCAGTAGCTATTTTTGTTCTCAACATATGTCCCACTTGTCTGTTTATTAATACAGTTTTCTCATCCCCTATAATGACACCAAAAATACCTAACTCTGAAACTAATTCCTTTAATTCAGTATCTGTATCACTGCCTGGTCTAATTTGATAATTTATTTGCAAAGGTGGATCGATTCTGTCCATGAGAATCCATGCAACGCGTTCCTGTTTATTTTTCGTGGATTCAAGAAAGCTCCTCACGTTCATTCCATAAATATTATTGCAGCCACCTTCACGTTGGGGTTTAAGGACAAATTTTTTAGGATTTGCAATACCCATTTCTACGGCTGCATCACCATGTTCATCAAAATTTAAAGAGTATAAGCCTGAAAAAAATTAAAACTGATTATGATGTTTTATCATTAGTATAGATATTTATAAGTCTCATGTAACAATTAGTTTAAGTTTATAAGATTTAACAAAGATTTATAATTACCAGTGAAGATTTCCTTGACACGTTCAATAGTTTTTTCATCTCTAAGAAATCTCGTCACGGCTTCTGGTTTCGCTAATGCCTGCTGAACTTTTTTTGCTCCTGCTAAATGATATTGAATAGAAGGACATTTAATTGCTAATGATCTCTCTATTAGCAATCTAGCATCCCATTCGTTTTTGCTGTAATACTGTCCTGGCTCATAGCCACTTCTATAGTATACTACTGCTATGGTATAGCCATCCATTAACAATTCCTTATTCTGCCCTAGTTTCGCTCCGGCAGCTAGCTGTGTTAAATTTCGCCTAATCACCTTGATGTCAGGGTTTAATCTTCTGATTTCAAATTCATGGAAACGCTGGTCACAAATATTATATGTAACATCTTCTATGACGAATAAAATAACTGCTCTGTAAATATTATGATTATGAATAAGTATTATACAAAATGTAGCAAATTTTATTCATCTGAAATTATTTACTTTTCACTTACTTTTGGTCATTGTATATCTTCCAAGCTTCTATCATTCCTGTACAAATTCCTTGTAGGGCATTATTATCAGGAAGATTTTTTATTTTTTCTGGAACTCCAAGTTCTTGCAGTATAAATTTATGAAGATTTGTTGCAGCAGGACCTAGCCAGCCAAATCCTGACGCTATTGTATTAATTTCCACCTGTTTCCAACAGCAGTAAGGTTGATGATTGTTACAAGTTTTTGGCTTTGGACAACTTGTATCCAACATAAGATCAGATCTAAGTAAACCCAGTGATATTTTTTGTGTAAATCCTTCTTTATATACAGTCTCGTAGATATCAAAAAGCTTCCTTGTAAAGGTATCAACTTCAATTGTTTCTTGTAGAGTTTCTTTTAAAAAGTCATAGTCGTGAGCCACTTGATGCATTAGTCTGTTTAAAATTATCTGTATGCTACATGCATTCTCAAATTCCTTACGAGGAAAGGAGGAAGGTATCAAAACAAACGGTGCAAATTGTAGAGCGTCTCTATTAAACTTCACCTTTGAACGCATACATACACCATGCATCAATGCCCAGTCCTTGGCCTTGTCAATTATATCTTCCAATTCTTCATTGGGCAGTGGCAACGGAATACACAGATCCATGATAACGTTTCTTGTATCACACACTGTATTATCAGATTCTCTTGAAATAGTGAATGAATAAATAGTTTCTTAGTTTGCTTCTTATTATTCTTCTTAAGTTCTTCCACTTGTTTAGTACTGTTTATGTAGTTTGTTGCTTAATTAGAGTTAACACTGATGTTTCAGAAATTGCATGGATCCTACGAATGGAATTATTCAGCACACAAAATAATTAAATTTTATGGCTCCAGTGCTATTATCAAAGATTAAATAACAATATCTTTTTCCAAGTAAGACACAGGAATGTTGTGATATTCAAAATGTCTTCAACACATTTCAGATCGTGATAACATTATAAAATCAGTATTTTATTATTATACTGTAATTTATTTAAAAATTCTACAAAATATATTTAAAAAATAGATTTTAAAATTGGTCTTAAATTTATTATATTTAAATTTTAATATGTATGTGAAACACAACTAGGAAAAATTAATCTTTACGCGTATAATTTATTGAGTAAATTTTAGAATCTTGTAAGTTAGCATACTTTTAATAGTGAAACTTGATCAGAAAAATGATGCTGCTTGTTACTAGACACAGGGTCTGACTAAGACTTGATATTGATTTTCCTGGAACCGGCATTTAAACACGTGCCTAATCACAAAATCGCGGAAAGTAATTAGTCTCGCGATTGACTATTATATTTATGAGTCAGAAGAGATATTTACGATTAATTACGTCCAAGGTAGATTCCCGAATAATGTAAATACGATTTACGAAAGTAGTTTGATGATGAACACATGGTTGGTACAGATACATCTATAGTTACCAATGAGAAAATGGATCAAGATACAAACAGAAAAATTAAATATATATTTTAAAAAATGATTTTCGGTGCTGTGATCCAAGATTATTTGTTTCTTCATCACATATCATTACACTTTGAGTTGTATATAGGATTATATAACATTTTACAGATCATATTTTTAACGAAATCGCCTAAATAATTTTGATTATATATAGGACACATGAAATTGTTATATGATGTAATAAATGTTTTTAGTTATAACATACATATTTAAGAAAATTGTATGTTATAAATATCTCCAATGATATTATAGGATTATATAAATCTGTTCATAAATCATATTTTATGAAATGGCTTATACAATTAACAAATATTGTTAACATATATAAACTTTTGAAGATTAAGCATTTTAATATCATTTTATTGTTAGTTAATAAAAATTAGGAATTGTGTGTGGAAATATATAAAATAAATATTAAAATGACTTACAGTTAGATGTGGTACATATTTTTCTTGGTATATATAAATTCTGCTCTAAAAGACCATCCATAAGTTCTTCCAAATTATATTCTTCAGCAGTAGCCACAGCTTTTACATTCCAAAACTAAAAAAGAAAATGATTTTTGTAGCATATAACAAATTTACACAAGTGTATAAGTGTTAGCTACAACTTTTAATTCCACTCATATAAAGCAAAGTTTGAATTGATTTAATCAAATTTTATTGATTAATTTTAAAAAATTAATCAAGATATACATACACCAGGCAAAGGTCTTTCTTCGTCTTCGACAACTGGTCGTTTTTTTCTTAAGGGTCGCTTTTTCATTTGAAGTACGGATATATTTTCTTGAATACCTTTCATACCACTTAACATTCTCATTTGGTTAATATAATGTATTTGCAGCCTATTTTGCGATAAAGTATTATATGGGAATTGCAAGCCATTGCCAAATGATCGGTTAGTTGAATACATAACATTTTTTGGTGAATTAATAACAACAGTACCAATACTGCTAAACACATTTAAATTCGCAAAAGTAAATGCTTTGGGTATTACAATTCGTTGAAAAGATAAAAATATCATGATTTCCTAACCTCCGTGTAAGTTTTTATTTTAAGTAATATATCGTACTAACTATGATAATTTGTCTACACGAATTTTTGGCTTTATAACACCCACAAATATTTTTCGGAATTAAGGTTTACAGCAGTTTACAGTCTGTCAACTATCATTTACAAATGTACGTATAATACTAGCAAATAAGTAACCGGTCCATTTATATAAATTTTCATTCACTTATGGCTCTAGTGTGCACTACCGGCCACAGAACTAGCGCGTATCATCCATAAACTTTATGTGCAACAAGGTGGATTCCTACTGCTAATAATAAGCATAGAATTTCTCTTAATTATTTTAAAGTGCAATCTACTAAAGAAAATGCATTTATCATCTATATTGTGGAAAGTCAAGCTGCCAAAAGGGCACATATTTAGAGGGTAATGATAATTGCGTATTATACATACAGAATCTGAAACTTCATAACCTCGTAGTATTTTGTTATGAAAATTAGAATATTATAAATGAAAATATTTATACTGTCGCCCTATATTTCATTATAAAATAGTTTTATTATTTAGATTAAACAATTTTTCTTGACTTTTTAAATCTGTAGAACATTACATTTTATAAACACTGTATATTTGAACCCTTCTACTATATGGAGTTAAATAATATATGAGTGTAATGTTTTATGTAGGAAATACCGTTTGGTAAAGAAAGTAACCCTCCCAGCACTTAGGAAAATGAAGCAGGAACTGGAAATTGAAGAAAAGAATATGTTCTACCTAAGGCATCCATACTTGACTGTTGAACAGTCAATTGGACATATGCATGATTTGAAAGAGAACAATCAAATGACCAAATTTAGACAAGCAAGGCTTCAAAAATTCTGCAAGACTGTTACCTTAGCAGACCATTTGAATCACTTGAAAGTAAAAGATGCATGGGAATGAAGAACATGATATTGAAGAGGTACTTTGTTACAACATAATAAAAATAGTTTATTTATGTGGTATGAAATAAATACAATATTAAATCATAGTACATAGAAGTATTTGTTCTATTTCTCCTCTTTTTCATTACATACAATTGAGTCCTTGCCATTACTTAATCCTCAGAAGACTCATCACTGATTATTGATCGCACATATTGTTTTATATTACTGAAAATAATAATTGACATAAGAAGTATACAAAGTAAATTCTAATAATATAGATAATCAATTTACTTTTATACATTACACTATTATACCATGAAGATATTGTATTAAAATAAGAAAAAATTATATTGTAGCAATTACAAATTGTGGGATTATTGATAATTTGAATTAAAGCATTCTTGTTATATGAAAGTATCTTAAATATTTCAGACAATTTCTGTAATTAAATATTTTTGTCCTTGTTTGTCTTATATCATACACCAGTGGTCGAACTAGTGCTAATGTATGATATGACCTTCCTTGTTGATTTCCAAAATATCCCTTGTCCCTGGAAGGTTCATTAGCAATCAGGATCAAAAATAATGCTTCTAATTCTATTGAAATCATATTGATATAAATTGTAATTTAATGATTATGTGTGCATATGTATGAGAAAATAAAAAATAAAATGTAAGTCCAACCTTATGAAAGTCTAACCACTTATATTCATACATCTTATTTTATTTCAATGAAGTATACAGTAAAGCTTCGCAGTAATAGATAGTTGACAAAAATAAATGTCAATAAGTATTCATTTGTAACTAATTCCATTTATTGTAGCCTACTCCCAGATTAAGAAAAATATTTCGTTTTATTCAGAAAACTGATATAGTTCTGTTATTATAAATAAATGACAGCGGGTTGAAATTCCAGAGAATGTACATTCGTCTTTATTTTTCAGTCACTAATTATTTAGTGAACTGAAAATTTGTATGCTTATTGTGAGAACACACGTTAATATGGACAGAGATCACAGGTTCCAGATAACTTCTGTCTGAGCGAATTATTGGGCGTGAGTTTGATTTAATAAGATAATCCAATAAAATATATCTCAAAGAATTTGTTGATAAAATTTGCATGTATCATTTACATAATTTGAATTTGATTGTCGTAATGGAACTACCTATCTATTATATTTCCGTATAATTATACATTATTAAATATTTAGAAATTATTCAACATTAATGTATTATTTTACCTTTATCATCAGGTCTGGGTGTAAATCTTATAAAGAAAGAAAATTATTTCTATTATGCGTTTTCAATACGTATTTCATATGCATGGTAATATTTTAGTAAAATAGAACACTATATTACTTTTAAAACAATAATACTGTAGTAAATACATGCGCGATAATATAAAAAATACTCTGTTTATGAGAATAAAGATAGCATAATTCATTGTTCACACAACCCATTCTTTTTAAATTGTTGTCACAAACTTTACTGCTTTCCTTAGAAATAGTGTAAACCATCAATCAAAAATTGTATGCTACCGTTATTTCTCAATACGAAATATGCATAACATTTAACGCTTACGATTTAATATCAGGCACCGGTGCATTGGATTTTTCAGAGGAAGTATCTTTCTTAATAAAATCCTTGGGTTTATGCCTCATCCATGCAACGGGATCTTTTTCTACTTCTTCTTCAGTCAGCGCTCGACCTTCGTAAAGTAAATTAGCGAAATCCGCCACTATGGGATCTCTTCCCACACTGCTCATAGCTATGACCTTGCCATCTTTGAAGTAATAGGTGAAAAATTTTAAGTCATCAAGGGAACCATGAATTTTGATTTTGTCAGCTTTACCGTAACCTATAACAGTAGTTAATACTTACAAATAATATAATTTGAACAAAACAATATTATTAGCTTAATGTATACGCAGAATTCAATTTACCCGCGTAGCGGTAACTCTTGCCGAATAACGTCGTCCAGAAGAATGGAACGGCTTTTAGGGGTGTAAGTTTTCCACAAATATTTTGTGCGGCTATTTTTCCGTGGTAATGGGCAAGAGGATAATGACCAATAGCTGCTCGTTCATTATTAGAACTATATACCGGTGCGTACACTATGTCTCCACCAGCATAAACATTTTCTATGTTTGTTTTTAAATACTAGAAATATTCCAAACAATAGCGTTAAATGTAGATCAAGTTTTATTTTGTTTACAAATTAAATTTTTAAATTAAAATACCTGATCCGTCACTATGCTACCGTCCTCTTTCATTTCCAAGGAAGAATCCTTAAGCCATTCCGTAAAGAAAGTGGAACCAATGCCCATAATAGCAATATCAGCAGGAAGAACAGTGCCATTCAGTAATTCAATTTCTTTTACAGCAGTATCATCTTCATTCGGTATAAACTTCGCAATATTCGTGCCAAATATGAATTTCACTCCTGTGCAAAGAAACATTATTGCGTAAAAAAATATATCTGTAAACTTATCTCAAAAAAGTTGTATAACTAACCTTTTAGTTCATGCTCCCGTTTAGCTCTTTCACCGATTTCTGGTCCGAAAACAGCCCTAAACGGAACAGTGTCTCGTCCTACGACCGTAACGGATGCAACTTTTCCAATGCAATAAGCAGCAGCTTCCATTCCAATAAAACTTAATCCAAGTACTACTACATGTTTTTCTAGAGAGAGTTGTGAAACAATTCCAACAGAATCCGCATGGTTCCTCATGACAAATATGTTAGCCAGATCAGCACCTGGCACGTCAGGTTTTCTAGCTTTACTTCCTGTAGCGATGTATAAATAATCGTATTTCAATTCCTCGTTGCTACTCAATTTTACGATATTAGCATTGGTGTCTAGAGCTGCAAGAATATAATTTACATTTGAAAAATGTTTCATTGATTAAATATGTTCCCATGTAGAGAGCAATGATAAACGTGCACCTGTAGCCTCCACATTGAGCTTAGTTTCAATTTTATTTTCATCGTAAAACAACTGCGGCCTCAACAGTGCCTTTTCAAGTTCAAAATCCATAGTCTTTGACACTTTGCACCTATCATAGGGTAATATTGGTTCTTTGCAAACCATTACAATACGACCCGTAAAACCTTCCTGTCGCAGAGTTTCTGCACACGTTGCTCCAGATGGACCACCACCAATTATTACGGCCATTTTTTTATTAGCAGCATCAAATTTACACATTGTCTTGGTTCGTTTGTTAAGTTCCAAATCTTTGCGTCTCGCACGTACGTTTACAAGGCCTTTGTTATTTACCGTTACCTGTTACAGGGATGTAATAATATTATTATATATTTAAAGTGTGTAATTAATAACATTTAAATTGAGAAATTACCTGGTAACAGGGTAAAGAATCCAAACCAGGATAGTCCTCTATGTCTCCAGTTTTTATATTGAAACATGCTCCGTGCCAAGGGCATCTAACTCTTCCTTCACCGAGTGCACCAGTATGCATCAGAGCACCATAATGCGTACATTTCGTACCAATTGCGTGTAACTCGCCTTTTTGTTTGATCAACAAAATTTTACCACCGTCGTCTCCCAAAGGCAACATTTTCATTTCATTTTCGTTAATATCCTTCTCATTGCATACGACGCCCTCGACGTAGTCGGCACGTTCTGATATACCTGAAGACCGTAGAAGGAAATAATTATGTATAATTTACATAAATAATTACGGATGACACGTATATTAAAAATCTTTCCGAAAGCATAATTAATTCATTCATCAGAGCTTACAAGAGCAACAACAATTTGCTATATTAAACTTTTCATACAATTCAGACTCTTCATTACACTTTTTACATGACAGCTTAATTCGGTCTTTATCATTGTCCTGACTAGCTGACATTTCGAATGTTAATCATTAATTAAAAAAATATTAATAATAAATCATTTCTGTATAACAAAAAGAGTTCTATGAGATATGAAGATACTAAGTGCTACGTGCGATTGATTGAGGAAGATAACTTTTAAAAATGTAAAAGATAAGGTATAGTATCGAAAAGTATCTAGGGTAAATATTTCTCTTACAGTCAGTTATCACAGTACTCAATTATTCTTAAAAAATAATAGAAAAGTAGTAAACGCAATAGAACATTTCAAATCGATCACGCAGATCCCGCTACAAAATACTGATATTAAGGCCTAACCATAAATAGTCAAAAACAAAATAGTATCATCAAAAATAACTAAATTTAACGTACCATTAGCCGCAGAGTTTTTAGCTCCTGCATTGCGAGAATTCTTGACGGAAAAAGTTTTGCAATTACTCGCACCCATGGTCCATAAATTTTTCAGCAATGTGTTGTTTTTGACACCGTCCGTGACATGGAAAGTACGTATCCTGAGGACATGCGCAAAACTTCATCTACCATCAAGAAACGAGAACAGTATATATGATAAAATCGATCCACGTGACTGTCCTTACTGTCCTTATAAATTTAATTATTCACTATGAATAAACTGTATGGTAGCATACGTTTGTCGATATTATAACTACTGTATCTAGTTGGACCTTTCGCGTAGTTTCAGATGAAGAACAATTTGTATTCTCTCAAAGACATTTTCGTCATATGATTTTATCTTTTTATTAAAAAACGATAACTGTTAGACATTTAGGTATCTTATCTCTTCGTTCTTATCTCATATACAACTGATAATAATATACGTGACAATTAGAAAACTCACTTTTATATGAAGTACATATATTTAACATAGCTTCTAATTATACGGATGATAATAATCAATATAACATAATTTATTTATATGTCTACAAGAGATTTAATCAAGTAGTTAGGTGACTTTTAATATTTCATTAATCTGTAAACACAACAGGTGATTACTAAAATTTTGTTAACAATCATGCCTTTGGATATATATTGAAAAATTACGAATACCCGTGTATATGATGTACAAATAGTAATTCCTTCTAAATATATGATGACTAATCAGGACATTATGACTAATGGGAAATAAAGTGTTAAAAATGTAGCGACTTATTTACGTATATAGGACTAAAGTATTTAAAAGTTCATACATGTAAGGAAATTTTGGCCAAATAAAAACTTTTTGTCTCCCAATTATTTAACGAAAGTCACGTGGTACCTTGTTTTTTTAAATCCTCTATACACTTGTTATACCGCAATATCCGAAGCCAAACTGGGAGAATGCTGTCCACATTTCCTTAAAAGTGAAAGGAAGTGTAGTGGGAGGCCTCAGCCTTGCCGTTGTGAAATCACTCCAAGCCCCAATAAAGTATCACAAGAATTTAACGATAAAAAAATACAAATCCATTTATCAAAAATTGAATCATTTACAGTAGAAAAAATGAATTCATCGTTACAGTAACGCATAGATTAATGTTTTACTATCTAAATTAAACTATTATGAAAGTAAAGGAATTTTCTCCATAATTTAATATTAAACACGATTGAATTAGATTACATCAATTATGTAGAATCTACACAAAATATAAACAATCATCATATAAATTATATGTATATGTTATTAATCGCAGTTCAAAAATAAAAAAGACAAGAACTTTACCGTCGTACCAGTTGTTTTCTCACGTGGAACCTCCAGGGAACATCTATCCGTACCAAAGTTTCGCTTAACTATGAAATATGAAATATTATAAACTTATCCCGACAACATCTGCCTCGTTAGATTAACAATAGGCGTTCTCCGATTTAAAGAATTCTTACTTAGTTTCGGCAGAACAGCAGTTTTACAAATTCCTTTACGGTCCTTGGTTCAATCCACTATGTAACGCAGCTCCTTAACTTTAGTAATCATAGTTCCTGTGCATACACGTACACAAAAGCAATCTGGGACAGTATTACTCACGAGGTCGCGAGTTACTATTACTGTAGTACTTTTCTCTAGAATACCTTTATAGTATACTATGTATTATATATAGTATACCTTATATCGCGATATCCGATCGTAGTACAGTTACATATAGATATCATAAGTATTTAATTGTCTGAAATTAGTAGAATCTGTGAAACATTATCTGATCTGTGAAGAATATTTATATTATGAATTGACTATTCATTATCAAGCGATATGTACTAGGGTCATTAAAAAATTTAGCATATATATAAATAAAATATTGTTAAGGGGTTTGTTCGTAGAGTATTGACGAAAGTTGCATTAATTTCTAAATGATCTTTCATAACAAAGTTTTTGTATGTAATATAGGATTTATCAAACCTATGCATACATATTTAAAAAATATAATATTCTAAGCAATACATTCCTTTTTATTGTAAATTATGCAAACCAGGATGTGTCCTTTTTTACATTTTCAAAGTACTGTTTGCACTTTTGCAAATATCTCGGTGATTTAATCTAGTATCATAAACAATAATAAAATTTACCTTTTCGGTCTGAGTCTGCCACCGAAATCTATCACAATTTAAAGCCAACTAGTCTTTGCGTTACTGCAGCTCGCAATTAAAACTTCTTTATATGCCACATGCATTTCTAATCGATAACGACTTGGTTCGGATCTTATCATATGTCCTCTTCTCGTTTGCATTTAACATGCATTTTTATCCTTATCCTTGAGGTTTTCCTCCCATTCTCCCAACCCGGGATTTTTTCCCCTAATCCCCAAGCTTCCATGCGGAGAAGTAGGGTTTCAAGGGAATAGACGGTGAGGAAGCCCATTCACAAACCTTTTCCTGCCTATTCCTACCCTCTTCGTTTCTTTTCCAACCTTGCAACATTTTTCTTCTTTCATCTTTCCTCTGTTCGTCTTTCATCGTGCTTTCTGATTTTACTTCAGCCTTATACTCTTTTGTTCCGCTAAAAGAACTAATTAATTTCTCGCAAAGGTATAAAGTAATTTTAACATTACTTGTCGGGCTTGGAATACCAGCGCTACGAGTGGCGGTAACTGACACTATTAATTATGACCCAGGAATCCGGCCACTACTATCTGAGACTAGAAGCAAGAGATTCATCTCCGTTCTAATATTACTTACCTTTTTTTTTATATACATTCGATAGTTCACACGTCGCTTTGTGATCACATTGCCGATCACATTGTGTAAACAAAATTATAAACTATCAGAAAGGACTATTTAGAACTGTCATATAGACTGTCACCATAGTGAAGGAAACATGACGTCCTTATACGACCAAGTGAAGCTTTTGTACGATCAGGAATTGTACACAAATGTTATTGCCCTTGTGAGTATTGTGAAACATAAAATGATACTATAAAAAATTATGCTAACTCTGTACATTACTATATAGAATACTGATACATCCAGTGAATTTGAACACTAAATATTTGTGAATGATTTTAGGCAAATTTGATTCTGTCGTTAAGTGATCACAATAGTGAGCTGTTACCTGCACATGCAAAGTTGTTAACTTATGTTCATTGTGCGGATTCCCACTTTCATTTGGGTAAATATCGAAAGGCTGAGTCACTTTACAAGAAATCTTTACAATTTCGGAAGTGCCTCCTTAAATCAAAGGGTGCTACTAAGCCACCACAGGAAGGGCAAAAAGATCTGTTATCAGATATAGATATAAAGTACCAAATACATCTATGTCTGGTTAAATTAAAAAATCCAGAGGAAGCTCTTCAAATACTACAAGGAATACCAGGAAAGCAAAGAACACCAAAGGTATACAATTATCAAGTATTGAGTTATAAAACATTTAGTCTTATTGAAAAATTGAGATTGTTCTTTGGTTTATTCTAAGTAATATGTGATTGTTTATTAGGTAAATATGGCACTTGCAAGGATGTTCCAAGAACAAGGAATGGAGCGTTCTGCAATCACATCATACAAAGAAGTATTAAGAGAATGTCCTTTGGCTTTAGAAGCAATGGAAGGTCTACTCTCACTAGGAGTTAAAGGAATTGAAGTAAATTCTCTCATAGTGGGCTGTACCTCCAATCTGTCAGGATTAGACTGGCTAAATTCTTGGATTAAGGCACATGCACATATTCATAACAGAGAATATAATCATGCCGTTACAACACTAAGGTCATTAGACAATGTAAATTTTTTACGGGATAATGTCACCCTGTTAGTAACAATAGGCGAATGCTATTATTATGCAGGAGATGACAAAAACGCATCGTTGTGCTTACGAAGAGCTAGGATAATTGAACCAGATTTAGTGAAAGGGTAGGATAAATATTTATATAAGTATTTTACAGTAAACAAGTCATATTCATTTGAATTATTTAACATTACAGCTTAGACATTTACGCAGGGGTTTTATACAAAACCCATCATACAAAGGAATTGGAAAAATTAATTTCCATTATAACAGCAACAGGCGAATACACAGCTGAAACCTACGTAGCGATGGCTTACGCTTTGTTTGCCGCTAGAAAGTTGAGTAGAGCTAACACATTCACAGCTCAAGCAATGATCTTAAGTCCCAATAATATTGAAGCAATCATTTTGCGTGGAAACATAATGATTGAACAGAAAAAGTATCAGGAGGCCCTGTACTATTTCAGACAAGCCATGCAATTGAAATCTCATCGTTATGAACCACACAAAGGATTAGTAGATTGTTTTGTTGGGATGCACAGACTGAGAGAAGCTCTAAATATTGCCAGTGGTGCTTGCAAACAACTAGGCCATACACCAAGAGTTCTCACAGTATGACTCAGAATTCAAAATATACTTATTTATTTAAATTTAATAATTAAATAATTCTTTTAAAAAAATTCTTTCAGCTATACGCGTCTGTATTAATGAAAGATCCTGTATCAGTTGGTAAAGCCAAAAATCTACTGGAGAAAGCACTTACGCAGGACGAGACTTATTTGCCGGCTGTATATTTCCTGTCTGAGATTTATGAGCAAGAAATGAATCTCGAGGCTGCTATAGCTTTGCTGGAGAGACAAGCTGAAATACAGCCAACTAGTAAACTTCATCAAATGCTGGGTGATCTTTGGGCCAGAGTGCACAACGAAGATAAGGCATTAGACCATTATGCTAATTCCTTAAAGTGAGCATCCAATATGACACCATTGACTTTATTCCATTGTCACAGTCTTACATGATCTTTTCCCTTTAACAGATTAGATCCAGGTAATGGAAGAGCACTAGAAGGTATGCATCGTTTGGATAGTACTTCCAGCAAATTAGATTCAACGTACTATATGACTGTTGGTGAAGAACATGCTGATACTAGTTTTGGGGTCGGGGACGGTTTACCAGACACAGATAATGACGATGCAGCGGACGAAAGTGAAACTGAAGCAGTATGGTCTGACATGGATTTAGAAGCTAATAGCCAGTAACGAGTAGTTAGCGCATCGATGGGTGATTAAACAAACTTTTATAGGAAGAATTATGTGGGTATGAAGATTTGTTACGTATCGTGTACAAATTCAAATTTAAATATAACATGCACATTGAAAAGGTATTGGTGGAAATTTTGTAAGATTTTGCATCTTATGGCCAGTGTGATGAGTATGTAGGTTGATGTCCTTTAGATAATCATAGCGTAATCTCATAAGTCCGAAATTTCTATTATATATTTCTTTACTAGTTTTTTTAAGCAATATATATGACTTCTATGAAAAAGCATTGGTTTCAATAGCATAAGCTGTGTGACTTTCATTAAATTTAGTTATTTGTTATCTAAGCAATATACGATTTGGTATGCAAGTATTTTTATACAAGCTTAGCATTATAGAAATTGAACTGTGCGCCTGTTTTACAGGTCATGTTAGTTTAGCGCGTTTAGCGGTATTAAACTGAGTTGGGGACAGAGTTATCTTGAAGAGGGCATTTCACTAGTAGTTTTGCGTAATGGCTACCGCTAGGATTCTCGGCCAACTTGGTAAATCATTGATTTAATAGAAATCCAGTTCGAAAATTTGCAGTGCAATTACGATTAAGAAAACTGTTAGATTTTATTGAGACAGTTTTGTATCCCATTATGATGATTAGTGTATAATATTGTGTAACCGATCCTATAACCTCACGAGCAAAGATCATTCTTATACTTCCAAATATATATGTTATTTATTTATATTCCTCACAATATATTATCTATTGATGCGTCTTATTATAATGTATAGAGTAATCATATTTTCACATGATGGCATTTCCTGTATATTAGGCCCTAACTTCCTGAGAACTACTCGCAATGCAGTGGCAACAGGATATGGGGTTCGTAACAAGTATGTCTATGTTAATGCTGAAGAAGAATCTATGACTGGGAAGGACATACTAGAACGTGGAACATTTAATGTTTTTACCCTTGAGCTTTTGCGTGGCTTGGGCATTACATTTGCTCAAATTTTTAAAGAGCCAGCAACTATCAATTACCCCTTTGAAAAAGGACCTCTCAGTCCAAGATTTAGAGGAGAACATGCCTTGAGACGGTATATCTTCATTATTAATTTATTTTTTTTTAAAATAATCTTGTAATATATAATAAGATTCTATGCATTATAGGTATCCTTCAGGAGAGGAAAGATGTATTGCCTGCAAACTTTGTGAGGCAATTTGTCCAGCTCAAGCAATCACTATTGAAGCTGAAGAGAGAGCTGATGGATCCAGGCGTACTACGAGATATGATATTGACATGACTAAATGTATTTACTGTGGGTTCTGTCAGGAAGCTTGTCCTGTTGATGCTATTGTTGAGGTAAAAGTCAAAATGAAGATGCGGGTTATTAGTCATTTTTTTTTATAAGTATACAGATATTTGTTGAGGTATTTCACTCTTTTCTTGTACACAAACTTAAATGAAATAGCGTTTATCATCTAAAATAGAAATTTCTTGACTTATCATTCCAGGGCCCAAACTTCGAATACTCTACGGAAACTCGTGAGGAGTTGTTGTATAATAAGGAAAAGCTTTTGCATAATGGTGATAAATGGGAATCTGAAATTGCCGTTAACATTCACGCAGACCACCTCTACCGTTAATGAGAAATAGAATAGTAAGTTTACATAGTCAACTTGTATGCTTTAAGTCAGTAAACCTTTATTCACAGTGAATAAATGGATTCACCGTAACTTGAAGATGTAAAAAGTGTATATTTATTCTAACAAATCTTTCTATTAAATGAAGAATCCCACATGCGACTGTCAAAATATTACCTTGACAGTGAGCAATGAATAAAATTTCTCACAGGGAACAGATTAAAACTTGTGACATCTTTTTCGTGAATTGTTCTAACCATTTCCACTCTGTAATTAATCCTGTGGTTCACATTACATAAACATATCTATTTTGATAAACATAAAGACGGATTATTTTTCAGTAACGGTAATATTTATTGTTGCTCATGTTACAGTCAGTATTTATTGCAATAATTGCAATTGCATTTCCATCCAATAATTCAATCACTCACGATATTGAATGTATACAGAATTATCAATTGCAACGCACTGACTATCGTGTATATAATAATCGTACGAAGCAAAATTGGATAATTTCCAAAAGATACTGTCCGCAAAAATAATGTTAAATTGAACCGGTTATAAACAGTTGAACATTCCTTCCTCTAATATTCACATGGATATTATGCATTAACAGTGAGTTATTAAGCAGGTGATTAACGGACGGAGCGATATGCGACTAGAAATGTACGCATGATTATTTATATAATAGCTGTAAAACAGTACATTTTTCATAATGGTATGAAAGCTCAAAAATGTTCATTGATAATCAGAGGTTTTCTAAGGCATCTGTTGCTAGTCGTTGTCCCGGCTTCCATATAGTTCATAATGCATATAAGCAAATGTCCATTACTTTTTAACAAAATTTTACTTGCAAAATAGATTAGAGGAATGACTAACGCTTATCATCGGACAAACGGAAATTCAATGACAACATCAGTTCTGTCAGTCATTCCTTTGATAACTTGATTTATTAAAAGTTTGGCAATAAATGACAATATTATGCTGTACAGCCGAGGTAAGTGAGTTACAATAATCGTTTAAAAATTGATTACCCCTCAAGCATCAAACCCTGAAACCAAATCTGCACTTAACTGATCTATATTGTTGCACAGAAATATCTTGAGCAGATTTCAAAATGCTTGTAGTTTTTTTTAAAACATTGAACCATTTTCCCTTCATTAGTACTATAATCAAGAGGATTGTCATAAGCATTACAGTACTTATATTGGCTTACATGTACAGGAAAATTGTTTAAAACTTTTGTTTCTCCACAAATCTACTTTTCTACATGTCTTCTATAAAGTACTACACGTCCATCTGAACAATTGTTGCCATGTGGTAATCACTAAGAATCTGCCAAAGATATTACAACAAAATACAATATACTTTTCACAATGAAACTGACAAGACTCAGTACACAAGGTTTGACGTCACAGAGGTATTAGCACACAGAAGCTTTCTTCGGATTTACAAGTAACATGAAACCTTTTGTAATGGGAAGCTTACATGAGTTCTACGTCTTGAAAATATAAAAAAAGGGTACAACCATGTCTGTTCCAATACTAAGGTATACAGGAATGTCTATTAACAGTATAGATTGATTAATAGCGGCTCGTACAAGTCGCAAATAATGTATAGGAAAGTACAAATGAACTTGAATGAGAAATGGAAAGTTTTGTGGAGTTTTAGTATGGAATGCTTATTATATCATATAAATCTTAATAATTTACTGTACCGCCAATATGCGACATACAAAAGGAATATCATGGTGTTGCAAGATATTTATTGACAATATTCAATTTGCAATGTAGAACAAATGATGCTGAAGAATCCATGTAAGTTACCCATTAACAATTCCAAGTGTTTATCTCTTCATTATCCACCGTGATAACAATTGAACACGGTTAGTAATTTCGAACAAAAGACTAGTGCAACTTCCTATTTGTATAAAGATACAGTACTAGTACTTTTGACTGGCGTTCACCACACAACCCTGATCGATTTCCTCTGTATATAAGTTTGACTACCGTAAAGAATATGGGCAATAAGGATTTCAAAAATTCCAATCACATTGATTGTTAATACGATTTCCATTCTGTTTTTACAATCGTAACTTTAAACGTGATCATTTACACATGTGGAATAGTCTTTTTTTTCCATCGCTCATTTCAAATCCCTTGTAAAATAGGATTTTAATATCAAGAAATAAGCGAGCGCTTTACGGTACATAGAATACACAACGTCTTTGCGACTTCACACTTGGCGATGTGAAACTGGATCAAGGTCGTCGTCTTGATATTGGCGAATAAGAAAAGAAACTAGGATTCGCCGAAAAATTACTTACTGTATAAATATTTACTCGACAAAGACCTCGATCACAATCGTACAAGTAGAAAGTCCTGTCCATCTCTATTTTATACCTACTCCTATTTATTATTATGTTCTAGCAAGAAAACAAAAGTTGTATCTAAACACGTTTTTCCACCTTAAATTTAAATTCATATAGCATACATGGACAATAAATAAGAAGCACATGACATATGATACTCACAACGATGAAAATTCGGTGCGCGTATCACTGTCTTTTTTTTCTTTGTTTCAATTTACTTCATTACAGTTGACTCAAAATAACACGGAATCGTTAGCTATTATGCAAGTATTCTTGTGATCTTACGCAAATCTTATGCTTTCCATTTCTTTAAGCATAGACCTAGCTATCCTATCTACGCAAATATCAAAATGTTAGTAGATACAAAATTAGGCAAGAAAGGCGAGACACACCTTAACAAGTTTATCTATTAGTTTATTATTTATGGTTTGTTAATGGCAATCAGTAGAAGAGTGCAAAATTAAACCGTATATAAAAGTCCTGATTCACTGAAGATATTTGTGAAATTATATTTACTCATTGAATAGATCGATATTAAGAAATGTCTCCTTTTCTCAGCCTTCGTAGAACACTGGCAGATATCTATTATCACCATAATCGTCATTATCGTCATAATCATTCAAGTCTGTTAGAGTAGCACGATTCCAATGCACTATCTTACTTCTTTATCGCGTCGAAACTCACGTTTTTTTCTGTTTAACCCGACCATTTTCGATCCGCCCCAGCATCCCTCTATTTTTGAGCTATTTTATCCTAATACAGCTAGTTCTCAATCCGACGACGGCTTGGTACGTCTGCGATGATGATTGCGCGCCAGCGCGTGAATTATCGTCACCAAGAAGTAGCACACCATGATCATGACGAATTTGTCAAATAACCAGGAAATGGTCGCTGTTCCTTCCTACATTTATTTTCAGTTTTGATTACACGGGGTACCAATTATTAAATAGAAAAATTTCTACAGAGATAGACTCACCGTCGAAGATTTGTCGTGTAACTTTTGTTTTTGTTCCACGAGATACTTCTTGAGCGGAGCCTGGAACTTCGAACCCACAATGGGAATGACAGCCAGAAGGCTGATAAATTTATCTAAGAGTTCTTCATTGAATGCTATTATAACTGCGAGTTGCTGTATATGCATTTTGACTACGGCCTTTCCGATAAGAGTGGCTCCAAAGAATGTCCAAAATGGAATGAGATAGTGGCCACAGGTTAATCCAGCAAGATCAAATAGTGGATTGGGGATCTGCAAGTAATTTAGTCAATATAATTTTCTTTAATAATATAGAAGTGAAAGGTGAAGCAATAAAACACTCCAATATGTTTCATGCGGTGGTACACATAAAATCATGTCTTACCGAAGCACAAGCAAGTATCCCCAAGAAACCAGCTTTTTGTACAAAGTGTTTCATAGCTAGCTTAACGCGCATCACAAGTGGAACATTTTCGCCACTCTCCAATGCTTCAAGAGCCTCTAATTCTTTTAAGTCTTCCTGATCGCAGTCTTTCTCTTTGTCACTTTGGGCACTGGTTCGAGCGGCTCTTGCCATAAAATAGGGTGGCAATTCTCCTAAAGCCGTACCCGCGCCCCAGAGCATAGCCTCGACGCGAACCTTCCTCATGATATTGAGCACTCCTGCTGTCCAGTTAGGATCTATATTAGTGGGACATACTATCTGATCTGGATATGGTGGTTCAGGAAAGTTAAGTGCACCACACTCGTAAGCAGCCATTGTTACAGCTGCTATGTGAGGTCCCAGGTAAAGTACAAAAGTGTGTAATCCAGTGCCTAGACCCACACTGGATAATACACCAAGACCCACCCAATACATCCACCATACAAGCTTGGCTTCCCATGTTTTAAATGTCTGTAGGTGAAAGAAAATACATTAAACAATGATAAAAATTTGAGTCAGCTTATTAGAAATTTACTTGTCCAGGATACTTACATCTTGTTGAGGGCCAGATATTCTACTTAATAATAGAAACAGTATGACAATTAATACTGCGCTGCTTACGGTCCGTCTATAACGTAATGTTTTCTTTGCTAAACTAGCAATATCAATGAGCAATTCCTTTAAGAAATAGTTTAACGTTATGATAGGATGTTGCCATAATGTTAGACACTCAGGATCTATTTCAGCTTCCTCATTAAGTATGGAATTTAAATTAAATTCGATGTGGGATATCTGCGATGTGGCTTTTTCAATTAATCTTCTCTGTGCCCCATTTGCTGAGTTTGATGTAGAATCCTTTCCACGACGAACAGCGGTAGTATTTCCCAACATTGTACCACCTAATCGATTAATCTGTCAATCAAATACAGATTCGTGTTTTACTGGAAGTCAATATTAAATAACAAGCTAGAACCAAAATAGTTACCAAAAAACATGAATAAGTTAATAAAGTAATATGATTATACAGTGCTTTCATTTAAATACAGGGTATCCCAGAATAAAAAGATATGGAGTACACCATCAAGTAGAGGAAAATCCGAAACAAAAAGTCCTGATACATTTTTTTACCAATCTTTCCTCTTAGAGTTATAAACAATTAAAGTTAGCCAATCAACCCGTACCCGTTGAGCATCCAAGAACGCGGTAAGTGGGGGATAAAGGAATGCTCAGTGGGTACAGCCATGCGTTGATTGGCTACCTTTAATTGTTTATAACTTTAAGAAAGCTCGGTACAAAAATGGACCAGGACTTTTTGTTTTAGTTTTCCTCTTCTACTTGATAGTGTACTCCACATTTTATTCTAGGACACTCCATATATCACAAACATTATAGAAGTTTTCATTTACTGACACCAAGCTCTGTATATTCATTGAACTATCAGCACACCATTTGATACAATAATTATACAGGAAGGAATATCCAACAAAAATTAAGCAAAGCAAATAGCCAACGAAGCACCAAGAAGATATAGATTCTTGTGAATTTTTCAATATAATATCACAGTTTATTTACGTTGACTTTACTTCTAGCAGCTCGGTGAGATTCATATCAATAACGAGGTAATCTCTGTGAGGTCTGAGTTCTCTTGTATCATCCATTACTGTTTTATGAAATAAAGTAGAAGTGTTCACAACGAGTGGCGTCGAGTTACTATCGTGTCAGAACCCCTAAGAGGTACTGACCATTGCCCCCACTCAATTTAGTATATGCGATTGAGTCATTATCATTAGAAAATGCGCCGAACAGAGGGTCATATTGGATCAAGGGTCACCTTACCACCGCATAGTCCGCCTGTATTACTGATACAAGATTTCAACGAGCTAGTGTAATAAGAAAAAGAAAGGTCGATTCACATTGCTCAGCATTTTATACAAATGCTGAATACTTCTTTTATAGTATCTCAGTAATGTTTTTACTTACTATAGTGTACCGTGTGACAATACAATAATATACAACTATAGAAACAGTACAGAACAATCAACAGCATGTCTGAGAATTGTTATGAGATTTTTACAACTATGTCATATGTGGTATATAAAGGATGAACTGCAAAGACAGCATTTTGTGGAATTATGTGATCCGTCATAGATAAATGAATTTACAGTTCTTTAAACGTGACTCTATTTTATAAAATCAGTCAATCTGGTCGTTTGGATTAAACTACCAGCGACGATTCTGTTACGAATGACACATTAGCTGCAACGTGGAAATCAAATGGAGGAAGCCATTATGATGGACTACTTAAAAGTTATTATAAATCGTATTTATACTAATTCCTAACTTTTAAAACAAGCTTACATATTACGTTTGCTTCTATAACTGATTTAACGATAGAAGCGAGCAATAATTATATATGCGTAGATCAACATCTACAAGTATAAATGCAGTGAAGGACGTAAACGGTCATATATATATGAAAATAATGATGCAAACTACATTAATGGGATAGAGAAAATCTATTTGAAAGCGAGTTACAGGCAGAAGCATTAGTGCAACACGTGTATATGAGTATTGTGTAATGTTTAATGTATTTTTTTTTTAAAACCCGTGCCACATTTTTTTTAACAGAAAGATGAATTTACGATTAATACAATTTCTTAATAGTTCAAATAACAATTGATAAGCAATGCCCTAGTTGTGACATCTGTGAAATTATACAAAGGCAATAATGCAGATCATTCAACGTACTCCAAAACTAGCCTATAATGTATCAATCAATGAATGTAATCTATAATAGTAGCTGAAAATAGGATGGGGATATTATAACAAAATAAATAATAAAATAAAAATATAGCGCGATGCACGTTGAATAAACAATAGATAGCACGAGCTGCTCATGTTGTGAGTGTCTAGTGTACCATATTTGTCTTGTTTCCCCAAATAGGCAGGCCACGTTCCTTTAGCAAGCTCTTAAGCTGTTCACGAGTCATGCGATGGAAGGCAGGAGCCACTGTGGTAACGCTTGTCGAGCCCCTGCTCCTTGGCTGAGCAAAGTTGCCTTCAGATATTTCTGCACTTGCATTGGTAGCACTTGCACTGCTGGTCGTACTCGCCTTACGACTTACTTTCCTTCTCACCATCCCGAAGCAGGCAAGGATAATGATCAATCTTCACCATCAGCTTGTTTCTGACTGCTTCAGGGAATATAGGAAACAATTGATACCAGGAATTTGGGCTACCTATCTCACTTCTTCTTAACTTTATATGGTTATCATATTACCAAAATAAATATTTCTTATGCTAGATGTTAAAATGATAAAAGAGAAGTTTGTTGGGCGAATTATAAATTTATCATATATATTAAATTATTTCTCATCTCTGATACTTCTATTTGATAAAGAATTATGTATAGTACCTTATCAATGAGATATTGTAGAGATATCTAATATATCATATATGAGATTTACTATGAAACTACGCTCGTCATGATTTGACATAATCAGATATTTACTTTTTTTTTTTCAATGAAGAAATTGGTAAGCAATTTTTTGTCTAATAATTATATGTCTCAACAGTTTCTCATATATAAGTATGTAGTAGATTACTAGTTTCGTCAAAAAGATTTTTTTTCTTGTTAGTAAAGTATACATGGTAGCATATTAATAGCAGATACAAAATCAGATACCCATTGACTGATATCTACGTGTCTTGCAACCACAAAGTACAATCACAGATTTGAAAATTTGAACAATTTTCACAGACAGCATGCACAGAAAGAAGCCTTATTTCTAAACTGTAAATCCCAGATTTCAAAACATTGTCTTACAAATATTTATTCATAGACTAAATTAACAATATTTTGCCAAACACTCAATTGATATTTCTTTGGTAAGCTCCAAAATATCTGTACAAAATGCTCATAAAACCTTGTATAAAACTTTACGACTAGTAATAACGTTACTGTGGCATGTGACATTGATAGCTTAGTATTAATTTTAAAGTACACGTTGTGTAATCAACTCTGACGTGTATAAATGTCTTAGGGTATTTGAAAAATGAGGAAAAGCACTTAACTCTATGTCTGAATATAACTAAACCAAATAAACAGAGTTCCGATTGTCAAAGGAATTTTTTTTCCAGAATCTACGTATTACTTATTAAATATAAAGGTACACCTTTTATCAAGCTTTGGTGTATTCAAAATGTGTGCAAATTATATTTTCTGTAACCTCAAATCCACGCCACGTAAGTAAATATATATCAACCATCAGTGACTGTTCAAAGAGAATAATTGTCCAGTGCACAATTATCCTATACAGTTATAATAAAGTTTTGCATTTCTTACGTGATTCTTATCGGTGACACTTAGACGTCCTGTGTCATCTAATTAAATTAATTGTAAATGAAGCACAACATCGGTGGGAGCCATGAATTAGACTGGTATTCGATCACTGATTTGCCTGATGTCAATTTAGTTCATACAAAGAGAAGTGGAGTTTCTTCGAATTGGATTCTGAAGCGAGTCATTCTCAACATTGCCAATGTGTCAGCACCAATGTTTCTAGAATTTCGAAGCTTTAAACGAGCTTTTCGATAGGCAGAAAATATAGTTGATTAAAGCTGAGCTCTCTATTGGTTTATAAGTAACGTAACAGTTGTTTGGTAGCCAATAGTATACTCTTGTTTGTAAATTGTCGCTAATTGGGAAAAGCCCATCGGAGGTTTAATCAAGTACAGGATGATTATTGTAGCACTTTGCCAATAATTTGTGTGATCAATGGGGAATACTATAAACAATGTGAAAAAACAGAAAATTATTTTTGAATGAACCCATTGGTTTGATTGAGTTACTTTTTGGGTATGTGGAAATCGCTTGAAGTTTTATCTATATGTATTCGTAATGATATGCGAAATATATCTATTATGATGAATTCTATTGATTCTGATAGATTTTAGTTAGCTGCACGAAAGTACTGACACAGGTTATATCTATTCCTTTGCTGACTTCTTTTGTTGTGTTTAATGTAGTGACATATTGTTATATTTAAATGTTTATATAATTTCAGCATATAAATGTTGATTTTTCCCTTTGAAAAAAAGTAAACTAATGTTATTATCATGTCAATCATTACATTGTAGTTCTTTGTTTCAGATTGTCATGTGAAATGTAGATACCAATATGAGTCCTTTTTTTAATGAGTGTCAAACCGATAGACCATTCGATTATCAAAATTCAATAATTAAATGATACATTTGTTTGGCTTTGAAGATTTACGTATATATCCAAATACTATATACTCCAATAATTATGGATGTCACTATAGTATTAGAGGGACATAAATCTGATCAACTTAGTAATATTGGCTCCAGCGATAAGCAACGAGTAAAAGTAGAGGTGAATATAGGAGGGGATGAAAAATGCTTAATACATAAAAAAATGAATGAGTTAGAAACCAATAATATATTATATTCTGATGCACCCTCAAAACTGCACAATGTTGTGGATTGTATAGAGGGCTATAGAGATATAGATCCATGTCAAGTGGAATGTTTCCTATCAGACATACCTAAGGGTAACCAAAAAGAAAACTTAAGTGAAACAAATCTAAAGAAACTGCCATGTCATTTATGCAACATGCAATGTAATTTTTGTTCAACGCACGAGCTTTTGAAGCACTTGAATAAAGTTCATAATATCAACATTATTAATGAAAAATATATTTGTACATGCAAAGAAGTCTTATACGATTTAGTACTTTACAAAGAACATATTGCTAAATGTAGAGACAATCAAGAAATTCCAAAAACCTCACATATGAAGAATATAATCGAAAATATCAAAGAAGAAAACGCACTAATCATTCACGATCGTATTTACGAAGAAGAAAATAAAGGTACTAATGAATTGGATTTGATCGAAAAATCCAACTTAATAATATGTTATGTATGCTATAAATTATTTCCCTGCAAAACGTATTTTACCTCTCACCTGAAACCAAAACATCCGAATATAGTCTGTGATGAGAACTGGGATGGAATATGTTACAAATGTAAAAAGTGTGCAACTGCATATCCTAGTCTGGTTCTTGTACGTGAACACTTTTTGGAAGTTCACAATATAATATACAGATGTTCCAAATGTCATGATATGTTCAAGAATAAAAAATTGTTGAAGAAGCATTATAAATACAGCCATGAAACCGCCTCAGAAAAATCACAAGGTTGCAATGCATGTGGCAAAGAATTAAATAATCTAAAAGCTCTAAGGACTCACATTAAAATGAAACATGGCCGAAGTAACAGGCAAGGATTTCGCTGTCGTCTCTGTGAAGACAAATTCCATACAAAAGAGGACAGGTGAGAAGATTCTTTAACTTCTTTGATAACATGAAAATCATTTGTGTTCATCATGCATAGAAAGCTTCATTATGAGAAAATCCATTGTGGAGAGAGTCCATTCATATGCATGGATTGTGGAAAGGGATTCTCTAGTAAATCAGGATTATATGGTCATCGACAACTTCACAAAAAAGACCAACAATCAACTTGCCAATATTGTGGAAAAATTTTTAACGTAAGTTTTCATTAACCCAAAAAAATTCATTTTGCATTCTTTCAATCTTCCAATATACAAATTTTTTTAATACTTAAATCTTGATACTTAAACAGAGGCGAGACAGCTATCATGAACATGTTCTTATCCATGTGGGTCCTCGGCATCGCTGTCCTTACTGTCCAAAAGAATTTGTGCAGCGTAGCAATCTCATACGTCATATACGAATTCACACAGGACAGAAACCGTATTCCTGCACCTTTTGCGAGAAACGCTTCTCCGACAAGGGTGCTTGTAATTCGCATATTCGGGTTCATACGAAGGAGGAGCAATGTGCCTGTTCATATTGTGGTCAAGTTTTCACCAAGAAACAAAAGTTGAAATATCATATTCGCAAACATACCGGGGAAGGTTTATTGAGTTGTGAGATTTGTGCAAAAACTTTTACAAATACTTTTGCCTTGAAGGAGCACAGAACTATTCATGATAGGCAAACACAAATGATGTGTATAGAATGTGGAAGAGCGTTTAGTAATCAAAAGTATCTAGAAAGGCACATGGCTACTGTACATCCTGGTCCTGAATCTTTATCTTTTATCTGTCCAATCTGTGATAAAGTTTTTTATCAACAGTCCAGACTGAAGTAAGCACCTGGACCTCAATACTGTACCTCAATGTTTGTAAATTTTCATATTAAATTCTCTCTTCTAATTTTATTCATAGATACCACATCGTAACGCATACTGAGAAGAAATATTTTGATTGTGAACTCTGTGGAAAACGCTATAGCACCAGAAAGTCTATGCAGAATCATTTACAACGGTATCATGATCTCCAGAGTAATGGATTGGAATATAAGAGTGCTAAAACTAGTATGCTCGAAGAAGTGGAATTGAAGACTACAGCAGGTGTTGATTGGATATCAAAAAAAGATGGATTAGTTGCTGAAAAGCTGCTTAATGGAAACTGTGAGCAAGGTGAAATTGGAACGACAGACGATGGTAAGAATATAAATTTTGCACGTGGCTCTTATGATGAACGACTGAACGACATAGGGCCGCTCGCGAACATAGAATCCTTCCCAAAGAAAGAAGATAAAAGTTTACTTGATGTCAACTCCGTACTGAATGGATGGATGAATGCTACGTATAAACAAAATCTTTCATTGACGTCCACCGGGAAAATCAATGGAGCGGAAAAACATTGCCAAAATAATTGCGACAAAGCCTTAAATTTAGTCAAATTTACCGCACAATCTGGGAGTAGTAATGAAGATTTAGAAAGTAGTACTTCTAAAGTACTCATAACTCAAGGCCAGTATTCACGAAACGAACAATTCATATCTGATAATCAGAAAATAATTAATGGCGGAGCGCTAACTTTGTTATGTAAAAGAGGTAAAATAAATGAAGTTAAATCTACCGGTTCAAACGAAACAGTGAACTATATCGAAGAGTTAAACGCAAACTCATCAAAAGTAATCTATAATCGTAGAAAATATTTGACAAAACCGAAAAAGTACGTTCCTTCCATTAATGTTGAGCGTGTGGAAAAGCATGAATTAAAGAGTGAATTTGAGAAAAACAGGATAGATGCGTCTAATGTTTTATTCGAATGAATTATATTGTATATACATATACACACACATCATACACGGTGTATTTATCTGAACCAGAATTGAATCGGATAATGAACGATAATGTTTAATCTTCGATCTTAATTCTACTAAGCCAGTAATATAATATAGCTATTCTAATCTTATAGTTGTATACTAAGATTTTCTGCAATGCATCTTAAAAACTCAATAAGGATGAAAAATCAGAAGTACCTACCGTAAGCTACCTCTAATCTAAGATGCCATATTTCTCTTTACGCCATAGTCAGTAACAAAATATTAACTAGGCTAAGCAGAGAAATCTCGTAAATACGATGGATTATTTTTACAACGCGAAAAAGAATATTATAGTGTACACTTTAAGCTGCACTAGATGATTTAAGTGAAATAGTTGGGATCAAGAAGAACAATATGTGAACATTAATAACTAAATAAATTAAAAAATGACAATTTATATATATACATATATAATAGTATTTTTTAAGAAGGGTAGTGCTTAGGACTTGTTGTCTTGAGTATTGGCAGTTATTAGGACACTCGGTATTTGTCAGGGCGGGTCTGATAGCATCTTGGTACGTGAGGTATACTGCCAGGACCATAAAGCGGCACTCACACCGAATTTTCCAACAAAAATTTCGGAGTTGTGATGGGCTAAGAAATGGTTTCGTTAGATTAGATTAGGTTATAACTCCAATGCCACATTTTTCAAGGTTTAGTGTTAAAAAAACACATCGGCTTGCCGTTGTGAGTGCCACACGTCCTCATAACTACCATTTGACAAGTTTATATATATACGGACCAGACTAACAAGTACAAACCAATGTGCCAGAGTATCAACCAAAATGTGACAGCCAATCTATTTATTTAATATGTCTAATCAATAGATATAAGATTTACAGCTATAGTCATACGTACAAAAGTAGAAAGGTACTATTCTTCTATCGCGTATACAGAGCGTCTTTAATACAAAGAGTGAAATCAAAATGAATTTTGTAATTTTTATCTTGAGAAATAAAGTAATCGACCAAGTATCTATTTTATAAAATAATAAGAAAACGTGTTTGTTCTCAATTCGTATCCCATCAATCGCATAGATTGATCCCCAAATAATAATTACTTAGAAATTTGAATAATCCATAACCGTCTCTCACAGCTTATTGAAAATCATTAGTATTCTTAATGGTCTCTATTACACTCGTATTTCAATAGCGCAATCTGTCAAAGTTGCCATTTTCAGGACAGTGAGAGTCGTTCATATCTCTTCTAGCGCCGATATTGCCACTTTACAGTCGCTCATTAAAGCACACAAGCCCCAGACTCAAACTACAAGCTCAACAAAGCAAAGGGTGAATTATTTTCAAAAGTTGCTAACTGACCGTATCACTTGTGGAGCTTACATAGGGGAAATTCTGTTTGTTTAAAAGTGAAAGCGCATATTCCCCGTCGTTGAGAATCTCGAAATCTTTACTGGAACGTCCTAGAATTTTACAATCACGCTCCTGAATTTCGGTTTTTTACGACCAATCCTGAACACGTTTGCCCCCCGCAGTGTAATCATGGCGCAACAGGCCGTTTCGCAATACGTCAATACGAGCACGCAACTTTAAGGAACCGGCTTCTCTGTACGATACAGATGAAACATGTTTTTTCTAATTTCTTTGAATAACTCCAAAGGGAAATAGATTTTTCTATACATTTGAAATTGATAATAAGATCAGGAAATTACTCAAGTAATTTCAATGCCTTTTTCATGTACTATATCATGTACAGAAAAGATATTTCTGAACTATATTACAGTGGAGACTGACATATGGTCCAGATCGATATCTTGATAAGAGACAATTACAAGTTAATAGACTCTTAATGGCTATGCTGTTTACGTGATATATCTATAGTTAGACGGAAGAATAGACCCCATGGAGAAAAGTATTAGTATCCTTATTAGACAAGAAAAGTATTTACGTGTATTAAAATCCATAGTTAAAAGAAGTTTTTTATTTTAACATATAATCCTTACAATTCGCAGAGAATAACAATAAAAACCTTTCAAGATCTGTAGAGGATATTAATTTTAAAAATTTCAGTAAACTTTCAGTAAATTTCACTTTCAGTCTTATATCGACTCAAAAAAATAGATGGAACAACCACTTTATTTCTTAGACAACTTTTGAAATAATTTTTCTAATGATATAGTCTGTACTACGTGAGCATACAATTTTTCTTCTTTTGCGTTACGTTTAGGGGTTTAGTCCCGCTATATACGGCCCTGAGAGTGGCGGCTGTGCTTATAACCTGCCACCCGTATCCGAGGGAGACGCTAGCCAGTCGTCGAAGTAGTAAGACACCTGTCGGTCAGACAGTAGTCTAGTTATTAGTGAGTAGTGGGTAGTCCGTAGTATCCGCGGGATTTTAATAAAATATCCGCGTAAAGAAAACAGATGGAAAAATCGGCTAAACAAATTCTTAAAGAGTAAAAGAAGTATAGAATTTCGTTTGCGTAGAAAATACATTCTTGAATATTTCGAGAGCGCTGAACGTTCCTGGCCGCACGATAGCTAAGTATGTAATACATACATGCCGTGTGTGCTTAATCGTACGCGAAGCAAAGTTGAATTAAGATTTTATTATCTTATATGAAAAGTATATCAAATATTGAAAAGACATCATAACTTACGTGGCTAAAATAACTATTCCTTGGCGAGTAAGTATAGATTTTTATTAATACACCAAGAGCAGCATGCTTCGTTATGAATTTTATCTAAATGGAGTGATTATTATTTATCTGCTTGGCCGTTCCGGCAGGAAACAAGATTTCCAAAATAGTTTACGATCGATAACGCGTTTTTTTTTTTCTTTACGAATAACGTTAAAAAGAAAGCACATATCGTCAGATACAAATATTTTCTATTCAAGATAGAAAAGATACTAAGATCACACACTACAATCACAGCTTACATAGCAATCATGATTAAACTATTCTGCACTTTTATTAAGTTCAGCATGTATACTTGCAACATTGAACAATATTTATTTAAAAAATCTATGAAATATGCTTCAATGGTAACGGGGCTTGGTGGTCGTTGGATATAAATTGCATGAAAGATAAACTTAATAAAATGATATCCACTCAGTACTGGATACACGTAACACGCCCGCATAAGTGCTCGACTTTGTTTTAATTCTTTTTTTTTTTAATTAAACTTCACCAAAACATTATTTTTGACGTGGCAGTTAATGGACGTTGCTGTCATTATTGCCAATGAAACGTACTCGAGTTTTAAAAACAGAATGTACCTACCAATAGAAAATAAAAGCCGAAACCGTCAATATCCCATTCTGTCGTGACTCTAGGATTTTAAAATATTCAATTCACCGCAACACCGATCCATACCGAAGTTCGAGCATAGCAAAAAATTAATGTCTGTGCAGTTTTAACATGCATTAACAAAGGGTAATACGTGAGCAGATACTAAAACAGCATTCAGTTTCATTGTCATATAAATAGTAATAAGCGATCTAATAAGTAACGAACAGAAAGCAATTGCGTTGACTTAATGGATGGATGCCGTGAGAAAGAAAAGAGAGAGAGGATGCGAAAAGATACCCCTGAGATGGAAAAAAGGGGAGAATCCACCCTTAATGAAATTAACTTCGGCCACGTTAAATTAAACGAATGTCTTTCCGATATAAAAATATTCGACGTCTCCTGAGGATCTTATTACATATTTATACATACGTATAATATACATATACGTATATAAAGTTATAAAAATAGCCAGGCAATCTTTTTCACAATTTCACTCACTTTTCACGTATAGTATTTATTATTATCAACTACTAGAAGGTGAACGAGATTAAATAGGAGCTTGAAATTATTACCAGATGGATCATTTGTAATTCTCCAGTATCAGTCACAATGGTCCCACGTAATTAGTATATTTGAAGAGGGAAATGGTAGTCGATCGTTGCTCCTGTACGTTGTTACCTTTAATGTGCCATCGATCTTTGCCATAATAGAAACGTCCCCTAGAAATCATATATCAATTATTGATGCATGTAGTATATGGAACAATAAATATCAGCAATTTGCATGCTTGTATGTACAATTTATTTCAAGGTTCTCGGTGCCATATGCGAAGTTATACTATGAACAGTGTAACTTGGTTCCTTATATCATTGCATAGTTGCTATACGATATTTTCGTTGATACTGGTAAACCAGAAAATAGGAGCAGGATACTATAGCACATCGTAAATCTTTAGGGTGTTGTTAGATTTATGAACGCCAGTAAATAACAAACGTAACATTTAATGGATGAATGTTTTAACACGTTGTAACGTAAATAAAAATTTACGAACCATTAAATTTATTCCTTATTAGTATAGATCGTTGATACAACCCTGAGAAGATTGTCTGCCGGAGATGTTCGTTGAAACGTAAAAATAACAAGCGTTCAAGTTAGTAAATTTTATGAAGCGTGTTTTATTAAGATAGAAATTTTTGGATGGTTTTTTATTCTAAATTTGGTAATCATCTTCGTGTCCGGGTATAAAGTTTAGAATTTCTATATTGCTTTTTTTTTCATTTCTGATATCAACGTCCTGATCGCGGGTAGAAAATCAGATTTGATAAGCTCGGTGCCATTGTTCGCCTAGGGTATAAATAATTCTCGAGAGGTTATGTATATAATAGGACCTTAATAATTCCCCCATTGTTCCCGACCACTAACCTTGCCATTCGAGCTCCCGAGTTATTTCTAGGTAAACCGGTGGAAAATTAAATTTCTTTCATATCTAATCCTGAGAGGTAATAGGTACTGGTTACGACCCTGAGTGCTTCCTCGTGTTCGTCGAGATACAGCCCTGTGCCGACTGTGGGGTCAGGGTCGTCGAGGGTGGCCGAGAAATTAAATTGGGTCACCCGGGCAAACCAAACCCTCCTCCATTACCCTACACTACCATTTCTAGTTCCAACTCCATCCCTGCAGAATCCCATGTAGACCGACTGTACTATATGTACACAATGTGAATATATGTCTGCGCTATGCCACCTGATGCTTCTATTCTTCAGGATGAGGATGAACGAGACGCTATCTCAGTGATGCTGAATATCCTTGCGTTGGACCGCTGCTTCCTTTATGATTCCATCTCACAATTTACGATACTCTGGTGGAAAATTCTAGTCAAGATAAATTATTACCAGAGTCTCTGTGGCTGCATAAAGTATCTGAGTAATACATCATGATGGATTATACAGGCGATACTGGTAATAAAGGCACTAGATGGGTGTGTCCCAATGATAGACACCTTGCTCTCAGAGCAAAGTAAGTATTCCTGGTGTTTTATCAATTATAGTTTAATGGAGCACCATGAGTGTTCTTTGTGTCATTACTGTTTTATAATTATATATAATGAAATAAAACATTTGGGAATTATATATATTATTCACTTAGACTGCGCACTGGATGGTCCGTAAAAACTGGATCTCTTGATTCACGATCCGCCGATTATTCGTATTCGAATTCCTATCCTGGTAGTTCGCAGTCTTCTGCCAGTTCCTTTGTTCTTAGTGATGAGGAGCGCCAAACTATTATAGAGGTTCGCAGAAAATATTTAATACGTTATTATGTCATACATTTTTTAAGGTGTATTAAAGAAACGAATAAATAATTCATATAATCACCGATAGGTCATTCGAAGAGCGGAAGCACTGGACCTATCTGAACAGGAACGTGTAGGAAAGCTTGTAGAACGACTAGAAAATATGAAACGTAATGTAACCTCAGTTACAACCATTAGATCAAACGGCAGAAGTTGCGGAAGTCGTTGTTCTGGTGGTCGTTGCATATGTTCCTGTGCCCTATGTGGTGAACGATTCGCTGTCTTGGGAGCTGGACCAAGTCTCTGTAAGGATTGTCGAAAATATATTTGTCAAAAATGTGGGATAGAAGCGACTCCTTCGTCGGCGCCGCCATTTACCCCAACGTTCTCAACAGCAAGAGGAAATATAATACCTCAAGGAATACAGAGAACCAATGTGCAGAAAGTCTTCCTATGTCGCATCTGCTCGGAAACTCGTGAGATGTGGAAGAAAAGTGGTGCCTGGTTCTTCAAGGGTCTACCGAAATATGTATTACCTGAGAAGAAAGTGGTAAGTATAGTAGAGGATTGACATATGAAACCAGAGAAGAGAATCAATGTTTCTCTTCTATTGAATATAGGAACGCGGAAGACCCAGAGCAGGATCTAGAGCATCTGGATGGGCTGTGGCTGGCGGTATAAGACCATTGGAAACTCTAGAACAAGATTCATCATCTGACGAAGATGCTACTCGTCGTTTGGCCGTAACACGTTCTTTGTCCGCTTCCGCTGGGGAAGCAGGATCTAATGAGATGGCCACAATAGCACAGCTCCACGAAGACAAGTATCAGGAACACTCTTCAATTTCATCGAGTCGTACATCTCCAAGTTATCATCGACAGAGTTCCGCGCCTGGATTTGAAATGGATTATTACAATAGCAACAGTGGTTACGGTGAATCTTTTCAATCCCAGATACCTTCATCAGCTTCCACAGCAGGACTCGGTTTCCAGGGCAGTAGAAACGTCAATAACTTCCCGGGTCAACAAACCTCTGTGGATGATCTCAGGAAATCCTCGGTTGAACAGCTAAATGGCTCTCAGGTACATCTTCTCAGGTACGTAAAAAACTGGCTACGTGAGATAGAAATTAGTTCCTGCCTTCGGTCCATAGGAGGGACTCAATGGACTCGAGTTATCCCACACTGGAGAGGAATTTAGATCAAGATCGGAATCGGTATTCGGATTGGGATCAGGAGAGTCTCGCCGCAAGCAGCGACTACACGAGCAACAATATCAATCACTCCGAGCAGTTCAAAACGGTTCAACGCAATCAAACCAGTGAATATCAATTAACACAGATATGAATAAGAATGCAGTACAAAAGAATTGGCTATTAAATTATTGCATGACTGTTGTTAGACCCAATGGAATCAGGACAAGGTTACGGGACTCTGGAAGTCTCACTGCGATACGACCCAGCGGCTCAGTGCCTCCAGTGCAGAGTGGAACGAGCACGAGGATTACGACCTATGGATATTCACGGACTTGCAGACCCATTTTGCAAGCTGAATATATTACCCATATTACCGACCACGATCACCAAGCGATTGCGTACGAAAACAGTACACAAGACTCGCGACCCAGAGTTCAACGAGACCCTAAACTTCTACGGAACCACAGAGACAGATGTAAATCATTCTGATAAAATCATTTATTATCATAGGAATACTATTATTTCACTAAAATACATTTCCTCTATGCTTTTAGATGAAGAACGGCAGTGCCCTACACGTCCTGATTCTTCAAGACGATCCAGCGGGACGAGATTTCTTAGGAGAAGCGAAATTTCCTCTTCACGAACTCCTACCCTATCAAATGAAGCAATACAACGTCTTCCTGGAGAATCACTACACGGTAAGAGATTTCAATTTTTCTGTATCAATATTTACTGTACTTATAAGTCTGAACATCGTTCTGTAAATTAGGTGGACCAGGAGGAGAAAGTATGGGGCGAGGGTACCAATCCACGAGGCCAAATCCAGGTATCCTTAAGCTACAGTACGCGACGTCGTGCGCTCCTGGTTATGATACATTCTGCCGCGAATCTATTACCCATGGACAGCAACGGGTTCTCTGACCCGTTCGTGAAGCTCTGCCTGACAAGAGATCCGAAAGAAAACAGTACCCATCATACCAGGTCAGCAGGTACTACGAACGTCTTCAAGAAGGACAACAAAAAGCAGAGCGCACGCAACACTCACAGCACCAACGTCAAGTGGAAAACGTTGAACCCAGAGTGGAACGAAGAGTTCGCTTTCGAGACTCGACTTACGGATCTCACCAGCCTCATGCTATCCATATCGGTGTGGGACAAGGATTTCGGGAAGAGCAACGATTACCTCGGTGCGCTATAAATTATCAAATGTATCAGATATATTTGAATTTAATTACACATGAAATTTAATATCTAGGAGGACTTATGCTGAGCTGCAGCAGCAAAGGGGCTCGCCTACGGCATTGGATAGACGCGATCAAGTTTCCAGATCATCGCCATCGAGCTTGGCATAATTTAACTGAAGCCACGGTAGCTACCGAATAAGTTAACTATTTTTATTATACTCGTTAACGTATGAAGACTATTTATTACTTAATCGAAAATCAACACGAGGTTGATTAAAGTGGGTATCTTAGAGGTTTTATTCCTGGTGATTTTGTGTCGTGTCCTATTAGATTTATTTTTAACAAGGATAGCGACTGAAAGTAATCCAGCAACTGGATGTTATGATGGTAAATATAGAAAATATAGTCTCGCTAGATTGTAGTTAAGATGCATCACTCAATGCTATTGTAAAACTCTTTTTGAATTCCTGTTAGTTTTGGTGGAAAAGGGAAATTTGAGGGGTGCGTATCCTGAAGTTAAATTAATAATTTCTTAAGTCAATAGTTAAAACGTATAATATACGTTTTTATAGATTACTAAGTAAAAACTATTTTGAATCAAGTAATTCTAGAAACAAGCAAAAAGATAGGACTTGACAGTTATTTGAATATTTATTTGAAAGACAAATACGTAGGGTATAGTGTTTCCTAAATTATAATTCCAAAAATTTCATAGGTTTATATAATCATATTAAAGAATACCTACACTCAGTACCGTATGTCTTAAATCGACATTTCAATTTCTCTATATTACAACTTTGAAGGTTACATTAGTTACTTTATCTTATAACAGTTAACCGTTGTACATACACTGAAAGTTATGGCAGTCGTATGCATTTATAAAATAACAAATTCTTTATGTATGAATTAAGAAAAAAAAAATAGAAGTTCAGCTAGACTATAATTAAGTAAAATATTGACGGTAATGGTTGCATTGAATTAAAAGTGCTCGTTAAGGTAAAGTTTGTCAAAGAAAATTTCATTGGAATGAATTCTAATCAGCCGATAGTACAATTGGAAAAGCTTTCAGTACCGTGTATGGCAAACGTGATTTTTTAATTGTAAAATTCAGGAATAAAGAAACAATAATATCTGTTCTACACTGTAGAAAAGTAAAATAGTTTCGCATTACTTAATATGTAAAAAATATCATACGGATAACGTATCTATACATGTATTACACACATATATGTATAGAGCTTTCTTTCTTTTAAGTTTATATATTTCATATGTAATAGATCTATAAACAAGCGAAAATAATTTGCAATTTTCAACAAATGAAAATCATTCGGTGAAAAATTTAAGCTATTTCACACATATATCCTATATTATAATTATTATAATTCCTATGCGAATTGGTGGATTGACTGAATAATGAAAACTATAAGCAAATCATCTGTTTAACAATGTGTTTATAAAAAGCGACATTATTTCTTATGACAGATTAATCGCTTTATGCAAAATAAGAATACTGAAATGTTTGTGCAATGGCGATATTGCGTTATTGCAGACAATCACAAATCTATCTAAAAGATAAGTAAATGGCACAACTTCGTTAAAAAATTGTACAATATTCTCAATGAATTATTATATTGAAATTATCTTTTAAAATTTAGTGTGTCGTTAATCAATAAAATATTTATTTTGATATTGTCTTTTATCAATTTCCCTGTTCTTTGATATAGTATTTTGTTAGTGAGAACCAATAATCCATCAATACAATGTGAAAAAATTACTAAAAAATATGTAAAATTAAAGAGAATATCTTGTATTATTATTCACAAATCGGTGTATCATACATAAGTAGTAGCGTGTACTATGATAACAAAATTTCATAGTTATTAAACTTCAAAATATTTCACATTCTCACTATTAAGTTAATCCTCCTCATTATCTGAAGAATCTTCCTCCGCTTCCTTCAACCATTTGATGAATGGTCCCACGGCTTTTTTTATTTCCAAACTTTGCACTTCATTCTCATTGTCACCGTTGAGTTCGTACCACTCCAAGATCTTTTCCTCGGAAAGGATATCCCGCTCATAAAAGAGATGTAAGAGTCGTTGCATAAAGGAGAGTAACTCCTGAATTGTGGTAGCTGCTTCCTCCATGGCTTTTAGACAGTCATCCTGAGCATCCTCAGTCTTGATATAATTCTGAATAATTGTAAAGAAATAGGAAATCATCTTCTTTAAGGTACTCTGATAATTTGCTTGGTTTATTGGACTCTTTTGATCCGACAGGTAATGTAAGGGTAGACTCAGTATAGCCTTGATGACATTGTAGGACACTTCTCGGATGCTAACGTTGTATGCATATCGCGATGAATTTATTTCCAGAATTAAATTCTCACAATTTAGTCCGTCCTGATAGCCACGAAGAAGGCTATCAATAACTTCAGACAGGAACATATTCGTGTCGTCTGGTAAAGGAGAAGCAGGTGCTGAATCATCTTCACTGCTTGAATCCTCAGAATCCGTCGAGTATCCATCGCAATCTTTACCATCTTTACTCTCTTTGCATGTGAAGTACAGTAACTCCTTATCCGTGTCCAAATTCAATTCTGATATTTTGGTTACATTCAATTTTCCAGATTCATACTCAAGTACTGAATCCACATATGAACTATTGCTCTTCAGGTGAACAGATGGGGATAATATACAAGCATCTAAATTAACTTTTTTATCCAACTGGCAATTGGAAAAGATTATACTATTTTTAATCATGCAGTTGTCAGTGATGAATACATTAGACAGAATATATGAATTTTCTATTTGTACATTAGCACCTACTATACAATTATTACCAATTGTAGATCTCGTAATGAAAGTGTCTTTGCCAAGCATACTATTCGGACCCACTATTGAATCGCGTTGAATAACACAACCTCTAGCTAGTACGGCATTTCTGTGTCTATATGTACTTCTAGATAAATAGGTAAAATTTCTTACAAAGGATAGGGTGTCAGGAGTGAGTGGATAGCTGTGTCGTTGTAAGATTTCTCGACTGAGCATGTGATAAGCTCGCCAAGACGTCACTGGAAGTGCATACTCTTCAGAATCTAAACGTTGCCAGTAAATACGCGAATCAAGAATTTCCTCATTCATGAGAACTCCTCGAATAAAATCTTCCATTGTCTGTAATAAGATTAAGCATAACATTTTTTTTCTTTTCTAATATTCATATATGAATAAAGTAAAGAATCAACTTGTGCAATTACCTGGAAATCAAAATTATCTGAGAATAATGGCGGAACTGCTGGAGAGCACAAATAAATATGTGTGTCTAAAAGACCAGTATTAATCTCAATTTTGTCATGATCAAGGAACCACTCCAATTCTAGTTTAACTTTCTTCTCGTCCTTGGCAAGCTTCTTATAGAAAAGTACTTTATTATTAGAGCCATCAGCAACAACTAAGCTGCTTTCTTCAATAAGGGATGGAATATTTGTAGAGCCAACATCCCTTAATAATAATGTCATTGCAGCACCTTTATCTTTTTCAATTCTAACGCGATGTAGTTCCAGAAGATTTTTGAGATTTGCATTGGTGAAAGCATCACCACGTATTAATATAAAATCTCCACGGATTGCACCTTTTGTGTCAATATCTCTAAGAGCATCGCCAAGAGATCGGCATCCATCAGATATTATTAGGTTTATTGAAATATCATCGCTGTTCTTTGATTGAACATATTTCTTCAAACTCTCTATATGACTGCTGCAGTACAAATATAACTCCTGTATCCTGGACTGAACCAGAGTCTCTATCAAGTAATCTAACAGTGGCACATTCACCACAGGCATTAATATACTTGGATAGACATTCTGAACAGGAGTTAAATTGGTTGTAAAGTCATCTGCAAGAACAACAGCTTGGAGCACATCCTTTTTGCCCAATTTAGAGTTAACATCCTTTTTCGTAATTTTAGACATTGCTTCCAATTCGAGAAATCACTTCATCACAGAAACACTTTACAGTATCTGGTAATTCCAAGTTAAATAGAAATAATGGATAGTCAGTTAGAATATAAGGAGGCTTATGGACACGAGATACCCAATATTTTTAGTGCGGTCAATAGAGTTCAATGAAATTCCCCACTTCCTATCAAATCGTGACCTGCCCAAGAAAACTAGGGAGGAAATTCTATAGTCTGTTCTTGCTAAGAAACTAATTGAAATAAACCGATGCATTGATGCATATGTGAAGTGTCGGGTGAGTAAGAATTCTGTACAATGATATTATCGTATGATTAATTATTCATACGAATGGTAAAGGAAAGTTGAAATCGGATTAATTATAGTTTAAAAAATCTATTCACTTATACTCTTTTCATTCTGTGACGTTATATACTAAGCGGTCCCCACTTTTTACCATTAATGGAGATGTTTTTATATAGTTCCTGACGTGAATGTCCAAATACCTTTTTTTAATTAAGACTTACATATCTGACAGGTATTGCATAAAATTTGCTGAATTCTTGTACTTTACATTAGTAAATATATCTTTATATGGCAATTACATACATATCGCAATTATGTATCATAATTTAGTAAGTTGCTTTGAACTTTCATATGCAAATGTCATTTGCCTGAACATTTGTCACATCATATTTAAAAATAGTATAGAAAAAAACATCCTGATTTACGTTTTCTATTTTATGTTATTTGATATTATTGTCTGTAATAAAATATATTTTTGAATATTCTTAAATACTTCGATTTTACTTAGTTTTTATAAATCATAATCAATCATTTATAATCAATGATTATTGAGATGAATCATAGATGCTTATTATGTCATGTCATTGACTGATATAAAATTTACATTTAATGCAATCATTTTTTTAACAGTATTGTATTGTCCACGGTGACAGTAAAAAGTTGTAACAAGCAAGCAGATGTAATCTGCATTAATGCCTTTGAGCCTAAGGACACACTCAGTAGCCGAAATGGAGGAATACTCTGGGGCATCAGACTTGTCCGTAGTGGACGTCTATGATATTGCCTCAGAGATAGGCAAAGAATGTGAGAAATTAATAGATCACTTTGGAGCTGACTCTGTTACTAGTTTGATGCCCAAAGTGATCAATGCTCTTGAGTTACTAGAGAGCCTTGCAACAAAGAATGAACGAGAAAATACAATTGTTCAAGAACTGAAAGCAAAGATATCACAGTTGGAAAATGACAAAATTGGCAAAGCTGAGGACAGAGAAAGATTTGAGAAGGTACAATATATTTACAATGCTAAATGGTTTAAATAACACTTGGAATTAATATTAATATTCTTTTACTACTAATCAGGAACTGGAACAGATCGAGGAACACTGGAGGCAAGAATCTCGTGATCTAGTTGGTATGGTAACCCGATTACAGGAAGAAAATCGTCGGTTGGCTACAGCTTTACAAGAATCGCGTAGTGACAGTCAGGACAGCGGTAAACAAAGTACTAACAATTCAGCCCTAACTACTACCATAGATTAGAAAACATCCCACAACATAAGAAAAGGTATCATTTACTAAAACACACTTGTTCCATCCTCGCAGCTTATACAGCAAGTCAGGAAGTGGACGTTGCTGTACTGCAACGTTTAAGAACCATGATAGATAAACAGCGAGATCAAATACGTGCTAGAGATAGAGATATCTCACAAAAAAATTCAGAAATTGAAAATGTACGTACACGACTCTATTTTTTAATGTTATCGTTCTATACTAATTTTATTACCACGTAATTAATTGTATTTTAACTTTATTTTTATAATATGTTTTAAACAGTTGACTGCTCAAGTGGAGAAGCTTGGAGTCGTCGGTCGCGAATTAAAAAGAAAGCAGCGTCAAGCTCAAATGCAAGCACGTGGCTTGGTTGAAGAACGTGCCGACTTTTTGGCTCAGTTACAGGATCAAAATCGAGAACTAATTAATCTACGGGCACGACTAGGTCTTGCCAAGAAAGAAAACGAAGATCTAACTAAGTGCACTGTCTATCCTGACTTGGCGAATAAAGCCGTCTATGACCTGGATGATCCTGACAGACCCAGATTTACGACTGCTGAGCTGAAGGAAATTCTACATGAGAGAAATGAACTGAAAGCTAGAGTATCCGACCTGGAGGATGAGCTCGAGCTGTATCGTCCTAAACCTGAAACGTATGTCACTAATAACCTCCAATTTTTATACTTTCTCAGGACATAATGATTACAATTAAAATGACGGTGCTACCTCTCCTTTTCTAGTATCGAAGCACTAATTAATCCTTTCAGTACAATTAATAAAGTCTAATTGATTTAGCATATTAAATTAATTTCAATAACGTGGTAATAAATATCATATACATATGCTGAAAGGATTAAAGCACATTAAATGTGTGTTAAGAGTGATTTTTTTAAATATAAGTAAATGTTACACGTTGAACAACTTTCCGCCATGAGAAACAGTTTTGAAACTGCAAACTACAACCACAGACCAAAATGTGCGGCATTAGTTTTACAGCGAGCAAGCCATGTAAAAAGTAAACGTATTATTTATATTAACATCTTTTTTATTTTGAGTTTTTCCTTATATATATTATTATGTAACTAAAGATTACGTTAATTTCGCTAGCGGGTAACCGTTGGTGTTTTTAATTTGAATTTGCATGCTTTTCGACCGCATGGCCGTTTGGTTTGTCACACCTTCATCCCTGCGTCACACATCCTCCGTGATACGCGTGCTTTGACATCAGACAGTGGGATCCCCGCATTGTCGCTTTATACAGTACAGAATAACGTCACCAACTCCACATCCCCAGAGACTAACGTTAATCAGTAAGATAATCCCTAAGCTATGGTTTTTCCACGCTTTGCATTTACCAAAACAGAATACTGTCGTCACTATTACATTCAATCGTTGAACTATAACACATGTGCCAAAAAAATTTCAAAACTGTATATATTTTTTATTAGTACGACATATAACATTCTGTCTTGTATCAAAATTATTCGCTACCGCGGGTTATTCTTGTTCTGTTATTCTGTTTCTAACGTTAATCCCTGATATTACTTCAGACCCGAGGACGAAAAAGATGCACCAGTCCAGGGCCCACTTCCCTACGAACCCGACGATGCGCCCTGGAAGAAAACGTCTGAATCTGGTATTCGCAAATTGTAAGTACTGCCATGAATTCCTTCCTTCCTTTGCTTTATGGTTGTATTCCCAATGGGGGACGCGTGCCAGTGCAAGAAATTCCAGCAATATACATATATACTAGGATACCCCATCCATTGTATTTAACAAGACACGTATTTTCAGCTTCCGAAAAATATTCTCGGAGACTAGTGGCAGCTTCCTGGGTGGTAGCAGTCCTCGACGAAGTCTTTCCAGTCTTTCGAAGATGGCGCTCTCTGGTAATGGTGCGAGCGACACGTCTATATAAACTGATCTTGTTTATCAGGATCCGTCACGCGGCTTTTTCAAACGGTTACACGATTTTTCTCGATCCAAAGCTATCGGTATCACAAAGCTTATTTTCTTTTCGATATTCTTTAACCGTTAAACTTTCTTCTGCGTTCCTTTTACCTTCTATCCTTTTTTTATACGAAGCATAGGATATACCGGATATATATTAAGTTCTTAGTTACCAATCGTACTAGACATAGAATGTCGTGATACTACAGTTTTCTCTCCCTATAGTATATTTAAATAACTTATACATCATTTATCAAATTCACAACTCATTTCTAAGGATAAAATTCTTATATCACATTCGCAAGCTCATCCATAGCTGGATCAGTATTTTACAAAAGAGACGAGACATTGTCTATGTTTTTTAAATTCCTTTTTATTCTTTTTAGTAATGTTTTCTTACTTCTCATACTAATTACTTGTTAAGGTAATGCTAATATTTAGCATCAAACATGTTACACAAGATAATAGTTCACGTAACATTCCAAAGAAACGTAAGATGGATGCAATTACTAGGTCCATGAGGTATGAAGATTTTTTTTTATTTTCTTCAAGCGAATCACAACAATAGTGTAAAATATCCTGAAGTCGGCAAAAGATGAAGGATGAAAAAAATTTCTTAAACCACTTTCCTACAATCTTTTACTTCGCAAGGAGAAATCTTACCCGTTGCATATCTATACATTCTCGTTTATATGCGTTCTCAAAGGAAATGTCATGAGAGAATAACGAAATGAAAAAAAATATAGTTCGAAAAATGAGACAAGAAAATCATAGAGATATATAGACACTATACTCAGGACATTCGACATAAATGTCCACGAGGGAAAAATAATGTTAGCTCCTCTTCGACCTTTTCCCTTGTAATTTGTAAATATATCCAGTTAAAAGGAAATTGCACGTTATTGTATATTAATCGGTTATAAAATGACACGCGTACAGAGGAAATAAAAACCGTTATGAGAATGTTACAATTAAATAAAGGAGAGAGCAAATATGTAATCTGTTAGCACGAATACATATGTATATGATGTAACATTCTCAATAGTCGATAGCCTGATATTTGTTGCTATAATGGCAAATAAGCGTTCGCACTAAATTATTAACATTTCCATTCGTGTCAAAGGATAAAAGAGTTTTTATTTTTACCCTAAATTAGCAACACATGATTTGAGGTAAAAGTAAATTGTCATATGAGTGAACGTATTTCATGTTATCGTCTAGAAAAGCGAAGGATTATATAAAGGCAAAGAGAAAGCAGTCATTAGATTTTCACCAATGGAACAATTATTCAATTTTGCATAGTCAGCATAAATTTTTATTACATTCAATGTATTTTATTGTTTCAAATCAGTGCTGTTGCATTAAGACATTCTATAATGACATTAGAAATGGAAATAGAAAAAAAATAATGTTTTCATTTTGCACTATGAGTTTTATAAGACAGCATTGATCTAAATAAGTATTCGATGACAATGATCCCCTCACAGTCACTGTGCCATTCTATAATGTTAGAAGTATTTCTGTGCTTTGCGCGTTTCTGTACGTTTTTTCTCCTTTTTGTCGCTACTAGTTCTGCGTTTAAGATATTCTTACTTTGGCAAAACCGTTGGCAATTAGTTCAGCATATGCAGGATGTCCCATTTTAACTTAAACAGTGCAATATCTCGAAAACAAGGAGTTTTCAGAAAAAATGTTTGAGACAAAAGATGTCGGGCTCGAAGAGGGCCAATCTAGTGAGATACCTGAATTTTTGGCCTGGGGTCTGTGTTTGGCCCAAGTCTATTTTTTCCAATGAGAACCCCTGTTTTTTATTGAAGATTCGTATTGTATAAAAAAAAATAAGTTTTGTTCTTTCTTACTCTCACTTAATCCGTTAATCTTTCCTAGAGTGGCCAAATTTTTGAATCGATCTTGTCCCAACCGGCCAAAATTGTGCGTTGATCCTGCTTTTATTGGCCGGATCGATGATTGGTCTTGCCTTGATTGGTTGAATGGATCATTGGTCTTGCCTTGATTGGCCGAGTGGATTATTGATCTTGCCTTCATTGGCAGGATTAACACTCTGTAGCTTCAATTTAGTCAGATTATGAAATTGTAAGTCCATATTACTATTATTACTAACAAAAAACCGAAACTTGTAACGTATCTCAAAGCACTTCGAGGGCCTTTTTACGTTTGTTGCAGAGGGTTTATCAAAAAATGATCAAGAACAAAACTTATTTATTTTTTTTTCATACAACACGAATCTGCAATCAAAATAGGGGGTTTCATTTAAAAAATGAATTGGGCCTCATAAGGCCCAAAACAGGTCCCAGGCCAAAAATTCAGGTATCTTACTAGATGGCCCTCTTCGAACCCGACAATTTTGTTTTAAACATTTTTTCCAAAAACTCCTTGTTTTCGAGATATTGTAGTGTCTAAGTTAAAATGGGACACCCTATATAGTAGGAATTCGTACATTTTTTGTCTATTAATTGCGCAAACAAGTCCAAGCATACGTCCATTTTACTCAGTCTGTTTCTGATAGCAGTAAACAAATTGTTTTGCGATTTCGGTTTCCATGTTCTTATTTAATTGAAATTCTAATTGCGGTTATCGATGCTTTTTCTAGAAACCAGTCAAACTTATGGTAAACGTAAATTGATTGTATTATAGTGTGCCAAAAAGTCTATTATAATATCGAAATGATAAAATAAAAGAAAAATATACATATTGTAAAATTAATTACTTCTGTGTTTATACTGCACTATTTTATATTATCATTTTACTCGATACATCTCTTGGTATAACATTAACCACTTAACATGGCATTCAATCGACGATTGCACGGGCGCAAATTGTTTTACGACAGACTATTTATTTTTAGATCAAAAGTTAGCGGGCCGCGTACATTTCCCAAACCTGCAAAGCAAATGTGGGCCGCAGATAGTTGAACTTTTGGGAGACGTGATTTCCGGTTAAGTGGTTAACATACTTTTTCCTTATTGTGAACTATGAAAGTTAGATATTTAAAAAAAATTGTATAGTTCAATGTTATTTTTAATTTATGCTCTATTTTTTTGTAGTCCTTATAATTCATGAAATTAATGGCTAATTATGAGACTATGGGATTTTATCTGGACAATACGATATCAAGGATAAAATCACAATCACGTCCGTTTTCTTCGACAAGGTTTAATGCATAAACTTTGTTTAACTGTGCTATTAGCTAATCAGATACTTGCATTTTGAAGATAAACGGAGTTTATGCATTGAACCGCGTTAAATAAAACGGGCTTCAGACTTTTAGGGCTGATGTAACAAAAACGATCTATTACGTCTTCGGTCACATTAAAATATAATAAAATTAGTAACGCGCAACAAAATTAATGTTACGTTTTGTTACATGATATCAAGCATGAGTAAGAGCACTGTGGAGCTACTAATATATAGCCAGCCTTGCGAAATTTTGTGTCTGACAGCTGCTGGCCACAGTGGGGGCATGGGAGGTATACTGGAATTAGCATAAGAGTTCCTAACCCCCAAACACCACACTTTAGCAGACGCCCGAGCACCCGAGTGACAAGATCGCCAGACCGGCCGTACGCAACCCAGTGTGGTGTTCAAGGATTAAGGGAGTTGATGTGCCATAAGTTTCATTTCAAATATAGAATACACGGGGGCTGGCTCTATTTACCAATATCTCCTTGATGGTATGAGAGTAATAATGTACAATGGCGAACAGGCATGGTTAAAAATGATCGCTAAGAAATCTGTTGCCATGAAACTATTTGCTATTTATGCCAATAAATAAGATGACAATTAATGATAATCTCCATGGAAAGCTAGGATTATCCATATTGTCTCTATGACAGAGTATAAACAAAGATTCGTGTCCTTTTACAGCCATATTGATTGTATTTTTGACTTTGGTCCTTTGTACGATAGAAGAAAGTGACGTACAGAAAGCTATACAATATTCTTGTTGCCTGTAACAACAGCCATGATTCCAGAGAGAAAGATTAATTTGATGTTAAATATACAATATTTCAGTTTGATCCTAATTTGATATAATAATGGTAAAAGAAGAAGTGATCATTAACCATATAATGGACTTGAAATGATAGTGAATGATCTCTGTCGCGATATTGTATTACAAGTCAACGTTATTTAAGTTTGCTGCTGAACCAGTTGGTAAATCTGGAGGTACAAATTTACCAATTGGCTGTATTGCCTGCCTCTGCTCCGAAAGTTTACGCATTTCTTGACGAAGCTTACCAAGTATGGCATGGTTTGGCTGATTCACAGCAGCCTTACCTTGCAGCAGAGTGATCTCTTGCTCCAGCTGTTTCTTCTCCTTAAAGGACTTCACGCTGCGCGATCCATAAAGTCTTAAGAGTGAACCCCAAGATTGAATATGAGGATGCAATCGCTGGAGAATTGCTTGAGCTGCCCTTTGCTTACCATCCTTTTTGTTTCTGCAGACCTGAAATCGGGAATTACATATTCTTAGCTAAAAGCTTCACCATGAGGACCACTGAATGAGTAGTTTTACTTACTACTGTAGCTTCATGTTTCCCAACACGCATTGTGAACTCGTTACGTTGATGCTTCAGAGTGTTTACAGAGTAATTGATGTGCATGTCTCCTAGGCCAAAATTCCTCTGAAGACAAGTGATCAAGATGGCGTGTGGCGATGGTTCAGTAGTCTTGGCGCAGAATTCAGCGACGCGAGGATCAGTGATCGATATTTCATCGAAGAAGGAGAGATCAGCGTCTGAATTCCCACGAGAGGCTTTTATTGTCCTCCCGGAATTACCAGACGTTCCATCTCCCGCAGCATCGCCAGATATTTTGTCCCGCATTTGAGGTATCAGGATTTCCAGAGTCTTCCTGGCGGCATTTGCTTTTGCCTGTTTCTTACTGCTCCCAAAACCGCTTCCATACTCCATATCGTTTATGCAAACAACTGCTGAATATGGTGTAGCAGCATTTTCTGTACAAATTACAGTTAATTGTTTTCGAATATAAGAATCTTCGGGATAGTTGTGACTGTACTGATAACTGCCATTATGCTCAAACATTTTTATAACGGCAATTAACTTTTGTTGATTTTCGTATGATAAATCATATAAATCTTACCTAATTCTTTAAATTTGTAAGTAGGCTGTTTTTTCAAGGCGTGCTGTACATACTCGTGCAATATACACACGTAACTCTTGCCTGACGGATTCATTATCCAATGTTTAGGAGGTCTTTGACCACCACCTTCTTCCCCAGTACTATTACTAGTTCCTGATACTCCACTACTTCCTACAGGGAAGGTAATAAGCTTAGTACCATCTGGTAAAGTAGGACGTTCCAGTTGTTTTCGATGCTTCTTATTCTTTGTGAATTTTCTGCGAGCCGACCAGGACCTATTCGTGTAAACGTGTTTCCATTTTAGAATATCCATACAAAAAATTACATCATCCAAGTGACCTCATTATTGAGATACTTACTGAAATCTCATGACTTTGATCGCTTTAAAGCGGAACAGTGTTTGGCAGTAATTCCTGAGTTGTTCACTGTCCAAAGAATGAGCTGCTCGATTTTCCTGAATGGTTTCGATCTTTGCACTAGGTAAGCTACAGGCTTCCACCGTAGGTTCTCGTTCCTTTTCTTTACGCCTTTCTTCCTCTTCTTCGCGAAGAGCTCTTCTGTATTGTAAACAGGGTACGGCGCTGACGGGTACTTCGTGTTTTCGCACACTTCCCGGCCCAAGGAAATAAGGTTTGGCCAGGGTACATACTCTACTCTGCTTATGCAAGTATAATGGCATTCCACTATTGTGAGTAACTTGAACCCAGCCTTCTGGTAGCACATCAAAATGATTATGACCAATTTCTGAAAAAGGTAAGTGTTATGATTTATTCTTCAATTAATAATGTAATATCTTCATACTGTTGTATAGTGTCGTACCATCTAGAACTAATTTTTCTTTTTCCTCGTACGGCATGCCATCTTTTTTGTTTTTTCGCTTCCCTTTGAACTCTTCAGGTAGACCTAAAATAATGCATTGGTCGAGATATGTTTTCTTCTAGAGAGCAATTGAGGTCTACAGATTCTGGATGATAATAATATACCTTCTTCGAGCATGGCTTCTATCTCTTCGTCCGGTACATCGGAATCCATACTCTCATTAGTATCAGAGTCTGAATCTGAGACATTATGATCAGGATCTCTCTCGAGATCATCAAGGACATCAAATTGCCTTAAATCATCCGGGACAATCATTCCATCGCCACTGGAACTTGTCGTTTCGCGGTTGTTAATACCATTTGATAATGATTCAGAAATTTCTTTCTGTCCCATCTGATCATCTTCCATGGCGTCGCTACATCGACTCTTCTCAGATCTTCCACTACTGCTGATACAATCGGATTCAAGTCTCTTGTTAGGCATCCAAGTATCCTCTTCCATCCTTGATGCAAAGCTATTCTTAAATAGACACTCCGAAGGGATTTGATCTTCCTGGTGGTGGTTTGGAATGTCGACGAGCATAGCGTTCTCCATGTCTGGATCAGGCTTGATAGATTTGCACAGGTTTTCCTCTCCGGTATTGGCCATGCTGGTGGGCTTTATCGTATCTGCCAAAAGCATGAAGTCTAGAAATTCGTTTGGGATATGCTAATAATAATAAAGAATGTCTGCGCTGTTCTACGAACGTTTGGTGGTGACAAGGGAATTGTAGGAAGAGACAACGGACATGCGATAGCGTGGACGTGCGATCGGTGGAATCGTTCACGAAGGTAAGACAGTGGAATCCTGTGAACGCTTTCAACGAACGTCGAACATAATACGCCCTCGATGCTATATTATTTACAGTCACCGTAAGTAACGACACGTGGATTAGATAATACCAAGCGTGTTGTCTGGCCGCACCACTTCCACCAATGACACCAAAGTCCAATCGATTTGAAACCATCTAAAAAATGGCAACGAAAATTGGACATTTGCATTGATGTTAGCAGTCTCAAGCCTTTTATATATCTGAAACAACGTGCTGTATGATCAAGCCATTACTTTAAAAGGGTCGTAGAAGTTGGCTGGTAGTCACGGTATTATTTCAGCTTGTTAGCTCCAGAACTAGACAGAGACAACATTGAGAAATTGTTCCTGTTGCTAGCTGGGGCTATCTGCTGACTGATACAGACTTTTAGCAAAGGGATTTCTTTCAACAAACATCAGTAAATCGGATATCTTGAAACTTTACAGAAAGCAATTGTAAAATAAAACATTGTATTAAATTGAGTTTTTGTTCAGCTTGTTTGAATATTAATCTTTTGCTTTTTCTAAGTTATAGCAAAATCTAATGATATTAAATTGAATAGGACTGTTCTTACGATCATATAAAACACTATTTTATTTGAGGGGGATTTTGAAAAAAGAATTCGTTTATAAAATAGCCCAAAAATTAAATTAACAAAGAAACATCCATTGCCTAATAAATCCAGTACTCAACAACATAATCAAGAATGAGCATATGACTATTCAACGGAAAACAAAATTTCTTCTGTACGTCTATTGTTTTAATAGAATTTTAAATACCTAACTTTTTATTCAACACACCATTGTCACGATAAATCAATTAAATTAATAACTTCTCGCATAGGTGCAAAGCGCTAGGAATACAATCACAAGAAGGAAAATTAGTTTTGGATAAACTGATAATTTTGTACCTATATGGATTTAAGGCAAGAGAGGTATACCTGCCAAGTTAATCAATCACTGAAAAATACACAACATTTGTTAGTTACCGCAAAAGAAAGGGTGAAACTTCCGAAATAATACCGCAGAACTATCTTGTACACTGAGCCACAGAAGCCATCTTTGAATAGTAGCCATGATAAATGACTCAGGAAGGAAGCGATGAACGAACCCCCTATTATTCAAATCATTATTATTAATTGTTTTAATAATAAACAATTACTTGGATTTCACTAAACCAAAACAATAATAAATGTATGTATGTTATAGCAGAATTAAAAATTCATCTAACTTTAAAGCATATAACTTTGTAGTCACATGTGATACCATGCTTTTAAATTTCACGCTGGGAATTATTATGTAGCCTTGACGAATAACAAACTCTAACTTATATTTATTTCTACGTTGTATCCATTATTAAGCTATATTTTTTTAAAGAGAATTATATGTATGTCAGTGATAAAGAACAAATTTAAAGAATTATTATTGTCGTAGTTATATCGTTAATCACATATGTATCAAGGTCTCTAGTACTCGCTAGTACCTTTAACCCCACTACTACCTGTTGATTTTTTCTTCTTATCTGTGTACTTTATATTTAGATTTTCACAGAAAACGATAACTCGTTCCTCTACAACCAAATGATTGAAGATTTCATTGGACAGCATGGATGTAGACGAAATAGTTTACAATGCTTTCTATCTACAGCTAAGGGTTAGTTATATTGCAAATTCGCGCACTTCAAATAATATTTCTTGATTTGCTTGTTTTATGTCTTATGTTGTATTACTGAAGTTTGTCGATAATGGCTTACAGGACAAGTTCAGGAAAAAATATGAATTTGCTATTGCCAAGTGTTGGACTATATGTGTACCTTGTGGTAATTCTTTGAGGGGACTCGATATCACTGATGACTTTGTTGGTAATGAGTAATGACTTTTAATTACCTATAATTAAACACAGGTGCTATCTAAGTTGTATTTAAGTAATGACACTCAATGTTTACATTTCATATCATAGTCCTTGAGGAATATAACGTTCCACTTTTATTTTATATTCATATTACATGTAATAATAAAATATTATCAATTGTAAAATAGTTGATCATATATTAATTAGCTTGAGATATTGCATTCATAATATCTATTTAATTTGCATGTCTATATTTAGCTACTATAAGTATTACTGTTCTTTTCAGATCATCATGTATTGAAACCACACCCAGAACTAACTTTGCATTACACCTCGACTGATCCAAACAATTCTAATTTATATAAATTCGAAGACACCACTATAAGACTGTTAAAGTGCCAGGATGATGAAGAACAAAAACAGGATGATGAATACAATGTTACTATATTATCAATTGAAAAAGGATATAACAAAGAGTTTCATATGTACAATATATTTATTGTAGATAAACCGTTGCATCACAAATATATTATTACGGAAAGATTACAAGATGATAATCTTCCATTGAATCGTATCATCACATGTTACAAAGAGTAAGTTTGAACAATTGCAAACTATTTATAAAATACCAATTATTCACCCTTTTTTACAATAACATATTTTATTCATTGCATAGAGCTGTAGAATTTCTAAATGCACCCATAGAAGAAAAGAGATGTTCTCTAGAAGAACTAAGGATGGATCTACGTCAAATCCAACTGAGCAATTTTGAATCTGCTGAAGAACTTAGTTCACATTTACAAGAATTGACACGTCGTTATTGGGCGAGCACAATGCGAAAACAAAGCTTGGATCTTCAGCGCGATGCAAGATATCAAAAGCTCTTAAGCACATCCTTGGAAGTGTTCATGATGCATCATCTACACGACGAAATATATTCAGTATTGAGTGACGCACTAGAACAGGACGATGTATACGTAAAAACGAAGATTGATCAATTGATCTATATGGGTGTAACACCAGATCAATTAGGTGCCAGCGTATCTATGGCGATATCCTTACCAGCAGCAATTGTAGAGTTGGCTACATTAGATGCTAGAGAAGGTCCACTGGAGAAACTCCTCTGTCTGAAAAGTACCCTAGAGTTAATTGTAGCTGAGATCAAAGGTGCTTTGGCTGATATCGAAACAAAAAATGACGAGGAAAGCGCAGATACTAAATCAAGCATAGAGAGCTTAAAGTACACACCATCCACCGATGATCTAATCCCATTAGTAATGTACGTCATAGTAAAAGCTCGACCAATGAGAATCGTTACAGATTTACATTATATAAATAATTTTCTTTGGTCTATTTCACCGCATGACGGGCTTTCCTATAGTTTAATTACATTTAAGACAGCCATCTCGGCTTTGTTTGAAATTAATTCACAGAGTTTGCCATCCAGGAGTTATAAGGTCAAAACGGAATTACCAATTGGTGAGCTTTTTGATGTTATCACTGGTACGGATAAAGATATAACGCCATTGGATAGGCAAATCCATCAACTGGCTACGATGTTGGAAAAATCAACTCAGAATCATGAGCTTTTAATATAAAGTGAATTTTAGTGATGTCTACAGGTATCGATCTCTTAATTTTTTCAAGATTTATTTGAATAGCTTTTTAGATTGAGTGTTTCAGTGATACAAAATATCTTAAAGGTATATTCTCATGCAGTGTATAGAAATTTTTTGATAGCAGATAGTGAAGTTTCATTGTATCAATGTGCCTTGCTCACTAATAACGTACAAAAAATGGTATACTGGTAACAAGTAAATGGTATACAAGTTAATAGATTATACATAGGTATATACATATACTGTAACGTGGCGTTCCAGAGTTTGAGGGAAGACTACTTCGGAATGACCGAAAAATAAATAAATAGGACTTATCAGGTCGGATAGTGGGTTCGGTGGCACAAGGTAATCGTTCAACTTGACAGTTCGAAGGTATCGGGTTCGATTTGTGATCTGAAATCCTAATTTTTGGGAAATTCCTAGCCGTCCTGCGTTTCCTGGCGGTCCTCAGGATAAATTAATTATAGCGGGGGTGAGCCGAGCACCCCGTTATAATACATGATAATATAATATATTTTTGTAGTGATTTACTGACCGTAGATTTATTATTATTGACGATATACGTATAATGTATCTATAATAAAATATCGAATGGAACTTGTTACGGTAAAACAGAATGTTGTTTTATTTAATGTTGTAATCCAATATCACATTTTAGGTAAAGTTATAGTAATAATACAATATAATCTGATCTCCTGTGACAGAATAATTAATATCCGGATGGGATTAAACATTATTTTCACTGACTGCGATGGAACGTTTCAATACAGTATTAGTGTGACGAATGGTCACGTCCACAGTTCTCATGTTTTCCGTGAGGAATTGACTTAATGTATTAACTTCATCACCTGGCCAACGATCGAATGGGAATCCCATGGGTCTTGCATCAGGATATTTTTTGTTTCTGATGCCACAGTAACTTGCTGCATTGACGCATTGACCTTGGACGTCCTGTTCCACCTGTACGAAAAGTTAAGCGGTTTAAATGAGATATATAATTCACAAGCTTCAGAAACTTTATTCAATAATATAATATTGTATAATAGTATCAAAATGAAGTTCACCTTGTCATCATCAAAGTTGGAGATCATGACAAACAATGCTGAAGGAAATCCTTCCTTCGTTCCCTTTGGAATCAGCATATGCTGTGGCCATCCACAGCCACAATAATTGAACTCATCTAGCTGTGTAATGTCAGTCGGCCTTCCAGCTTCCAAGTTTCGGAAAGTTCTCTCAAATGGAATTGTAATATTGGATTCATCGGATCTGCGACGTATTTGATTTTTTCCAGGTTTCACTAAAAATTGAAAGATTAAAAAATACATAGTTGTGCCCAAATTCACAAATGATAACTAATATTTCTATGAATAGTATTTCTGTGATCTGCAACCTCGATCCAATAGAAACACATGTACTTACGATTGACTGTAAACTTGTCAAGTTCAATCATGAAGTTCTTCTGGTCTCTGAAAGGCATTGGCAAACCACGCTCGTCGGTTTTCGGACCCATAAAGATTCTGCACGTACCTATTTTGTTTTGGTTATTCTGATTATCAACTTCAATATTATAAACAAAAGGAACATGTTGCAGATGAGTGAATCTCGCAAGAACCGATCCTCTTGGTGTGAAGTCAAGACCACGGGACATGTCGACATCGCTTTGCTGCCAAAAAGTTGACAGAGTGTTGTTGGGTTGATTGTTGGACGTGATAGAGATTGCTTAATGGTACAAAGATGTACATAGTTATACAACTTAGATTTTCATTGATTGATTCAAGAAATAGAAAAACAAACAAACCTGTTACTTTAACATTGGAATACATCAACTGTTGTGGTGAATAAGAAGGCAGAGTTCTCTTGTGCTGTTGGAAGACTTCTTCAACGTATTGATGAAGACGATAGAAAATAGGATCCCTCATTGCTGTGGAAGGATCACCAATTGGAGAGAATGATTCCAGATATCTGTGATCAGGATCATGAATATATGAGAGAGCGAGATGCATAAAGTTATGCAGATCGCCATATAGATTCATGTTTGGTGAAAGAATTGAAGCTTCCATAATATCTCCAAGAACATCAATACCGCCCATTTCGGTGAGTTGCACACGTTCACCACGATCCTGTAAAAAAATATAATAAACTAAGTATTTTTATAGTTTATATATAATGTGTCTAATTATTTTTTAACATACATTTTGAATAGCTCCCGTTTGGATGGCCTCAAAGAGACGGTCTCTCCATCTTTCCATGTCCTGAATGTCAAACTGTACCTCATCTACAGGACGATTTACATCCCTCAGGACAGAATTGGATGGTCGTGCTGGCCAAGCTCTACTAGCGACAAGACTATCCAATTTAGGGAAATACGCTTCCGGTATGGGCTCGCGCCAATTGTTCCATTTCTTAACACGACTGAGATTATTGCAGAATCTCTCGCAATTATAACGTGCCATTATCTGCTGATGCATGTAATAGAGAAGTTCTCCTCTACGATCTTTCCGTACTACTTGACGGGGTCCAGTGAAAGGATAGACCAAGTGCCAATGCCAGTGATGAAGATTAATACCCAAGTCTTCACGGAAATAGGCAACTCTGTGTTCCTCATCTAAATCAGATGCAGTATAGTCCCGTGGGATTTCAATCGGAACCTGACATAAGGACACTCAATAAATTAATTATTTCAACTTAAGTTTCACGCAAGTTTCAGTAATGAATTCATCATGAGATTTATTACCCTGGAACCCGCAGGAACAATATTAGCTTCATCTCGCGCTTGAACGAAGACAGCACTGTCCATATACTTGTCAGGGAAGACTTCACAGAGTGTAGGTAATGGTAGATTCTGTGTGTCACTACGATGAAGAATAGCAACAGACAAGCAATAGATATACATGTAAGGGTTGACACGATCATGACAGAATACAGAGGCTGATAAGAAATCTTCGTAAGTTCTCATGCCCAAAAGAATCTCAACAAGACGACCTGCTAGGCGTCTGTGCTTCGGTATGAAGAGAGAGAAGTTTTCTCTACGACCAAGTTGACTTGCAAAGTCAATAGATGGAATAGTCAACTCCTTTATAGGTATCTTCTCGACATCAGCTTCCCCAAAACGTGAGAGGATCTCGACAGCATTACTGCGATAGTGATCCGTCTAAAACACGAAAATAATAATGAATGCTTGATGACAATAAGTAAAGTTTTATCTTAGCTTAACTGTAGAAATTCTTACCAAGTAACTAGCTGGTACATCGAATGCAACTTTATTGTCACCTCTTGGGACAAAGACCGGCTCAGCCGGACGATCATAAAGATACAATATGTCAGTTACACCGCGCGACATTTTTCCTCGGAATCTTTCAGAGGACTGGGTGGTAAATGATTGAATAACTCCTTTTATACGCGATTTATACAAAGAGGATATCCGCTTAAACTGGTAAACATTCTTGTCCCAGTGATTCTCCGTTTAGGAAACGGATTAATCGTTTCACATTTTACATATTTGCATCTATGGTTTAAGAATTGTACATATGTAGAATGTGTAACGGAAAGCATAATTAGATTATTGTCTAATATTGATAAAGAATAGTATTTTCTTTGCATTGTTAAGGAACAACAATCGAATAAGTTGTCAAACAATTCTTAGTACATATTATATACCAGACCGCAATTCAGGATACTGTGGAGACTAGCAGGAAGTTGCTGTCTCCTTCCAAGTATCGACTTTACCGTACAAATTCATTTTTACTCTTTCTTATAATAAACTTTTTCAACATGGTAAGTCAGACTGGTTAACCACTATGAGGATATTTGCAAGGTAAGTGTACAATCTTATTATAATAAATAAAAATCCCCTTATATCTGGTAATTTTATATGTATGCAATTTCGCAGAACAATATAATTAAGAAATTACTAAAAACTTGATCTCTTTCAAGTAACAAGTATCGTAGGAACATTGCGTATAGTAGCAGACTGAAAATATAATTTTTGAATAATTATATTGCTAACTATTGAACGATCAACAGGACGTGGTTTTATGAAACTGTAAAGGATGTGGTCGTTCGCAAGATAGAAATTAAATAACAATACATTTTATTTTTGACCAGTTGACGTAGTAGAAGAATAATGAGGTTCAAAAAAGTACATAGACAACTGTTGAATGGAGTCGTAAAAGTTGAAAATTATATTTGTAAAAGAGGATATCGTTATTACTCTTCGCGCATTACACGTGCTATACAATAACAGTAAATTGTTACATTAGTTATCGCCACTAGAAACAAACTTGAAGTTACTGAAACAAACATTTTGTAATTCACAAGATCCTGATACTCGTCCATTAGAACAGATTATTAATCAAATGTAATAATCTCAGTTAGAGTAATCACAAATAATCTTTAAAAAGTTCTTCTTAGTCTTGCAGGAAGTTTATGTTTGTGTTCATTATCAATTAAATCCAAGAACTTTGAGTAAGATAAATAAACACTAAAAAAAAAGAAAATACCAATTTCTACTGGCTCGTGATCCAATGTCAATTTTATTTAAAAAAAGGAATATGCTTTTATAATTCTTAGAACTTCGCATTACTTATTACGCTTCAATACTAGTTATGTTCCATGAAATTAAAATTACTGAAATGGTATGGTCGAATACGCCTCCGCGTTTAATGTATGTATATATATAATATACATAAGTTATGTTTATGTATACATACGTATTATACTATATGTAATATGCATGTGTGGGCCTATTAAATCGATGAACAACTTTAAGTGAAAGACAATTTGAAGAACAGTCTAAGATTGATCACACTTTCATACAAATAAATATATTTTATGTCAATCGAGGAGGATAGTTTTGTTGCTTTCATCTTTTCTTTTTTTTTCTTTATTTATTAGTCAATCTATTATGTAGTATCGCGTTGGTTACTTAAGATCGCTTATGAATACTTTCGATCATCCGACAATGATCGCAGTGATTAACTCGTTAGTGATTCTACCCATAGGTTTTTGTTCTCATGTATTTACACAGAACAAAGAAGTCCCATCAAACTCAGATGAGTCAGAATCAATCTCGATTAAAGACCAACTTAGTGAAGGACAAAAGAAATCAAAACTACCAGGGAAAAAAAAAATTAACATAAACGGATTTTCTACAAGTCAAAATACAACTTTCCTCACAAAGATTGGACATGGTATGATCTTTGTAGTTAGCGATTTTTGGGACTAAGTGAATGCCCTCATGAGTCGACTTAAAATATGATAAAAGTAAAGTCTTCGTAACGTTTAAAAAAACAAAACCTTTTACTAGAATTAAGCGATATTCACGCATGTTGTCCATGTGAAAATTGACTTCGTCGTTATTAAGGTATTGGTTACCCATATGATTGCACTGGGTGCCAGATGACCGGATGTGAATCTTCGTGGAAAATATTTTCACCTCACGTCACCTTCACTTCCGACTTAAGCTTTTTCTCTTCTACAAGTTTAACGTCTGTTACATGCAGGTTATGAATGCTTCTTGCTGCGAATTTGATCACCGACTGTGTGGATACCTGGGTGGTGTGTCTCAAGTCGAGGCGTTTCAGCACTTTACACCTGGCTAAATGATCCAAAGACATTTCTGTGAGAAGTCTGCAGTTGGACAGATTAAGAGATACCAGGGTAGTGACTGCTTGCGCCGGTGCGGAACAAAGTTGAGCGACGCCGGCGTCTGTGACGCGTCCACAAGAGGAGAGATCTATAGTCTCAATTTGGGGTAGATGCTGAGCGACGTAACGCAATGCCACGTCGGTGATATCGCATCCAGCTAGGGATAGGTTCTTCAAGTACTTTAATCTGGAAGTCTTGTCGATGAGACCAGGTCGGGAATCCGTTGGGGGACTCAGGACTTCCCTAAGACTGGCGTCATTCAGGCCGGATACATGACTGAGGTCTAGTGAAGTTAATGGCGGACATGTGCACGTCCTGAGGGCACATATTCCTGACCAGGTGCATCCTTGTAAGGAGAGATTTCGAAGCTGAGGTAATCTTCCAAGAAGCCATGCTAGCTGCAGTTTAGTTACGTTCGTCCAATCTAAAGAGAGACTCTCAGGTTGTCTACGAGCTATCCCTGTTAAGTGTGCCGCTGTCAAATGGCAATGCGACATATCCAGTTTTCTCCAAAGACTAGGATCTATACTATACCTTGCCCAGGTACGACAGACCAGAGCACATTGTGCCAACTCCTTGGTATTTAACAATCTGAAGACAGCCAGGATGGCTGTCTTGTCATATGCTAACGATTGTCTATTCAGTTCTGGTCCGGATCTTTGAACCGAGGATAATTGTACGGGTCTCACAACCACATGAGGTCTCTTTAACGCCTTACTAGTTGAGCCAGTTAATTGTATAGCTAATTGAGTACGTAACGCGGTTCTTTGCTCACCCTCGGCTGGTTCACGATCATTCCACGCCTGGAATTGCGAGTCGTATTGGTTCACATTTGACGGTTCGAAACCTACTTGATTCCCGGCGGTTGTTTCAAGATTCACCTCACTGGAATCTGGTCGTGAACGTTTACTGGGGGTCGTAGCTCTCTCTGAATCGGTTGTGGGAGCTGAAGAAGCACCACTCGACACTGACACCTTTCTAGCTCTAGCTTTTGGCTGTCGCGGTCTGTAATCCAAGTTTCGACCGCTTTCACAACATTCAGGACACTCCCAACTATTTGGTACGTCTTCACTGGCAGCTATCCTTTGTGGATCTACCCCGACGCAATCTGGATGCACTATGTCAAAGCAAATTGTACATTCCATTAAACTTGATGGTGTTCCTGGTATTGGTTTGCCCATCAATGGAGCTGGCTGTTGTCCCCAGCCATCTAGCTGACAGACCTTACAAGCAGCGGTCACAGGAAGCATTGGTCGCAAGCACTGCCTCATTAGGCAAGTCTGCTTGGCTCGACCACTGCCACCAAATTTAACCATGTCCTGACAGTAGACGCATTCGCCGCAATCGGATCTTGTACAGGCTTCGCACTTCTTGCATCTAGTGCGTCTTCTTCGAGGAATTCCTGATCGGTTGTTTTCAGATTTATCTTGAGATTGTCGTTGCATCTTCGAGTAATTCTTTTTAGATGCTCTCAATCGTTCCTGTAGAAAAATGATACTGTAATTTAGGTTCCTGGATGATAGAAAAATTAGTATTTACCCTATCAGCTATGGTCATTGGCGGTGGGGGTGGAAGAATTGGTTGCCCAGTGACAGCTGCTTCAGGACTATCGTGTCTGTGCTGTTCGACTAGGCATCTCACGTCGTGAATCAGGGCTACCGGATCACGTATTAATTCAGGAACATTTTTCTTGGTGGAAGGTAATGAATGCAAATACATGACAATGGACTTCAAGCCGTGTAACTCGAATGGCGTCAAGTGAACATGTTGATGATATTGTGGCATAGAATGCTGATGCTGTGTCTCAGGAATATCCAGATGTGTACGGCCCAGGAGCACGTGAACATATCGCTCGAGAACGTACCTGAGAACGAAATATTAAATGATTTAATAAAAAATTTCAAATAAAAAATAATTTCTATGAAACCATCCTATTTACCAAAGCATTTCGGTGAAGAAAGGATACCGGAACTTTTGTGGCACTTTTGTATGTTCTTCAACCTGAGCGACTTTCAGCTGTTTATCTATACCAAAACTGTGTAGAAAGTTTCCTCCAAAAACTAACGAGTCTTGAGGTGTATACACAGCATGAATCCATCCCGTGGGAATAAATAAAGTCATCCCAGCAGTTATAGTTATTCTGCCACATCTATCCACCATGTCTCCAAAGAATACATCAGATTGTTTTCCACTGAGAACCCATTCCTGGTAGAGTGCTAAGTTCTTCTCAGTTGGAGGAATTAACCAGAAGATTTTTCCACCACGTAATATATGGTACCAAACACTTGTTCCACCAAAATCAACATGGAAGTCCGTGTAACATCCTTTTACTGACATCAGGCAGTATTTTTGCACCTTAGGATACATCATATCCTCCAGAAGATTCGTTGCTTCGACTTGTGCCTCTTTCAAGTGTCTTGGCCAAATGACATCAACCCAATCAACTTGCCTAACCAAAGTAGGTGACTGCACATAATTTTCTAATTTCGTATGACTGAATTCCAAGGATATAACATTCAAAAGTCTATCCTTATTTGGTTCTTCATAATATTTTTGCCATTCTTTCATTGTCATATCCTCATTCTTCTGAGTATTTACATCCATAACATCCAAAATTCTCTTGGAGCCTAAAAACAGTATCATTGAAAAATACCTGAATCCCACTATTCATGTGAGTCCTTATATATTAAACATGAAACATATAATATGTAACAGGCTTACCGACACATGTTCTAACATCATTAATAGAAAAGTTGGAACTAGGTACTCGTAACCCCAGACCTGTCTTTTCTCGAAAGAGCAAAGGTATACCTAGGCCATGTTTCTGTAGGTATGCCAATGTTAATTCAGGTCCAGTCATTTCACGAAAGAGACCAGTAAAGTTATTAAGGTTGTATCTTTCGCATTCAATTTTTTCATCAAGTTGAAAAGATCTTCTACCCTCAATGTCCTCATCTCCAAGGGTCCAATCATCAGTGTAGAGTTTCCTAGTCCTCTCACGCTGTAATGAAACATCATCAATGAAAAATGAATCCGCGTTAAATAAATACGGTAAATACTTAAATTAATGTTATTTTATAATTAAATTTAACATCGTTTGTTTACCAATTGTCGCCTCTTAGGCACTGTAGCGGATTCATCGGCCATTGCGAACACGCTGTCAGAAACGTATCACTGATAGTTGATCAAATACTCAGAGAATTAATTACAAAACAATCTAGAAAGTTTCCTTCATGAAAGAAATACTTGCAAGTCCCTGTACGTTCACATGTCAGAAGCTAGACACGTATATTCCGATCTGACTTTTATTTGATTACACTCTGCCAGTAAAACGAGATCGCCATTTTGCAGCCGGGTAAGATAACATTATAAAGATTAAAGTTCCTAGATATTCAGTCTCATCTAGATATAGGGACTTTTGCACGGTTTCGAAACACTAGAGGGCGGTCGATCCAATTTAATTTGTTTGATCAATGAATACAAGTGGAGAAGTAAAACGATCAAAGTGTAAACATCAAATTATACCTATCTAAAATAACATATTTTTACTAGAAAAAATATATTCAAGATTTTAGTAAACGTCAGTTTGTACAATTAAAATGGTTCCGTTAATAAAGCCACAAAAAAGTCTAATACAGCGTGCTCAGATTACCAGCAATCCACAGGAAGCAATTTCGGAGTATTTCCAATCAAAGTTAGAGGATCATCAGATAAAGTAATGCTTGAAATATGCTATTCATATTACGAATTTTCTGTGCTCTCAATATTACTAATATCTTAACGTGATTTTAAATTAGAAAATATCCAGAATGGGACATAGCCAGAGTGAGTCCAGCGGCAGAGCTAATAAAGGCACGTCAAGAATTAGCATTGGCTGGTACAGAATTATCTGCAAAACGAAAGGAGCAATTAGAAAAACGTAAAGTAATGGATGAGCAGTGGAACGATTTGAGACAAAAGGAAGAGTTGCTTCGACAATCCTTTATAAAATTTAATAAGTTTGCTAAAGAGAATCAAGAGAAACGCGAACGTGCTGAGCATAAGATCAACGACGAACTTGAGCGACAAGCTGCTCGTAATGCAGAGGTATAAACGAATACAATTCATTATCGTTAGTTTATTAATTATAAATAATATATGTATATGGTACATCTTTCTCTAAGGCAGAAGAGCTCCAAGAAAAAATGAATCGTCTCCAAGAAATAAAATACAATATGCAAAAGCATGTAAAGGAGTATAAAATGTATCAGAATTATCTGGAAAAAGTCGTGAATGAGACAGGCCAATTCCAATCTATCAGCGACGTGTTCAACCGTTACGAAACCTTGGCGGAGGCGAGAGCCTCTCTATCGGAGACCCAGGATAAGAATCTTGAAGCACTCGAAGTTACCGGTACAGAAATGGTAGGGCAATACACTGTAGGAATAGTAATTTCATTGTTGTACTAATACAGTATCTTACAAACTTATGAGTACAGTACCACATGACGGAAGAGAAGTCCCAAATCTTAATGGGACTGAACAATCAACTAGCCCAACTTCAAGGTCGATATGACAGAGCGAAGCTTCGGGCTCTACGCTGGGAAACTATGGTATCCAGAATAAAGGCAACGGCAGCCGCAAAAAACCTAGAACTCACTCAAGTAAAGTCCTGCTGCTGGAATATTTATAAGCAGATATGCAGAAGAAAGGATATCCCTATAGAAGTGCAAAAAGATGATATAGAGAATCAATTAGTGCATATAAAACGTACGATATTGGAATTGAAAAGAATTACACGGGTGGCCAAGAAGAAGGCTGCAAAAAGAAGAGGCTCGTAACTTTTGTAAAGTGGAATTGAAGTAGCATGACCTTGCTTCATCAATTTTAAAGTGAAAAGCGTGTGCAGGAAAGGAACAAAATAAATAAAGGAATATGCAACATGATTTATTTCTTGTGACTATACATGATATTATACATATTGATAAGGTATCTTTACTCGCTGAGAGAGTAGCGTCTTTTTTGAGGTGATTTTATTATTTTGTTGTCTTATTCTCATACCTCAAGACTCGCACGAGAAAGCTCATAGGATTTCTACACATAAATGCACTTTTCTTACATCTTTGGCATTGCATGCTCCTGAAACTGGTTCGCTTTGTATTCTTCGCCCATCATCCACAGGATGTGGGACGTACTGATATTACTGCTTACTCTTGCCGTCAACGGAAAAGAACCGGAATGAGTGTATTCATCCTCAGGATCAATTGTCCACGGGAAAATTTAATGCAGTACTTTCTTTATTCAGTTACTGGTAACGTCTCTGCATGATCTTTCTCGCCGCTGGCAAATGACAACCGGAAACGTTATGAAGAAGTTCTGAGTAGTCATCGTCAAATCTCTGGGTGAGTTTTTCAGTAGCTTCTGTACGAGTTAATGGAGCATCTAGACCCTCGGATACATTTTGCATCTCTTCCTTTTCGACGCATCTGTATTTTCAAGGAATATTTTGCAGGAATTTACAAAGGGGAAGGACCAGGTAACAGGAAAGAAAGGTAGAGAAAAAGTTAAAGAGCTTACAAGGAACAGGGCTGAGTAGGAACTATATTAGATAATACAGGAACTTTCAGTTTAGGCTTTTTGTTCTCATCTAAACGTATCTGTGTCTTTCCAACTTTGTCGACCCAATGAACTTTATTGAACATGTCCGTTATTCGTTTTTCAATAATACCCAGATACAGCATCACGTTGTTCATAGTTACGTGGGAATTGTCACCAAGTAAATCAAGTATTGCAGAATTGTCACACCGAATTGTACGAAAGAGAGAATCAATTCCACGTAACAGTTTATCGATTACACTGTTGCACTAAAAGAATGAAAGCTCCATTAGTTTATAATTTCATTATTTTCAGATTGTACAGTGACAGTAAACGAACCTCAGCAAGATTTTCCTCAGCTGCATTAGCACGTTCTGTCTGCTCTTGAAGTTCTTTAGAGATCTTTTCCAGCGTTTCAGCTTGCTGCTGACCCCGGTGAACATTCAGGGCACGTGCATCTTCTATGGCAGAACGCAATTGCGCTACCCTGGATTGTAAACCGTCTAACTCGTCGTTCAATTCGTTTACATAGCTAAATAAAGCAAAATTCTCTTCCTCCTGCTTGACAAAGTGAGCAGCTAGCTTGTCTATTTCCTCTTCACCTAGAAATTATTGCGTGAAAACATTAGATAGTGCAATTCCAACATTTGAAATTGCAAAAAATAAAAAGGTACCTGTGAACTGTTTAATCAAAGTGAGTATCTGGGTGTAGGAAGCAATCTTATTTTGCATCTCCTCGCGCTTCGCCAACTTTTCAGCTTCCTGCTTAGCATTGAGATCACCCATCTGCCGGAACTGTCCTTTAACTCCAAGGAATTCCTGGAGTTTCATCTCATTATCTAAAGTTCGTTGAAGCTCGCACATTTCCGACGTATGACTTTTGAGGTCTCTTGCACCCCTGAAACGTGCCATTAACACATTGGGATGTGGAATCCGTTTTTGTCAGAAAAAAATATAATTAAAACAAAGACAGTGATGACAACAAACGAAAAAGAACGTAAAATCGTTCAACGGATGCAAGAAAATGTTTCCAGTTGATCTGCCACAGGTTTCTACATTACCGCTTGATTCAGTAAGTATGCAAATTCATTTCACATGATAAAAGCAATTGGCACTTTCGAAATTCCTATAACCAATTCCACTTTCATTCAGTGTCTCGAATTTCATTAGTATACCTTTCTCGTAATGCGTGAATCTTGTTCAGTTCCTCGTCCCGCTGATTGAAGGTAACAGTAGCTTGTTCGATTAGATCATTGATCACTTGCTTCCCGGTATTCAATTGGCCAATCAGTTTCATCCAGAGAACATTGAACTGTGCTCTTTCCTTGAGCAGACTGTCGATCTCGTCTCGCAGCTTTGCGTTATCCGCCACCATCACGTTAAAACGTTTCGTGGCAACTTCCAGCCTGTTCTCCAGAATGAAGACCATCTTATTTTGCTTTATGATAACTTCTTTAGATTGTGCGTCGGTCTGTATCTTCATCTTAAGTGACGTCACTTCCTTCGACACCTGAAACAATATTTCCCCTTAGGATCTACTTTTCTTTCGTCTTGGTTACAGTTTCCCAATAGTATTGCCGTTGTTTCCGGATACGCTCGGACACTTCTCGATGACTGTGACGTTAACGGCGGCACGTGTTTTAGAAAGAATTGTACAGCCGAACGAGAAGCGTCCGAGAAGATCACGATTCTCGAGTAAGTTCCGTTAGAATAGAAGTAATCGATTCTCTTGAAATTAGTCGATTCGAATGAACCAATTGGCGAGTCTTGGCAGGACCTTTATTATTTGTTCCTCCAATTCCGTGATCTGCTGACGCTCGTTCTTTATCGTTTCTAAGTACTTGCTTCGCTTTTCTAGAAGACACTTCAGTTTCTCATCCATCGCCGCGTCTTTTCTTAGGTTCGATTCGGATTTCGCAGTTTTTATTGCTATTACTAATTCAGCCTTTTCTTTCTCAAGACGGTCTATCATATTCTGCTGATTTCTTAGCTGGAGTCGTGAGTCCTCTGCGTATGCCATACGATCATTCTCCATTATTCGATATTGTCTTTTTAGTCTGGACAATTCTGCCTCCGCCATCATCTCCAGCTCCAGCTCGTCCTGGACGGGTTGTTGCCTGAAGGCCATCCTGATAGGCGGTATCTGCTACCTGATATAAAGATATAGGTTCAGAAATTGCTAGTATCGTTTTAAGATCTGAGACGTAATTGCGGATGACGTTAAGAATATTTAAATTCAGATTGTTGTCAGTAGGAGAATCATGGAAAATGCTACTAAAATATTGTCAGAGCCATAGAAATACTGACCTGTTTCAAAGCGTTATTATTCGTGGTTTTGGAGCTGAAACTTCTGATGATTTATTAGAAATGGAATGCTAATGGACGAGGAAGAAGTCAGAATATGTTGTTGATGTTCCACCAGCTTTCATGATTTTGCGAAATAACCCACAAGAGATATCCCGGATGTAACCCCAGTGTACTGTCTGGAACGACATTTAAAAAACACATCTGTTCTCACACAGCTCTGACAGCTGTAACGGCGTTGTTTTCGGTTGCCAGGCACCAGTACCAGCAATGCACCGGTATCCAGGGCAACTTCCTGCCCCTTGGCAAGGAATACCCTTGTCTACCGGTAGATGGTGCAACTCGTTTGACCCATGATCGCAACGGGGGCATGAGATACGTCTTTTGAAGGGTATACAAAATTCTTCAGGTGCGTACCCATTGATCGCACTTCCTATCCGTGGAAAAATAAAAAAAAGATACTGTTATCATTTCGATCATATTACTATTTATGAAATAAACATAAAAAAAATATAAAATATGTTTTATACACTGTGACCAGTATAATGCATTTAGTGGGCACAATGCGTTCTATAGAGATGTATATAAAATTTGCAAAACTGAATCATTGGATAGGACGTGCGCCCAAGATAGATGCGGTCCTGCGTTCGCCAGGTAAATTTGAGGTGGGCCCAGAGCGTGGGATCGAGTCAGGTGGCGGTTTGGCCAGGTGAAGTCTGAGAGTGGGGAGAAGGTAGATAGCTGAAGCGACGAGAAGGGAAGAGGGAAGTGAAGTGTCAGGGGTAGGGAAGGTGCGCCAAGGTAAGTTAAGGCTGGGTGAAGCGAGAGGCGAAGCTTTAGTAGCCGTTCCAAGTGGTTCCATGCAGCATAGAGTGTGTATATCAGGAGTGGGCAGCTCAGTCGCAGTCCGGCAAACCTGAAACCTGACGAAGCATAAGAGAGTAGGGGTACCTTCTATATTCGTTCCGGGAGCAGGATACGGCGATTCCGTAATATTTATTTTCCAGAGGATTGAGTGAGTCACTGGCTGTCTGGCTGGTTGGTTGGGTAGCTAGCTAAATAGCTGACTGACTGAATGTCTGCTCTTACTTCGGTTTCGCGAAGTTTTCAATCTGAGCTGGATCATTTAACCAGCCGATTTCAATTGCTGGGAGCAACACTGGCGCTGCTTGTTAGTTATAACAATAAATAAGAGTGACTGAATAACAAGGGTATCTAATTTACGTGTTATGTTACGTGTGCCCCGAGTGAGTGTTATTGTTGACTTTCTACCAAGGAATTGGGTGTCATGTTGGCCTGACGTGCAATTACAAGAAAGGAGGAAGCGGCCCAGAAACAACGCCACGGAATTACGTTGCAGCCAACGGATCGTTGCACCATCGGCCACCTTATAGTCGGTTTCTTTTGCTCCAGTAGCACGAAATCCTGGATTATAGTAGCAGGGAGTTGGATCGATGAGTGCTCTGTGTTAGTTTGCCAGTTATAATATTCATGACGCGATTCTACCTCGAAATACTTGGCTGAACATGTCAATTTTATGAAACGATACTTCTGCACAGATCGATTCTCTTGTATGTATCACGAGTCGTCGCTAATAAGAAAGTCACTTGACGCGTGTTCTCACTGACGTAACACATTGCAAGATCACCGTGGGTGCAATGTCAATGCAGCGAGGTACGGCTTCCGGTGATCGGTAATGACAGTACAGGTGATAAAACCTGTTCCATTCGTATTTGAATACTTGATACTATTAGTGTAATATTTGCCAGAGGCTTAATCGTGCGCGAAAAAAATAACAAGCAATCCGTTAGACCAGCCAGTGAAGTGTTACCAAGAGGTACTAAAGTGATTTACGCGTCTATTCGCTCCAAGATGAGTGCTTTTAGTTTTATATTTATCCGCTCTCGCGTGGACAACGATTTTAAAGAGAATCGGAGCTCCTAGCTGGAGGGATTCACAGTGAAGGATATAGCAGTGACAACGACGCAGTCGTGGTAGCATTGTGTTGAAAGTGCGCCGGAAGTGTTCCCGAAGAAGAAGATGCTACCAAGAAAAGAAGGGCATCTGGAGCCTTACGCTCTGGAAGACATGATCTCGGATCTGCAGGCACGCAGAAATTCATTCGATCACGAAGATGTTCCTGCGGATCCATTAGAATTGTTAAAGCAACGGGAAAGAGACTTGGTCCTGGCTGCTGAGCTCGGCAAAGCCCTCCTCGAGAGGAACCAGGAACTGACCAGACAGAGTGAAGCTCTTACCGAAGAATATGCCTCAAAGTTAGAGGTGAACCTCTCTTTTTTTTTGTATTAAATGACACTTTCCAAGTGATCGCACTAGCTCCTCCGTAGCTTCTTTCGCCTTTCTTCTCTCACTCAGGCAGGAGTCTGTAACCCATGGATGCTATTATACACGTTCGCCCCACACGCTAACATCCTTCTTACCTTCTTTCGCAGGAGGATGTTCCTAAACTCTACTTTAGGTACGCTAAACGACATTGCGGTACAGCGTGGTCAGTTCAGAACGTGAGAGAATTCATTTCTGATACGCGAGTTAGCCTTGTAACGCTTGTTGGTTTTGTCTTGAGCCTCTCAAAGCCAGTCACTTCTTGTATAAAGTTTTAAAGGACAACGAGAATGCTTCGCATTCGTCCTGGAAAGTGAATTAAAAAAAAAATGAAAGTACGTTTCTCTCGGATTTCGCCTGAATCGAAGCAAGAGAGGACGCAGGCGATTACACAAATTATATTTTAACGATTCTACGTAGCAACTAATCGTAATATAAATACCCATACACCAAGCGCATATCATGCATTCATCAAAATTCTAAACAATTATATTGCCGAACATAAATTGAGCAAGGAAAGGTGGAATTATACGGAGCGACAAATACGTAGATAAGATAGGAACTAAGAATGGTATCGCACAAGTGTTCATCGTCTTTCATGCTCTCAATATTGATATAACAACTTGCGTAGGTACATTCGCATATGTCATTCTAAAGAAATAAGACTGTCTGACCCCTTCGTGACTAAATGGACTAACGCATTAAAGGTCCTCATGGCTATTCGCAACGCGTAATAGGATTCTGATAGACAACCGTTCTACGGAAACCCACGAAAGCGTGGAAATAAGCCACTTAGGCAACATAACTTCAAAGACAATGCCCGGCACCACGCTCTGCCTGTCTGCCTACCTGCTTGCTTACAACGGCTACCTATACCTGCTTGCGTACCGGCCTTTACGTGGGATTCTGTCACCTCATTTTTGACCTCCATAACACGTTGAAGGAACTATACTGCTGAGGTCTTTGTCTTATAAGTTCATACCGGTACCACCATACCTCAATGTTTAACCATGGTACACGCGTTTGATGGGGGCACAATGATACTTAATGTCTTACTCTGTTTAGGCACTTGTACTTGCTACTCCTATGTACGTAGGTAACGTAAACAGAAATCGCGTTTACAACTCACAACAATTCTCCATACTTCTCGCGCTAATAAGAAAGTAATAACAGAGCGTTCCGATTGTTTCTCAAGCCAACTGTTGCATTACCGCGTGCGTGGTTGTATTTAATATGTTACTACGACGAAGGGACGATTCTTCCTTACTTTGTAGCGAACTCGTACCATTTTTAGGATGGAAACTCCTTTGTGTCCTTCGTTGGGAGGAACGAGAGACCGTTTTGGCATTCGGTGTACACGCTGCTTTGCTATTGTTCTCTGGATATATTAACGCTGGTTAGTTGCTGCTAATTAGGATTTGATTGGCGCTCATCAGTATTCTGCAATGTATACAATGTATATTAGTGAATTATTAATTTTCTTGAAATTTAAAATAAGTGAAAAGGTACATGAGCTACTTGAAGAATATAGGTTAACTTGCAATGATAATCGGGACGTGTGCTGCTGTACTTTCCGATTGTTATCGAGAATGAGCGATGCATTTCCGGGGATTTAATTAATCCTTGTATACAAGATATAAATATCTAAGTCAGATCTCACGGTTCATGGAATCGTTTCATGTTTTCGTAATTACGTTAAATCTTTCTGTCCTCCCCCCCCTGCAGTCACTGGAAAAAAAAAGAGAAAGAACGTAATATAAACGAGAGTTACGATTTGTAATATATTCCTATCTGTTATCTGTAACTGTATCGTGTATTTTCGCAAACTTCGTTAACCTCGAGTTCTTATTAATTATACCTGGAATCAGTTGCCTCTTTTTTGTCCGTCGGTGTAAACGCAAAGGAAAGAGAAAAACGAAAGAAGCAAAGTACCGCTCAGCGAAAATAGGTTGATTTACGTGGGCAGCGATATTAGGTAAGACGCGTTAACTATTGGAAGGTTAGGTAGCCAAAGAGTTGTGTAAGAAACCAAGGAAAATAGCGGGTGTGATTCGTAACTCGCTGGCAAAAAGTGGATCAGTAGGCACGCCGAATAAGCAAGGTCTAGAAAGTCCGCGGATTCCGTGGCATCCTGAGAATCTCGTAGAAACGCGAATAGAACGCGTCTCTTTTTTCTCATTCGGTTTATTACAATTGCCTATTAACCCTGTGGCGATACGCGCATGCGCACAAAGGACTCACCGCTTTCGTCGAATACCTAGCTACTACTGGTTTTACCGATACACTGACTCCTGGAATGTATTTAAAGTAACAGATAAACGTCCGTTATTATAGGTTTCCCTTTAAGCTATTACACTGGAATGCAAAGGGACACCTGAGTAAAATGGCACTATGCTTCAGCCGTATTCCTGAATTCCTAACAGGATTATCCCTTTCTAATCCACTTGTCTACCTGTAGCATTCCATGGTTCTAAAATTCATGAACTTTCTAGGTTATCTTTTCTTCTGCATTCATCCCCTTCACAATTACATTCTTGATCATGTATAAGATAGCTGGAAGAACCAACCTAAATACATGGAATAATAACATAGCTATTTATAGGTTATGTATATTTGTTATACCTTGAAATTCTGTAGACGTCATTCTAAATGACGAAGAGGATGTTCAAGTGGACCGGAAGGTCTTGAAAACTAGATCATCGCATGAGTATTCTAGTTCGGCACGCTCCTTTCTTCATTTCTTGTTGTTTACTACTGCTGTATCTGTCTTATACCTTTTATTAGGCGTATGACTGAATACACGCACGCGAGTATACAATTTCGGTGTTGCATATCCGCAAGGGCAGCGGTTTTCTCATCCTATACTCTGACTATACTCGATTCGTCTATACTCACCAGGGTTATCCAGTTACATGACGTGTAACACGAGAGTATCCGGCGTCTACCCACTGATACGGCTCGCCACTCAAATCTCCCTTTTTCTAATAGACATTAGCTACCATTTCAACATACAGAAGGACATGAAATTAGCAAAATTTTATTTCTAATTCTTGTTGATCAAAGTAAAAATATATTAATTGCGAGTAGAATACTTTATAGCTGTATGTCAATAATTGGCCTTGAGTAGAAAGAAAAGTGCATTCTCAGCAAAACAATATCTTTTAAGCAAGATGCACCAGGAGCGCCATTTAATGTCGCAAGTAATTCCACCGTGCAAGGTACTCCGGACTTTAGATATTCAATTCACCGACAATGTGCAAATAATAATGGAGGCTTGCGTCAGAAAAAAAAAATCATATCCGTCCAGCTCATATCATTTTGACGTTAAAGAAAGGAAGTGAAGTCGTCTCTCTCTCTCTCTCTCTCTCTCTCTCTCTCCCCCTTTCCCTCCCCCTCTATGATGATAAAAATGTATTCGATTATGCAACTCAGTGAATAGTACTCATAAATTCTATCGATTCCCCCTTTCCCTCCCCCTCTAGCTCATATCATTTTGACGTTAAAGAAAGGAAGTGAAGTCGTCTCTCTCTCTCTCTCTCTCTCTCTCTCTCCCCCTTTCCCTCCCCCTCTATGATGATAAAAATGTATTCGATTATGCAACTCAGTGAATAGTACTCATAAATTCTATCGATTCGTCACGCTGACGACTTTACTGTAGCCAACCGAATCTATATCTTATCGGTTCCAAACACGAGATGACTTCCTCCTAAGGGAAAAATAGCGTATGAAATAAAGTAATAGGGTCGTTCACGTTTCCTTAAGTAATCACAGTAAGTTTTCTAGGAATGATCAAAAACGAGCACCTGGACAATTCTCAAAGATCGACAGTACCTAACAATCTACTTGGTCATGCCGATAGTTATAAAGAGCAATCACAACCGTTGATTCTCTGGTAATCGTTTGGTGCCGGTGCATTACGTAAGCCATTAGATTGCGCTGATTTTACTTTCAAGACAGTCCAGATACTTGGCAATCGGATGGGACTGAAGGTATAAATTGACTGAACTACTTGAATAATCCAGTGGTTACGGGCCACTGCATTTTGCTCATTGTATTGCTATTATAGAAAGACATTATCGTTCGACCACCAAGGGAAAGTAAGTACAGGGTGCTTGAAGCTAATCGAAGCCACAAGGCAATAGACGGTAGCAGGTAAAAATGAGTGACGTTCATTTTCATAAGGTATACAGTAATCACCCGGTATGGTCCATAATTGCTTTTTTGTATTTATATTCCTATTGCATTTACCTAGAAAAAAAAAGAAGAAAATATGTCAAGTTATTATAAGCCTTAATTTTTAAGCTCCGGCAGGAGATGTAATAAATAAAATATAATTTATCAAGATTAAGATGGAACGATCTGCATGGAGCTCCTCGTTCCATGGGTTCGTAACACTCCATATAAAATGAGGGCAACGCTCCTGGATAAATAACGGTTTTGCAAGAGGGTGTAGAACGCCATTAGGAGTGCTAGAGCCATGCTCTGTACTACGCATGCAGTAACGATAGTCTTGTAGTGCTGGATAAAAAACTGTCTTTAAAAGTAGAATTACATAAAATTACTTTGCATAATCAAGTATAGTCCAACAAAGCATTTTTCGCTCTGATGCCTCTGTAAATGAGTCAGAAAAATGTTAGGTTAGGTTAGAAGCCGAATATATAATAACTTAATAGCTTGTTAAACAAACGGATCGATATTCGTGAACGACCTCTCACGTGGTATATGACGTGACCCTAGACTCACGTGGTCAAAGATAAAAAGTTAACGAAGAACATGGACGTGTGACTAGCATGAAAATAGGATTGCAAGTGATATTAGAATGTAGAGAGAAATAGCAGTGGATCCGTGACTCATTGATCTCGTTACACAAAGCCGTGAAGTATATTGTGTATATATATAAATATACACGAGTAGTTAACATGCTTCTAGAATATATAATATTATAAGCCGCAGTCCTCGCATAATTCTGTATTGTAGTTTCTCTACCACGATCGAGACTCGAAATATAGTGTGACTCTTATACGGGTGCGAAGGCTAGTTCATAGCTTCGATTCGCGATTTCAAACGTAGTTTAGGGGATCAGCGAACCTCACCAGAAATCGGTCGATGAGTAACCACGGGAAACCAAGGCCACAGCGACGACCAACTAGGCTGTTCGATAAGCTTAAACTCGGTAGAGTACATAGATATCTTGAATAGGTACATATTCACCTATTTGACTGTATGTATGATTATAGCGCACTAGCAATTGCACGCCGTTTTAAAATAACTGCGTTAATCATTGGGAGAACTGTGACGCCTGAAAACAAAGAGGATTGGATGAAATTGGAGTTACTTTTTATATACACTACAGTAGCTTCGTTACGTATATGCGGTTTTAACTGGGAATTTATTTAGAGAAATAGTAACCACCTTCCGGATCGTCCTTCTATCCTCGTGCGAATCGAGAAAGCGGATTACCTTGACGGTCACCCGGTGACGTACAGTTCTCGAGCGGACAACTTGAATTTTATTATATCTTGCTTGCCGCAAGAAATAAAAGTTCTTGAATTTCCTTTTGTTTCTAAAAGATGCTATCATCTTTTTTTTTCACCATGTATTTTATATTAGTAAATAACCCGTGCAGTGAGTCAATGAGATAAATCGGAGCTGGGAAATCAAAGTGGCGTATCTTATCGTTCCGCGCAAATTGTACAAGACAGATTAAATCGTCAGATGGTTGTGCAATAAATCGATCAAGTATCGATGTTAAATGATTTCAAAAGGCAAATTCATCGTGTAATGAAAATGTCCAAGTGACGAGTGACGTAGTTAAATTCGGTCTGACTGTTTGCTCTCGTGACCCCGCGGATCCGTACGGATGTCGTTGGGTAACGGAAAGTGAAAAGAAACTTAAGAAACTAAGAACTTGAGAGAGTGTAGGCCATATAGCATTGCTCAATACACGCGAGAAGTGACTTCCGAGTCAGCTAGAACAACTAGGTTTTGGTTTTCCTGTTCTGCCACTCTCCCTGCCAACTAATATAATAATTACTTTCACTCGTACGTATCTTATACGATTACACAGTCGTATGATAACGAACAAAATATATGCAGTGACATGGCAATCTAAAATTCAATGTACCTCCTTCGAGATTCATTAATCTCTTGATGACTTACTTGCTGATCTGTCAAATTCACGATTCCTCTTCCTTTTCCCCCTTTTCATTGCCAAACTGTTCAAACATTATCATCCTCATCCAATGGATATATACGATAACGGCCGTCGCTCATAACGACTTAACTGAGTCACGACAGTCAGCCTTCTCGTACTTTCCATTCCATTCTGAAAAAAAATGATAGGTAAATATCTCCTGGTGCAGGAAAGGAGAATCCTTTGGACACACTCTCTTCTGCAATTTACGTCGTGAAGAGTAACGGTAGTAAAGATAATTAATAAATTTACCGCAAAGAAAATATGTAATTGTCAGCCGTAATGGGCTCTTCGTGTTTCAGTATTTAGATGTCTCTCATATTTATACCTGAGAAACTTAGTCCAGCTACTACGTCATGCAGCTTTCATTGAGTGAATCATCGTCAAATTCGTAATCGTGTTCACTCGCTGACTCCAACCTACGAATTTTATATTTTCGTTAGTGCAATAATCAATGGATCGATATGCTTAGTTTACCTATGATATAAAGTGACATCAGAAGGTGAGAGAGAAGGTGCAGAGATAGAAAGGAGAATTGAATAACGTCCTTCGTCCTTTCGCCTGTACCGACTGACGCACCGGTGATTCTTATGCAGGTATACACGACCTGTAATACCAAAGTAATGAGATTATTCACTATTAGGATTTATTGTAACAATGAAATTTTCGCGAGCCTACAAAGTTTAATGTCATGGTACGTAACGAGAGTCACGCATGGCTGATCGACGATTTTCAGACTTTTACTTTATTTTATATCGAACTCATGACCTGTTAGAGTTTAGGCTTCATCCCAAATCAGTGCAAATAGAGATTCGTAGAATAATATTGATACGATAGATGAGTCAGACTCATCTGGAAGGATGACAAAATGGTTTAGTGTGTCATATGTAAATTCGATGACGAAGATTTTATTATTCTTAAGATCCGTTAAGTCGAGACCCACGTGAATGTTTTATAGAATTTCACCAAGTCTTTTGGCACATTTAGTAGCCTGTTGAAGTTCTCTGTTTTTTTAATATGAAGAATTATCTTCTTTTTTTTCTTAGAGTTTGGAACAGGAGAGGCACCTGTTGAGAAGAAGACTGGAGGAAGCGAGAGGTGAGAGCGAAGCCAGAGCTCTGGAGCTTCAATCCGACGTGGAAGCCTTGAGGAGTCAATTAGAAGAACAGACAGAGCGTGCCCGAAGAGCGGAACGCGAGCAAGCGACCCTGGTGTCTGAATTGACAGCTCAGAATACCAGATTAGCTGATCAATTGCGTGAAGCTGCTAAGCAGGAGGAGCAACTGCTCCTGGAAGTGAAAGTCTTGAGGGAGAAATGCACCCTGAGAAATACCACTCTACAGGATCATGTTAGCAGTCTGGAGCTACTTCGAGATGAGGTAAGAATATAATTAAACGAAGCCTAATAACAATCAGTGTTTTGCTTTCGCGTTAAGATTCTCATAACGTTTTACGTATGCCAGGTGCAGCTGGTATCCGCACAGAGGACAGAACTAGAGAGGCGGACTCTGGAACTCCGTGAGGAAAGAGCCAGGGCCGTGGCTGCTCTGGAGGAAGCCGAAGAAAGAGCGGCAGCCCTGGAGAGACTGGGACACCAAGCGGAACACAGAGCAAGAATAGCTGAGCAAGAAAGGTCAATATTTGTGTTAGAGTCAGTAGAGAAGAAAAAAATTTCCTCCCTCAGGAACCATCCTGTTATCTTTCGAGCATGAAGATTCATCAAGGACAGCGATGCTGATAATTGATGTATTAAGGATCCTTGCGCTCTCTTTCAGGGACGAGCTAGCGTCGGCTCTGGCGAACATCGAGGCTGAGAGAAGAGGTAGATCTGGGTCGATACCAAAAACTCCAAGGTCCTTGCAGGCGGAAATGGAGTGCGAGGAGAGCGGAAGCTCACTTGGTGAACAGGAAGACCTCAGGGCGGAAGTGATTCGCGCTTGTAAGCGAATGCGCGAGCTGTGCACTCATTTGAGAAGAGGCGAGGACGATTCGGGTCTCCAAAGCGACTGCGACGAGTCCATGTTGGTTATTGTTAATGGAACAGAAGCTGAGGTGAGTCACCTGGAGTAGAATGAGCTATCGAGTTTCTCATTCCTCCCTCTCGCCATCCTCTTGATAATGTAAACCCGATAACGGGAATTGCTCGTGAAAGGAGCCAGAGGACCGGAAGAAGGTTGGACCCCAGCCGTGCTTCATAAAAGTTTTCTGTTTCCTTCTCCGTGGACCGAGACACTTCCTCTCGTTGATAATCCACGCTTCCTGAGTAGCCATTTCCTGTAAGAGAGAGTAGCGTTATCCTTAGCGATTTCCAAATTTGCATAGAGAATTCTGATCAAGCGTATCCAAACGTTGTGTCGTTCTTCCTCGCTTGAGTAAACGTGCTGTGTGTTTGCAGGCCAACTGTCCTGGAGCTTTGGCGGAATTGACGGAGGAGATATTCAGGCTGGCTCTGTCCGGCCGAGGTGCACCGGGAGAGCTCGGTCTTGCTGTGGAATTACACCGGGTACGAGAGGAATTGGAACACACGAAGGAACAATTGAAACAATCGCAGGAAGAGCTGAAGCGCCGCGGAGAGACGCTCCTAGAGACGACGAGTAAACTCAGTGTGTGCGAAGCGGAATTGCGTGGCGTAAAGGAGGAACGTGATCGTGCACGTGGCGATATAGAAGATTCAGAGCTGACGAAGGACGAGATCCTGGCGCAGGCTTATCAAGTGAGAGACCAGGCGGTGGCGAGGAAGAACCGCGCGGAAGTTGAACTCGCAAGAACGCGGATAGACGTTCTTCAAGCCAACAGTCAGCTGATGGAGGCTATACAACAAAAAGTTGAACTCAGTCAGCAACTGGAACAATGGCAGATGGACATGCAGGCTCTCTTAGACGAGCAAGTTAGGAGTAAATTAATGCCAAGCAATGGTGCACTCACCTGTACGAATAACGAAGGTTCGGATATCGTGGTGCCGGCAAGAAAGAAGAGGAATACAAGTTCCTCGAAGAAGATCTTTGGCTTCTTTTGAGGGAATCGACGGGAATCATCCGGGAACTTATTCACACGCGAAAATGCTCTCTCGGCGAGTGTCTTCTCGTGCGATCTCCTCTCGAATAGATAAAACTCATTCTGTATAGGTACATGATGTACATAGAAAATAATATACAAGAGAATGCAAAGAATCTTCAAGAAAATGAACATTCTTCCTGCATTCTCAAAGATACTCGATGCGTGCTAGTAGGGACCATTGCAATGGTAGTTTGTACCTGAAGGAGCGCCCTCTGGTCCTTTTTGGATTTTTCAAAAAAATCTATATTAGGAAAAATCACGGCTTTATACTTATCCCACAGGAGATCCCTTATTTGGGAACAATTGATCAAGGGAACTAAGGACCCGTGATAAGACAGTGAATGTTCTTCTTAGCATAAGAATAACAAAGTTATATAAAAGGTGCCTCGTCACCCTAGGACAATGTCGACGTCCCAGGTCCGGGTGTACCACGTCGTTCTTCAGTCAGTTCTTTTACCTTTGTAACGATTAGACCTCTCTACATGTATTATCCATCGGGACTCCTTCTACTGAGTCATGCCAAAATGAGAGAATGCTCTCTTAGTTTCGCGTGCCTGTACATAGTAATACTGTATTGTAATCATCGACAGTGGGCGCTGGAGGTCGCCTCAATATCTCTCTAGAGAGAACGAGTGACTCAATGTTTGACCGGAACTCTTTCGAATCGATCCGTCCTTAGAATGTCCGTCCGATGGATGCACGATGACTGAGTATTTATTAATAAACTATTACAGTCTGTGAAATCTACCATTGTCCAATGTATCGCGAGGAACGTCTTCTTGACTCTTCTACGACGGACATTTAACAATTCAGCAAGATTAAGAGTAACGACAAAATGCCATTTGAGGATTCTGTTTTCTCTTCTTTTTGGGAGAATCTCTTCGAACTTTCGTGGATAGGCAATGGTATTGGCGACTTGTTTCATACATACTCAGAATGTATTTCACGTTGATCCCTCGAGATCTTCGAACTTTAGTTGAGAAAACTCGATCCCTGTAACATAAAAGAAATTTCGTGCGCCTATCGCGAGATAATGTATTATAAATTTTCATTAATCACCAAATCAGCTATAGGTATTGTACTTACACGTATTTATTTAATAAAAATCATGTTGTACAGATACGCCTTATCGTTTCTTCCAGCCGTATACTTACCTTAATTATCACTGGTATTGCCTGCAGTACTCGCTTAGTAAAGATATTAAAGAAAAGCTCGTGCACGTTAGAAGATTTAATCGCAAGAACGTACCGCTATTCGTTAATCCAGCTGTGTGTACAAGATCGACGCTCGTCCACGTGGATCAGGCGTAGGAATAAACTCATTACGAAAAGCCGTCAGCGTCTTTACGACGTTCCTTCCAATTAATCTCAGCAGAGGCGTCGTTTGCGCGCGGTCTACCCGGCGCATAATTAACATCACGATGCAGCGTAACGTTTTATTACTGATTTATTAGATTTTTAAAATATTCAGAACAGCGCGTAGCTCTTATCGTTAGGATAAACATCGGATATCATAAGGTACGAGACATGATAAAATTAAGGTTAACCCACCGACACGAAAACTGATCCTTTATCAGTGGCAATCGATCGGAGACAACGTTCCTCTTATCGGTATATAAAATCCTAAGCATCGGGATACCAATAACAAATAGGACAACGCGTCGCGACGCTCAGCACCGTCATGCTCGCTGAACTATACCCACTTATGAATATGCATCGATGCAATCTGGCCGCTTCAATTCCGCATTACACGTGTCTGCGTTTCCGTCCCTTTACTTTCATATTTACGTTCGAGTAATTCACTTGGTATCGTATTCTCTACGTTGCGTTTTCCTTTACTTGCTTCCTTTGTGCAACGGTCCAAGCTTCGGTCGATCAATCACGGGATCGGTTCTAGCATTGCTCGATGCCGCACGATACCGGCAAATAAGCACGAAGAGACACCGGTCACCCTGCCGCATAGAAATCTGAATTATCGGGTGCCAGTATTTTAAAGTAGCGTCAGAGAGAATAAAAATTGTTATCTCGTAAATGTGTGGACAAGACGTCGTGCGCTTATTATAGGCTGTCGTCCTGACAGCAGGACGTTGACACTAGTTGTTCTTATGTGTATATATATAGTTTTTTCTTATTCTCTTCGTTTACGTCGACAAAATTAATAATTATTCTAGAACAAATACGAGATTCAAATATATTATTTGTAGATGAAACTTTGGATATGTTAAGATTTAAGATCGTTAAATTGCTTGACAAATGTGACGGCGCTCGTAACGAATCACCATCGGTAATCGCAGTTGGTTCTCGATTCCGTTAGGCCTGGTACCGACTGTCAATAATATGTCGACCGTATAGGCATACCGAAAAGGACGTAGTGCACGGGCACTGCCGTCGAGGAACTAGCACTAGCATCGCATCAAGGAGGAAGCTTTGATCAAATTCAGGAAAGTCCTCCGTCGTAAATACGTTATGTCGAATCTACTCACAGGTTCTAAAGTATGTTTTTTTTTACATTCCCATTGAATCGCCATTTGAAATAGACTTTTTTACTTTTCCACTCGAAACTTCTTCCTACAGATTACCAGAGACAAGTTCCTATGATCCTGAATGAACGAGGCGAGGGAGTTTTGCGTTCGGATCTGAAGATCGGAAATAAAGTTTCCACGGGTAAAAAGCTAACTGAAGCTCGTACGGACGGGAATAAAAAGAATAGTACGAAGGTACACGAGAAACGAGGTGAAGAATAAAAGAAATAAAGAAAAGAAGAGAAAGAAACATCAGACGAGATGTCCAAAGAGAAATTGGGTCTCCCCATGGAGTTTCTACCAATTTTCACAATTTCAATGCTCTCTGTACCTAGCGTGAAGTACATTTAAGTAGGTACGTGACAAAGAAGAAAATCGAAAATGGTCCACAAGTGCTTTGAGCCTCCTCGACGACATATTAATTTATTCTATCTAAAGAAGACGAGTAGGTAGGTACGAGAGACGCCGAATGGATCCTAGTATGCAGGAGATTGCTGCTCCTCCTCGTCTTCCTCTTCGTCCTCGTCGATTCCAGGTTCCCCCAGTGCGTGAACGAATTCTGCAAAAGGCAGAAAGGACATTAGAGACACTGAAAAAGAAAGGAACTTGAAAAGAATAAAAAATATGAAATGTGGGAACATTGAAAAATAATGTGACCGCGTAGGCAATCTTGAAATTTTTAGTTCGCCAATTCCAAACAAAAGTGTCCCGAATATCGTTTCCGGGACGGAAAAGCGCTGCCAGCTTTTTACGGAGCTTTTGACGTGTACTACGAATAGCTGGTGAATAGTGGCTAGATACACGGTGTGAAACGAACCGATAAATAAACCCTTTCTTTCGTCTTGACCCGAACAAAAAAAAGCAAGCTCACGATTTCCCATTATTTTTAGAATGTAGCCCAAGAATTACGCACTCCGGATAGACGACACTTTCTTCTAGTTTTTCAGACTATCGCCACTCTATTTCCCCGTGGTGTCGTCCAAGAGCTTTTGTTTTTTTCATGGCATCCGCGTCGCCAGGCACGAGAACGAGAAACGCATCTGCCTCTAAACGAGAAACCGGAGTGCTTTTCGAATGGGCGTTCAAGCCACAGACGTCATGTAAGGTTTTTAAAATATAATTCACAGCCTCATAAAAACTTTCAACGAATTATCAGAAAAGTTAGCTTCAGTAGGGTAATGTATAATACGTGAAAGTCTCTTTCAGTTCTCTGCGGACCACGGAATGAATAACACAAAGGCGTGACCTGATGTAATTAGCAGAAACTAATAGAAAGGAGTCTTTGGCCGCGTTCGCACAGCTCTTGGAATTTCGTGCGTTTGAAGGGAGGTCAATTATGGGTATCCCTCGGTTGGTTGAGCACTGAAAGAGCCTGTACAGGGAGAGAGGGTCGATGCCGAGATTGAGCCGTGACTCAAGAAGGAAGGGTTGTGGTTTGCCACTGAGCAACGGAGGCGTCCTAGCACGCTGCTGGTTTCTTCGTGTTTTCTTAGCTTCCTTGTTTTCAGGGTTGCCGAAGTGCGTCGTAAAGACGGCAGTCTTCGCGCTCGATTTGTTGGATGGACCACCTTTCGTTTTGCTCTTGGTGTAATCTTCGCCAGGAAAAATCCCATCAAGAGGAACTTACCTCTACCGATCTAAGGAAGGTAAAGATACCTTTTGCTGCCACCTCACAGCATCTCCCATCGTCTCTCAACTATACCTCCTGTTTAACCATTAAATTCTGACATTTTTCTTTCTACGGTTGTGACACATTTAATGCCATGTAGTTATACCTTTCTTCTATTTACTCATTTGGGATACGTGTATCTACCGCTCAGTGGGTAGACATGTATGAGATGAGATCAGGATGAGAACCAAGCTTTGGACAGTTTTTGGACACTTACCATAGAAATCAATACGTCCATCTCCGTCCACGTCCACTTCCTTGATCATGTCCTCAACTGTAACAGAAGAGGTATCCGAGAGTAGGATTAAAATTTAGGTAGCTTCAAAATAGTTTTATGCGGTATTTAATTTTGGATGTCGCTGTGGTTTCACTTAAAAATATGACTTCTCCGTGGCTGAGCATTCTGATTAATAATTCGTATCGCGCACACGGTACGAGGCATCATCACCAGTTCTTCATTGCTGAGGAAAAAGGATTGCGAAGACATCTTCAATTATTTCCCTGTTGGAATTTATCGGCCCACTTCGAGAAACGAGCGGACGGCGTTGGGAATTTTAAAGATCTTCTCCCCGTCGAGGGAGTCTTCAACCTGAGTATTTATTAGTATATATATATATATATTTCATAATTCTACTTGTGTTCAAGATCTTAAATCTTTGAATGACGCAGTTAAACTATAGAAAGTTTAAAACGTTTCTTCTTAGGTCAACCGCGTATAACTTCTTTTAGAGAGCAATTTTTTATCATAAAAATTTTTACTATAGAATTTTGATATTGACCTGATATAACGCCAACCGACCGATAGACTGTACCTATATACATATATAAAAATGTACTATTGTCGCATTAACGATTCTAATTAAATCAACAAACCGGGATTAGATCGATCGCTGAAGCCCGTCCTCGTTTAATATCGAATTTAAAACAACCATTGTATATTCACCAGTTGACGTGACACCAATGAGGATCAATAATAAATTAAATTTATCCTAATAGAAATCAGCTGAATTCATTAAGATAAAGCAGAAAGAGGATTTTTCTTAAATTTCCTCTATACGATTCTTTATAAAATGCCTGAAGTTCACTGTGTTCATACTCACTTTCCTCCTCGGACAAATCCTCTCCCAGGCACTGGAGGACAGCTCGAAGATCGGATGCTGTGATGTAGCCCCGATTGTGCTTGTCGAATACCTGAAACAATAATAATAATTCACTGGTCACAAGACCATTAAAACTCGACGAAACAAGTAAATCTATCAAAGCTCCAAAGATTTTCCTCCAATTGTCAAGCTGCAATATCGCTTGTAATATATTAATAAATTAAATAGCATTCATCATCTGTCATGGTCATTACCCGAAGGGATTTCACTAACAAGAATCAAATCCACTTAGTTGAACTCCTTGTCTAAGGATATGGAAGGAGGAACAAACATCACCGCTTCAGTTCAAACACGTCCCATCGTTTCACGGGATATACTCCATTCAAGGTTCACGTTAAAGCGTACGAATTTCCCTTCCACAGATCCCAACTGGAATTTGTCCTTGTTAACGGCTTACGTCACTTCGAAATCCAGGACCACTTCAAACAAGCTATACATAATATACAGAGTATACAATAATACTAACGCCAATTCCAACTGGTATTTGCATTACGTTACGCAACTAAGTCGAAACTTCAATAAATTCGAACGAATTTTCATAATTCCCGCCATTAAGTATCGTAGCCAAAAATATCTGAGCCAACGTGTATAATTCCTGAAAATTCATTGTCATTCAAGTATCTTGATTCCATAAATGTTCGTTATCGCCAAAATAATTAAATTGTAGGTTAATGAAAGACTGTCTAAGATTTCATAACGAAACAAGCTATTGACGATGATATGGGACACGATATTAATGTAATGCACAACTCTAATCTACTGAGACGACGGTAACGTACGATTACGATATGCGGGTCATGGATTATGGATTACGGGGAAACAGGATTACGTAGCTGATTTAATGCCATCAGCCCATCACTGACAAGAACTTTGTAAATTAGTTGGATAATTTGGACATTTTTTGTCTAACGGATTTAGGTTAGAACGTGGATGCTCGAGTGTTGATTTTCTGCACTGTGTCATTAATAAAGGGAAATTTATTATCAAAATCACGTCACGAAGTACGTTATTATTATATTACGAATGTTGTAAAGTTCGACGATCATAGTTGTTGGACTATTTGTTTACGTCCTTTTCGCATCGATTGTATGGCTACGTGCCTTTTAATGTGGAGCACAGGGAGTGAAATTTCGATACAACGAAATGGAGATTACGTTGAACGATACTGTGGAAAGAATTACCGTTAACGTTATCAGCCTTTACGTAACCGTTCTGGCCGAGAGAACTGGTAACATCAATCAGTAGTACTGTGTAGGACACTTGCATGGACTTGCAAACATTGGACGCGTTGGAAGGTACTTTTTATACACGATGTGAATATTTCATTTGAATTTGACGATCGTTAACTGAATTTTCCTAATGTTAATTAGAATTAGGATTACAATTTATGCATACACGTGTACGCTGACGTGATTAGGATTATGGTGAATCAAATGAGAAACGGAATTGAATCGAAGCTTTCGGAAATGAAGGTTATAATTAGTGTAAGCTCGTCGTTTGCTAAACTCACTATTGTCAATGCATTAAATAAATAATGTATAGATACGTTCACACCGGTTCAGATTAGAGAGACAGAAAAGGAACTAAAATCAAAGACGGTGTCCGTTTTTTTTATGAGGAAGATTGAAAAAATTTTAAAACTATCGACTGACCCTCCTGTTTGGTTGTCAGGACTAATATAAACTGCTGTCAAAACTGTCCCACGCGCTCTTTCGTCATGATTCAACAGTATTCCGATGTATCTACGTTCCGTAAGCATTCGAAAAAAATTGAGAAAGAGATGGATTCTTATTTTAAAATCGAGCAAAGCCATCAAAATGAATTTTCGTCTCAGGTAATCATTCTCGCAGTAAATTATCCGTGGCAAGTATGGCGTGCGTGTGCGATCACGAATTTCTGCCCTTATCGAAAAGGTTTCGTGGCCTGGGTACGAGAAAAAGAAAAATAAGGAACCCAAAGCACAGAGGCAGGGTGCGATTTTTTCCCATCGAGATACCGGAGAATAAATCTCATCCTATTATCACAATGAGAAAAGAAAGGAAGGAGGGATAGAAAATGGGTGAGGAGCGAGTATACGAAAGTACTGGTTTATATTCCACGATGAAATTTACTGGGATTTCAATTCGTTCTCTTTTCTCCATTTAAATAAATAACAATTACCGCGCCATTCTTGTAATCACAATCGATCCTATAACTTTATCGTTAAGCTCCAGTTAAATAGTTACCGGCGTTCATTCACTACTGGAAGACCCTCAATCGACCAATCAACGGAGAAAATTACTGCAGGTGAGTTACGTCGAAGTTACTAATTGGACTGATACTTTAATCAGCGAGCGCGTATGCAACGTGACCGACTCGGAGGCGGGAAATTTGAATGTTCGTTGCATAAACGTGTACGTCGGTTAGATAGATCACAAGGCTCGCGGGTGAACAATGAATTTTTGTTATAGTTCAAAACAGACCCAGATAGATTTGGATATATGGATCCTGCAGAGTATTTTTTTTTAAATTCTTGGATTTTGAACATAAAAAATCTATTGTTTCATGAGTGACACAGCACTTCAGCACATTGTGGATATTGTCACTCTTATGGTTCTCCTTTGTCTAGTTTTCCTCCTATTCCTCTCAAACGATTACCGAGGTACGTAGGCGCGTAATACCTGTGTCTAGATATCTCGTCTTTCTCATTTTGAAAAAGCAACGACAATTCACTGCCGGCACGGCAGCCAGGTCGCGGAGATTAAAATATCGACTTGGCCAAGGTAGCTGGTGGTACGTATGCACGATACCTAGCGCATGACCTCGATGCTACTCCCGTCAAACCTCTTAGCAGCTTATATTATTCCTAAAAGAAGAGCTCGAATAGCCAATAGAAAACGTAATCGTGAAAATCCTTTGGGAAATCGTTAAATGACGAAGAACGCTTATCCACAAATTCCCAAAACCCATTGCCATGCATCGAAGCTATAACGTCTACTTGATCCCAAGCTGATGTCGCAAAAAAGAGACGAATTGAAATTCTGATGATTCCACAAGAAAGTGTTTGCTCTACTAATAGGTAAAATCCCGTAAGGCCGAAGGGCGAGAAACGAGGGATCAGTTTATGGATTAAGATGATCGGCGACGAAAGACACTTGGCCATAAAAGGAGACAGGAAGTGAATGCTACAAGATGGGGATGCTGGGGTAAAATTTCGCAGAGTGGGCCTAATTCGCGTAAGCCATTAAGTCATTACTCAGGCTCGTTTCACGGCTGATCGGTTTGACCTAATCGTGCACAGGCGTACCCGCGACACCCGGAACCTATACGAGCTGATCATCGTTTCAACCCTCCTCTTCGGTCCTTCGCAGGACGGGTACATTTCCCCCAGAAGGAGGGTTCATTCTGCGCCGCGATTCTCGGTCAGATTTATCCATACCCTACTACCCCCGTTTCATTACTGTGACTCAAACTGATGAACGAGCTAGCTTTAACGAGGACTTTAGCGAGCCCCTTGAAATTCGAAATTCGACAGTGAGTTGTCAACCCTCGGAAGCAATTTTTCTTTTAACCTGCCCCCTGTATTTCTCTGACGTCCATGTGAAGTCAGCTGACACTGATCCAGACTAAAAGTCCTGTAGTCGGTATTCTTAAGGGTGATCGTACGATTCGTAACATACCCAGCATCTAGCCTGTAGTAGGAAATATCACAGAAAATTTGTCCTTCGCACGCAGGCATTGTATAGAGTTTCGAAAGAAAATAAAGGGGGTAAATAAAATTAAAACGAAAGCATACCTAATGACGTAACCTTCCCTTTAAAATTCGTTTCGTTAGTCGAGCTCCATTTTAGTGGGATTGACGAGGCGCTAAGAGAACCTATCTCGAAGAAAGACGCTAAGGAGTAAAGGGAACAGAAAGTGGCGACTGCGTAAAATACTCTACGGAATCATGTAGTACATATATGTATGCATCTGCTAGATAAGGGACGGAGAAAATAGATGGGTAGATAGAATAGACGGTGAGTTTCGGTAAAAGGCCCGTGAAAGCATGTCAAACTGTTACCTCACAATACATTCTAATGACTTGGCTTCTACCAAGGTCTGGCTCGACATCGTTGCAGTCTTTTTTTTCTTTCCTTTTCCCTATACTACTCAAACTGTCCTGTACCGACCAACCTACCCCTACACATTGATAAGGCCACAATAAAGTAGCGCCGCGAGCATTACCTCTAAACCGCCCGTTTCCTTTCCGCTCTATATACGATATACATATACGTGTATACTTCCTTCATACTTTTCTTTGGTAGCAGAAACCCACTTTAAATTTCGTCGATCACGTCAAACCCTACCGAAACTAGTGCAAGGAAGCCATCCCTCCTTGGTGCCCTTAAGATATGAGGGTTTCTGGTAAAATCGTCAAAATTCAATCTTCATTTACATCCACTATTGCGCTGTGAGCTTGAATGGAAAATCTCAAAGGAATTTCACTGTTCGGCACAACTCATGAAATGGCACTATACCAGGAACGATCTAGGGATTACGTATTTGACATAAAGATCAACGAGAGTAACTGACTTGAGTTACTAAAGTTGAAGTTGAAAAATTTTAAATAGCCGCGTCACTCTGTCTGCTGCTTGTAAACTAACAGAAGGGAGATGTGTTATTTTGTCGAGGTCAACACAACGTGATTTAACTTACCGCAGAATCGCTACTTTCCTGACCTCCATTTCGTCGGGGCCATACGCGACCCACCCACGACACATCCTGACAGTATGTTACCCAATATAACTTTGTTGATGTACATATATCAGAATATCGATCCAACTGGTCAACCCTTCTTTAATCTCTACGAGTACCAAACTGATGTGTCCATAAGATGGGTACGCATCAGTGATTGTGTAAATCGGAATAATGAAAAATTGTCGACGTTTCCTATACTGTAGTATCCACGAGTAAAATTCAGAGGGGTCATCTTCGTATGGCTTTTAATGCAAAGGAGTCCCCTAGACTGTAGCACAGTGATCGATGGACAGTGTCAGTCATTTTGTATCTCTTCTTAAGGAAGAACGTCATATCCTGGATAAAGACTGGGTAAAATAAAACTTTAGGTTTTTCGACAACAGTGATCTCTTTCATAGCTCCTATTCCATTCAAAGCGTGACTCGTAGTGTCCCTTTTGTTTCTTTGCAGCAAGCACGATGACGATCCAACGGGCGGCAGCAGTCACGAAGCGTCGTGAGTGCTGCGAATACAATCCCATTTTCTCAAAGTCTCAATGTATAACCATGAGGAAGCGACAAGCCGTAGGGTACAGCTATGTATTCTTAGTTCGCCTATTTTCTCAGCTTGACACTGCAGCCACTTTACCTTTGCTTCTTCTCTTCATTCTACCTGGCAGCTCGTTCATTATCCTCGACGATAAATAACGAAAATTCGTTCACGAATATAAATTGCACACAAGATGACAAGGAGATGAACGCGAAAGGAGCATGTAGAATTAATTGCTTGTCCGGTCGAAGAGCCGTCATAATTCACATGAAAAAAATTGTTCGCGCTACGCAGTAACTGCGTTGTCGGTAACCACGTTAAAAAAAAAAATCCTTTACTCGCATTAAAACCGACCTCTTCATGCTTGCAATTTTGATCGACCGAACGGAGAAAGGTTTTGCGCCTTCGGCTAGAAAGATTTTCAATTTTCGTATACTTGCTGGGAGTGCAAGAGAGACGTAACTTATGGGCATTCGCCCGGGTTAGACAAGGACGGACATACACATTACTCAAAACATAGAGCATCACATAAGAGAAATTACGTATTTCCGAAATTGACTCCACTATGAATGCATTTGGATAATAAATTTCCGTTTTATCTCCATATATTTTACGACGCATCATGTGCGCGTACAATAAAATTGGTTTTATATTAAAAAAACATACGTAAGGAGAATGCACTTTGTATTTATTAAAGTGCACTTTATCGTAGTACATTTCGGATTCCCTTTTAGAACTGGCACTGTCTTGTCTGGGGTCAATGCTTTGCTTTAGTAATATCCATGCAACTTCCATCCAGGGATTTTTTTAGCCCGTGCAGATTGTATGCACTTTTCGCCAATTTTTCCATAATGCACTGATGTACCCTGTGCATTGGTTATACCGGTCCAACCTAGCCTAACCTAACGTTTATATGCGTCCATCCCATCTGTTTGGTCCTGGGGCTTATCAGGTAGTGCGAGGAAGTTATAGGTTATAAATCTTGAATGCATCAGGACGACAGCACATAAATATTTTATATACGTATGTATTCGCGAATGTTATATAATTAATATACTCACGCGAAAAGCGTCGCGAAGCTCCTGCTCCTCTTGATCCTGATCCGTAGGCGCCACTGCACTAGCGCCACCACCGATGTTACTCACAATTTCTACGAACTCCTCGAAGCTGACATTCCCGTCCCCTAGAAAGATACGCTGGCTTAATTTCTCATGGACTGAATTATTCATATGCAACCCGCGGGCGCAAACTTAGTTTCGCACTTAGGTAACTCTTGGAAAGCCCAAGAACTGCGCGATTCTGTATCTGCATATACAGTCAATCCCCACTGTACATAAACATGGTATAATACAGTACTGCATATGGGAAAATTATATTAAATATTTTCCGTATACATATATGTATATTACTTGATTATACTTCGCAATAGACTTTTGCACATAATCTCGCGTTCTGTTCCTATTAATTTTCCATGAGTTCTCAAAGTACCCAACTAAATTAGTATCGCGCTCAGAATATGATTATATACTGGCATCATCTCTGTAAAAGGCACTAACTTTGAGTTCGCATTAGGATGCGGTAGTGCCTACGTTACAATTAAGTGCTCCGTCTACGCGGCAATTTAAGTCTCTTTATTTTCTTATGTACCTATATTCACGTCAAAGCATTCGCGACATTACGTTTATATAGATATATCAGTGGCATATATATCCATGTTTGCATTGGCGTTGACCAAAAAGTAATTGCACTTTTTTCTAATAGATGGACATACATGTCTTAAGACAAAAACAAATTATTTTTTAGCCGACCTAATGATACGGTTATTTTTTTCCTTTAGTATAAGCATATTCAGAGTGAATTTGCCACAAATCGAAACTATCTCAAAAGTATTGTTGACACTTTTCTTTAATTCCGATTCGTCGTCCCTATCGTCGTTGAATCCGTGGGAATTTGCCGTTAGGCATGCGCGTCGCAGCAGACGGTCAATTTAACAGATATGAAGGTATGAAGCGATCTTCTGTTAATGGCACGTTGATGCTGCGCGCGCACAGCGCGCAATGGGCCTCTAGCTAAATAATAAAACAGCTCTGAAAAGCCAACCGGATGTAAGACGTATAGAAACTAAAGTGGGGTTAAGGGATCGTAGACAATTTTTTATGCAATATCCGAATCAAACCGCAAGAGGGTAGGAATTTTCACGTAAACAGAAACACGCGCGTCACGTATAAAATAGCTTGGCTTCCCTGGGTCGCAGTTAACGCCAGGTTATTCAGCGTTACTCTAACAGTTACGTCTGGCACGTGCTCGAAATGCGTGCTTACGTAACGGCCGGACATCCCCGTAGGAATTCACGCTGAAAATCGATTTTCATCCGTTAAAAAAGTCGACCTACAACCGAATGGCAACTACATAACACGAATAGCACAACTATTCAGGTATGCAAGGAGGGAATGCAGGTGCGACAGGAATGTCAGTGGCAGGTGCATTTGCATCCCTAAGGAATCCACCCTCATCGGGCATGAAAATAAAACCAGTACCCTTGGACAAAGCCAGATAAAAGTGGAACTGGCATACGTAATTCACTTTGGCCATTGAAATGGGAATCCGTTGACGTTGAAAAAGTTGTAATGGGAAAAATAAAAAAACAAAGTTAAAAAAACCCTACCTCTATAAGTCGATTAGTAGTTAGTCCAAAACAGCAGGATTCATTAGTAGGTACAATTAATACAGTAAGTCACTTCGTAAACTGGTTACAATTTAAATTAACTCAGTGATGAGTTTTCGACTTAGCACTTTAATTGTAAATCGTTCGAAGGCTTTCCGATGAGATAACAACCGACTTAAAGCTTGCTGATATTTTCTTCTCGCTACGGCGCAAAGTTTCCCGGTGCTACTGTGCATTAAGGTAAGATCAAGGCTTTAGCAAGGTTTACGAGCTCACGAGCCAGAGGAACGTCTTCGTCGAAGCTCATGGGCGTTTCTCCAAGTCTACGTACCACGTACGACGTATCCCTTAGCGTAGCTCTGGTTTAGATTCTCTTAAAGCAAGTACCACCTATAAAAAGACATTGCATCAACCCTCTTCGAGTCACCGGTGCACTTTTAAATGCTATAAACCCAAGATTCATTCCAGACGCTTTTAAGCTTCGAGAAAAAATGTATATCCTCCGGTGAACCTTCATTATCATTGGCCTGACAAGGGTTTCCATTGACCGGAAAGTTTGAAAGGAATAAAAATATGCAATTAATAAAAAAAAAACAATGAACCGGTACCCTGTACATTCCTTTTATATTCATGGGAGAGCACGAACCGCCATTGGTTATATTTGAAGATAAAATGAATGAAAGAAAAATTGTGAGGAACTAGCCATAAAAGAAGCTCCCGTCCAAGCCATAGTAGTTTTGCTACACCATTAACTCAGCTGCCTTGCTCCTGTTTTCTTTTTCTGGATATTAACCAGGATCCTATACGGCTCTGTATATACGCTTTGTATACTGATAGTTATGAACTTATTTAAAGGCGTCGTCCCACGAACGTTCCTATACCATAAAAAGGGTTATATCGGTTTAAATCTCAGTTCACAGAAAAACCTTATACCGTTCATTCATTACCTCCGTAAGTAAAATCCACATGTATTGTCCAACTTCTCATACGTAAGCATCAAATAACAAAGAAAATTCAATTTCGAGCAAGAACGTCCAATGACTCTGGGGTGTCTCGTTTACCTGACTTCGTAAAAACCATCCTGTTCACGTGCAGGTAGCTAGATATACGTATATTGTAGTACGTAGTCCTAGCATCCTTTCTCTTTTGTTTTTTTCTTCTTTATTTACTCTGACGCGAAAAGGCAGCGTTTAACTCAGCCTGATGTTCAACGTACCTATATTATATATGTATATGTATAACGTTACGTGTATGCATAGTCTCATTCCATACCATATAGCAATTCACCCTTTTATACTTAGACTCCATTTTTTTTCAACCCTTCGCGTAATTATCAGACTGGCCTTTGTTTCCCAGAAGACGTCCTGGCAATGCTGGGTGGGCAATTAACGTTAATCATAAATCAGCCATGTAGGCTTACGAGGTAGAATATTTATATCTTCCTGTAATAAAGATAGTCATTTTTCAACCAAGAATTATCTGATATATGCTATTTACAAGAAACTCCGAAATTCTATTATTACGGTCAGACATTGTTGTTACGACTATGAAAATTCTGTTAACTCACGTGACACTCATACGACCGTGAATACAGCAACTTTAGTTGTAACAGTTTGATATAAAATATGATAGTAAACGTCAAGTTCATGACGTTGTAGAAATGGTACTAAGCTGAGTGACACAGTGGAATGAAAATTGGTCTAGACCGTTAAGTTATCTTTGAAGGACCCAATGAAGTTATAACGTCTGGAAGGTGTTGTCTGGCATAGAGGTTGGATCTTCTGACACGACAAAGTTTGACCTACATTGGTTTTTTAAGGATTCAAAAAAAAAAAAAAGATCCGCCGGCCCTCCAAAAGTTAACAAGGCTTTTATAATAATGGCGGAGTATCAGTCTTCGATAACTAAGAATTCTTGGTATTATATCCGGATATACCTAGCTCCAAGAGGATATAGGATTTCGAATCGGGGTGGGATGACAAGATAGGTACTCGGCGAGAAAGTAATTGCATTAGGAACCTTCCCGTGGGACATATGGCAACGACTGGGTACCTATCGCTACCTTTTGTACGTAGCTGAACTTGGTTTCAACAATTCTCACCCAGGTCGAATGCTGTCGCATTCCTTATTGTATCGGAAATTAGCTTACTTTTCTCCCTCCATGATACAAAACAGATTCCAATATCGATACCGTATATGGCGTCTTATGAAATCCTTGAAAATAAAAATAATAACAAAAAAAATACTACAGCATTCTATAAGATCCCCGATTACAATTGTCGCCCAGTTGTGAACACACTTTTAATTTCTACAGCCCGCTTGAGCACTTGCTAAATTAACTTTCAGCTGACGCTGTTGAAAATTTATTGCCAACCCACGAAGGACGTTCTATTACTAATTACAGTATTATTTATATCAGGACCCAAAGCTGCCTCGCCATTTCGTGTACTCGGACTGATTCATTTTGTGATTTCAATCAATAAGGCAATTGCTCGACTTCTGGAAATTACAGGCACGTCGTCTTTACATGTATCTATCCAAGGTACGGGTATTTACTTAGACCGTTGCCTGTGTCTGCTGCAGGCACTGAACTAAGGCTCCATTCACAGTGAAATGATGGAACGTGCTTATGCTATGTATACGTAAGCTTTGGTGGGCGATCAACTACTGAAGGACATTGGAAAGTCTTCCTCATAGCTCCCAAGCATTCCCTATTGTGATAACTTCTACCTATTGCTTCCTGAAAATGTGCTCCACGTTCTCTATTTCTCTATCCCAGTACCTCATAGGTATACTAGCTTATACATACAATATATATATAGACAGACCATGTGAGAACACTGGCTAGCTATTAAGGTATTGACGCAGTCCGATAGAGTTCCGGCAGTTTCTATAAACGCAAGATACACCAAACTTCTTGGTGAACGGAAGTTGCCAGGAGTTCATGAGGCTAGGCCAAGCGTTTTCCGGTGCCCGATACTTGCTCGCTGCTGAGTACGAGTTTATGTAAGGTTCTGATCTCTCAGGAGGGAGAAAAAGTTCCAAACAAGAGAACAGTATAGAAGTAGAATTACCATTTAGAATATTCCATATGTCTAGTCTTACGCCTAGAGTCATATTAACTTCCGGTATAAGTGTACATATCTATGTGTATATTTACCTATGATTACCTATATAACGATATACGATGACGAAATTATAAAAAATTTTACAAGAAATTTAATTCACCGAATACTTACAAATAATGCCTATCTTCTTCATGGCCTCTTGGGATTTCATTCAATTAATACCGAGTAGCCTTTATGGATGGTTCTTCTAGAATGTTCCTGTAGCCTTTACTGAAGAGCGAACGACAGTTGTTAAACGTAAACGATTCCTCTGGCTTATTCCAGCCAATAGCTTCTTAAATGAAGTCTGACAATGTCAAATCCTTCCCAATGATATTGCGTACCACGAAACAGAGTTCTAAGATGGCTGTAATAACTATTCGTAATTACGTAGTGAAAGTGAGTGCTTCTTCGCTGGACCCTGTATTTGATTGTTCAATAATAATTTATATGTTGTACCATCCTCGTTAATTCAATTATGTCAAATTCACCAGCTGTACTGTTACCGACGAAATTGACAGTATCAACACGAAACGAGATAACTCAAAAGTTAACACTTGAAACTATTCCAGGTAGAAATAATACACTAGACTAATAATAGTTGTACAGAATAACGTACTGAGAAGATAAATTTACAGTAGGACATTTCCCATAGGAATTCTATACATAGAAGAGTAAGTACAAGAATATGGCTATTGGAAATGAAATTGAAGATACTGTTAAATCCCCGTGGCATGGTTATGAGAAGGGCGGTAATTTTAAATGATGAAAAAAAAAGTATGTATGCGAGGTGGTAAGAGAAATGTAGTATTCGTATAATTTCACGGAAAAGCTCGTTTATTATGAGCTCTAGCGACTTGATGTTTAGAAAGGAGAAATTTTACGGCGGATTCACATGAAGGCAAGATCCGGCTTTATTATTTTTGCGAAAGTTCATCAGGAAGCGAATCCCTTTGAACCACCATTAGAATAAATAGTGGTATCCTTGTGTGGTTGCGATTTGCGGATTGTGACGTTATTTTTGGACGTCACAAAGGTCCCGTATTGGTTACTTCCGTTTTTCAATTTCGGGACGCATTTACGTCCCTTTTCCCAATCAAATATTACGCAACCGGCCAGGAGCTCCAGGGTCATAGGCATTAGGGAACATTAAGTTAATATTTTCGTATACAAATATTTCATACGTCACGACCACCTCACCGGACCCGAGCCATCCGGACAGCTGGAAGCCCACGGAAGAGGATAAGCAGATTGTACGCCGAGGAACGTGGAGAGCTGCCGTGTCGACCTGACGACTCCACCCTATAAGGGACCCTACCCGACAAAGAAGACGGAGGGTCAACCCAAAAGGACAGCGCCATGGACTCCACCCTACCTATCATTTTATATCGTTAATGCCGGTAGTCCCTAGTAATCGGACTAGTAACGAAGACGAGGAGGTCTCGAGTTCCGCGAGACTCCTCGTGCTGAAGATCAACGGGCCCCTGCGCGGAGCACCGTAACTGGCTTGCCATAGGAGGCAGAAACCACCAGACCTACCGGAGTCATCAGGATCTCAGCCATTATCGCCGAGGACAGGGCCGGGATCTCATCGCCGCCAGAGGCCACTGGACACCCCGAGCTACGGCAGCGAGGCTGTGACTATGTTCCGCGTGGCTAGCGAACAATATATATATATTTATATATATATATGTGTGTGTGTGTGTGTGTGTGTGTATTATAGATATATATTATGAATATATATATTTATATACGTATATAAAGTGCTGCACTGCATAGCATATCTTAGCATAATCATAAGATATCATACCGCTCCTCGATTCTATTTACTTTCATTATCATCCCTGAACCATAGCAGGATAATAACTTAAGCAGATTCCTTTCCCCCTACGTCCTTATAATTTCTTTCAGTACTTTCTAGCCCCTAAAGCTTACCCATCCTGCGTGAAGAAAGCAGCGAAGAAAAAAAAAAAGATAGGTACGTGTCTGCCAACTTACAACCCTCATTGTTCATCCAGCCTGAGACTAAAAATCCAGTCGAGTTTTTTAAGAGGTTGCATTTTATCATGTGCTTTACTTATTTATCGCCCTTATGATTTATTTTAACGAGGTATTAGCAAGGAGGTGGTTGAGAAATTTCGCCAGAGTTCAGCGGACAATAATTCTGCGATACGCTTGATTTTGGACAAATGGTAATTAAATGTTTGTATCTGTGATGTTCGTTTGACAATTCATTAAAAAAGGAATAATTTATTGAACTCGGTCGACTGATCAACCACGAGATGATTTCCCAAGTATTTTAACGTATCAGGGCCACCGGGTTAAGAAATTTCTTCCTTTGATATAAACCTTGTCGATTTGGACTCCTACGTAGAAATTCTGTAGGGAAAGGATCTTGGTCGATCATTATTTTACAGTTTACATTTAATGTCGTTATAGATAATAACAATTTGTCAATGAGGATTTGGGCAAGAAAAATTCATGGGTTGTCTAGCCCTTTAATTAATACAAAAATCTATAATGGGTGCCAAACGGATCCACCAGTTTTTTCTTTACGTGTTCGAGGCGTCTTTCAATACGCCGCTTTGCGAATCTTTTTCCGCTGTGAGTTGCAAGAGGTGTCGCCCCGTTCTTCGGTTCCTGCTTTTCCGGAGTAGGTGGTGCGCGGGTTCAGGGGTGCCGGGTTCGGGGACCGCTAGAAGGCGGGTCGACCATATTGCCAAAAGAAGGTGATGGGGGGTGTTTCACAGACTGGTGCAGGGGTTGTGGTTGTAGGGCTTGTTGGGGTCAGGTATGAACGTTGCGTTCGCCAAATGGATGGGACCGGCGGAAGCTCGAGGAAAGGAGGTAGGTAGGTACCTTGCCACTTCAGGAACTCACCAGTTCCTGTTCGGTCAGTCGGGGCAAGACTGACTGATTTTACCCCGATTCTTCGAATTTCTATACCCTCCGAATAGAAGTTACCGCGCGATCATCCCCTTGGTGATAACATCGCAACAATCAAACTTTCAAAATGAATTTTGCCAACGGGTCATGGAACTTTTAAGGGGCTATGCGGGTTCGCGAGTTGTTATGCAGGCAAGGTTCTTTATATTTTCTAACGGGTAACGCGTTATTGTGGATTTCACGGGCTTTATGCACGATTGTTAAAATTAGGTTAGAATCAATGGACTAGCGTGTATGTAATGTATACGTATTACTACATGAAGTATTTACTCACCATCGATGTCAATTTCCTGGAGCATAGTGTGAAGTTCCTCAGCCCTGGCGAATTGCCCGAGGGATCGCATTACTCGGCCAAGCTCTTCCTTGGTGATACTCCCGTCACCATCCTTATCGAATAGCCTGAACGCTTCTCTGAATTCTGAAACGAGAAAACGTCGACCCTCGTCAGAGCGTGCGAGTCGAAAACCAGCCTGTTGATTCGATATGACATCAATGGGAAAAGCCGATGAAAAATTCAATGCAAACATAACCTAACGACAATTGTCGTAATCGCTAGTGACACCACGGAAAATATTTAAAGGTTATGTCTACCGTTACTGAATTCATATTAAATTTCGTATTAATAATATTCTATTCGATAAAAGAAATATTCTTTAATTATCCATACAAATTAGCAGTACTATTCCAAACACGCACCGAAGATATTAGTTTGAAGATTCGTAGAGATTTCTTGCTGGAATTACTGACTGACAAGACGGTGCTCTGGAGTAAGTTAAATAAGAGAAATGAAAGAACAGGAAGGAAGAAAGCGACTCGATGGTAAAAAAGATAAAACGCTATATGCACAGCGAGTGGCCATACGATGCGAATCCGTATCTACACACCGGAGGTACTCGGTGTTCTCGTGTAAAGCCATTTCAACGTACAATTAGATTTGCATCTGCGGGCAAGAGGAAGTGACATGACCGTCTAATAGCCTCATTTCGTGGACCGTTGCGCTACTGCCATTGTAGCATTTCTCCTCTCTCTCAGTTTGAAACGACCTGTAGTACCTACTCACGGCGTTCTCTGTTTTGCTAAAGATTGTACATAGTTACTTTTTCCACAAGACATTCCTAAAGGCTCCTCTACACTGCACGTACATTTTCTCTCGCATGTACTAGGCACCTATTGCTGAACGAAAACATCCGACTGACATTTCCCAGAACAACGTTGCACCGCTGTAGTGTTGGTAGTAACAAAACATATAGAGTAACAGCATTAACAAAGCAAGTAGTGCTCAGTGCCATGCTGACTGTAAGGAAGTATTCGTTTCCTGGAGAAAAAGGTCAAAGATGAAAATCAGTAGAGTAAAGTAATAGAATTATAAAGAAACATATTTCATTAAAATTCCAGCTCAAGGAGTATGAAAAATGTTGTTTCGAAGTTTTCTTTTATTTCTTCTTTCTGAAAATAAGTATAAGGGAGGAAAAGCTGCTTTTCTACGTACAAAAGGAAATAAAAGAAATAATACACCAGGGTACCAGGTTGGTATCTTTCGGATTTTCTGTTTCACCTTTTTTTCTTTCACTTCCTTTCATCCCCAGGTCAGGTCAAAAACCTTGGAGAGATTTTGCGCCTCTGTTAGAAGGCAAGACAGATTTCCTTGGTAAAGGGATATAATTCTCTATGGGGTTACACGAGGATTACTCCCACGACGTACTTAAACAATGGCCAGTGATTCGTCGTGAAAGGGATGCGGGCTCTGATTCGGAGTCTCTTCGTTTGCGCACTGTTATAATGTTTTCCTTGGTGTCTCGCTATAATAGCCATACTCAGGTCCCTGTCGTGTTAAATTTCGAGGTTGACCTAGGCAATAAATTGACTGTGATCTATTACTAATCCCACCGTGCTCAGTGAGATAGTTAACGAAACCCATGGTTAATTAATGAGAAGGTCGCTGGCTCTAATAGGAGAATCTGAATGGCGACTACAGTAAGCTTCCTTTGTCCATTAAACCTTAGGAGCTTGAGCCCGTTGCATCAAACTGCTTCCGGTGAAGATTTCCAAACTGAACAAAGACTGATATAACAATTTTGCATATTCTGAATAGATAATCACGACGTGACATATGTGCATGCATGATTCCAATATTGGCACTGAGACTCCACGTAATATTTACCCTTCATCTGCGACTTGGAGATGGCAGGCAATCTACTGGAGGAACCGGAAACGGAACGTTGTGGCGAGGCAGGCAAAGTGAAGAGAAGGTTACTGGTGAGTCTCGTCGCTCCTGAAGGAGTGGTCGTTGTCGTCATAGCTGCTCCCATCGTCGTAGTCCCTGACGATGTTACGCATCGATGAGAATCTTCAGGACTGCCAGGTGTCTCCTTGCTCGTAAGGGAGGCGTCCGTTTCCGGTGGCAACGACGTGGACGTCGTTGGCGAGACAATTGGCGACCCGGAGGATCCTCCAGCCATTTCCTCATCTCCGTTGTTAACAGATACCCCACTGCTTTGACGGGTCTGGAAGAAAACAGAAATCTGTCGTACTCTGGTATGAATTGAGTTATTCGACGGATCACACTGGGTATTGGTCTCTCGTTGATAAATATTGATGTCATGGATTGGTAAGCTCTTGAAATAATTCCATTGACCTGATTACAGTCCGGCAATCAGTGCTGAATTTTCATAGGAAGAAAAATATATCAAATGCAATTTATTAAAGTTTTAATTTCATTTTTCTTCTCGATGAACAAACTTAAGTACATCCATATTTACAGCATTGCGTATACGTTATCTGTATGGTTATATGAATTTAACGTGAGAGATATCAGCTGTGTCTGTGCATGAGATTAAAAAAGAAAAAGTGTGGATACAATCGGTAACTAGAAATTCCGATGGTTCTATCGTAAAAGTGAAATGCTCCACTTTAACGATAACAGGACCGTTATGTTAGGCTGCGTTATTGCTCGGTGAATTTCTGTATCGTCGCGATTACCAGTGATTGGAAAAATCTTGTTAGGATTACGGAAGCCAAGATCAACCTGCAGAATATTCATGACGATGCATTGGGATTACTAAAGTAGAATGAGTCATATAATATTCTAGCTTTATATATGTATATTATATGCTGAGTAACGATCTCAATGTGCAACTCAATTACATGTGATTTGATCTCAAGGAAAATAAAGGGTTTCAATAATCCCAGCTATTCGTTGTCTACAGGATGGATACCGTTCTAAGGAAGCTATTGCCGTTGCCAGGATAGCTAGGCCAGGAACCCACTGCCTACTGTAGGCGCCACAGGTGGCTGATCCTGTGAACTGAATGAGTTCCGATAGGGATATCCTCTGAACACAGAATCCTCGAGCTTTCATGGGTTGGATCCGATTAAGAGGATGATTTACATATCGACAATATATTTGTAGAATAACAAACTGTATTTAAGAATAGAACGAACAGAGCAGCTACAGGTGGCTGATGCCAGTACTGAGTGTATTTGAAATAAATGTCTACTGTATTCAATGAAAAAAAGGCCTATCAATATTCTTTAAATAATAATGAAGAATCAGTATTTTATACCTATGTACATTTTTCATGACTGGATTATAATTTTATCTTTGAGTCGCGTCCGGAACTACTGAAAAATTAACTGGAGAAATGTTAAGCCGCGCTTAGAAAAAAGCGTCGCGACAACGGGTTAAGCTACAGGTGGCTAATCCAGGACTTGAGTAAATCCTGATGTAAACGAGCTTAATATGCAACGACCCTTTGTTTCATCAGTCCCACTTCTTCGGGGATGGTGACGTTATCGTCTCTTGGAAGTGAACTTCCTGGCGAAGGCGTTACTCTTTATCTTCCATGACATGGTCTACTATTTGGAAACGTTCTAGAGTGTCCTGAGATATAGCTTTCCACTGTTGCTTGACTCCTGAAGTAGTTGGAATAATCAGGATGAACTCGTGTTAAAAAGTAGATGAAATATTTTAAAAGATACCTTTTTAAATGGATTGCCACGTTAACTGAACAAGATTTTCAGTACTAGAAAACATCCTGACTGGCAGTACGACGCGTTCTTCTAACGTGTTTTATGCACAAAGTTAAAATGAAAATTATTGTAGTCTGTAGAAAATATTCATCTTCTTTTCCTGGGAAAGAAATCGTATCGATCCTTTCCCAATCGCGTTTGGTACTTTCGTGTAAAATTACGGTATATGGTTCTCCATAAACTCACCATGTAACAAAAAAGGAAAAACCTCAAGAAAGGAATTGCGAAATATATGGAGGAAGAGTATAGCTAGCCGTAAATCGTTTGCTATGTGTTTTCGTAACTGGCAATCGAACGAAACTTGTTCGAGCCCAACGATAAATAATATCTTTATCCAAGATATATATGAATGAGCATGCACCAATCCGAATCCTACAAATTCCACTTTCTCATTGGGATATCTTATATATGGTTTACTGGATACATATGCTACATACACCCACCATTCAAGATTAGAATGATTGCGGCTTTCCTGAAAATAGGTAAAGAGAAAAAAATATTAGAAATACAATTTATATTCATAGAAAGCTAGAGTTTCAGAAGTATTGAAGTATTTTAGTTTCGCTTTTTTTTTTTATGAAAATAATTTTCCTAGTAGAATTATTCTGCTTGGTGAATTCGATCGGAATTGACAAGTTCTTTCGTAATGTATTATTATTCTATCATGACATTGCCAAAGACCTAATAAGTTTTTTATGCAAATTTTAAATCGATTTAGAGAGTAATCCTTAACTGGGTATAGGTAACTACTGTTCAACTGTTTGATTATTTTAGTATTATTACGTAGATAAAATATGGTTAGATATTAGTTCGATCTGTCATTCAAATGATACTAAATATAGTATGTGTAACATTTTAGTTCAGAATTAGTAATTGTATAACTTTGGACGATTATAGTACGGTTAATAATTTGCCGATGGAATGTGTGGAATATATAATGGATATTTAATAAAATATTCCAATAAATTCCAACAGCCACATTACAACAGGTATTCACGGTTTATTAATTCATTATCGAAATGCTATACGGCTTGATTAAACGCAGTAAGTGCTCTGGATGGGATCAAATTTTATTACACATTACATTAAACGAATTTCGACAAAAATTCACTCATTTGATTATGGCTACTTGATTTATCAGATATATCGAATTGGGATTCTAAAAGTTTAAAAATAAAGTCACTCAACAATCAATTTTTCCGATTTTCTCTTCGCACCACCAATTATTTATCTGATGGGACTATTGACAGATACGTCACTACTTCGGTAATTTTATACATAAACGAAATATATTTATATTTTATACCTTTTCAATTATAGTCATTGCAGATGACAACAATATATAAAAGTCAAGTTCAAAATACACGTAACTTTTAGCTTAGGGTCATATCTTGTAATTTAAAACACAATGTATAAATGATAATGTAAAAAAATACCAGTAAATATTCAGAAGACAAGTTTTTTCAGCTAACAAAGATAAATTCAAACATAATCTGAATTTCGTAATCTTTTAGAAAAAAAAGAAAAGAAAGACAGTAAGGAAAGAAAAATCTTTTCCAACCTTTCGCTTTTTCTTCGACGTGAAATGTAGTTGAATCCAAGAAACACATCGCCTCTCTCGAATTCTCATTTTCTTCAGATTTCAACATTTCCTTCCTGCCTTTTTCCCCTTCGTCTTCTTTTCTTTTTATTGGATTTGCAAAGAGACGCGAATCCTTCCTGGTTTAATTTATCCCGAGATGACTAGGCCAATTTTTCCTATGTTTCTTTTCTCAGGGGGTTCTTCGACACTCTCTGTCCATGTGTACTATGTGTATATACATACAATCCCACATAAGACACAAATATTTCCTATCGTGTGACGCACAACCCCGCTATACTGTCGGCTCCTAAATAAGTCAATGGGGAAATCGTTCTTCCTTCCATTATCAAAGTTTTCAGGGAGCACTTTGCGACTCCTTACTTACAATTTCTCTAGCATGAAAGTTCTTGGCAACAGAAGACTTTAATGCTTGGAAATTGAGCTTGATTTGCCAAGGGGTTTGTTTTACGATTTGCTCGTTCTTGCTTTTATAGTATATATATATATACTCTATACCATAGTGAATTGTATACAGACTTATAGTACTTGTATTCAAGATACACACACAAATGCAAGACTAACGTCACCATTAGCCAGCCCCGTTTTGCTAACAAAATTCCGTTTACCTACACCCTGATTACAGACACTCCTGATGGTGAACTTTACAAGCAGCACTTTTCTTGCTGTATACTGAATTTACAGAGAAACGTAAATTAAGCAGTGCCTATTAGAAAGGATCGAGATAGCCCATGATGGTCCTATAGAATTATTTAATTATTAAAGACCTGATGAAATCCTTGTAACTACCCTTGTTCATGCACTTTCTCTTACTTTATTTTATGATCCCCACGTTGATTAATAAAAATGTTAAAATCAAAACTTTATCTCGTGATGATAACAAATTTGACCTTAATAATTTTTCTAGTCAAAGAACTTCTTTACACAGCATCATTTTCTTGAGTAATTCTTATTATAGATCACGTGGCTCTCTAAGTGTAAATTTAATTACAAACTAATAGCAACTCATTTATAAAACTTGTAACGAAATTAATTGAAGGAGAAAAATTAATTCTCACTCGATTCTTCCTACACTTAAAGCTCAGGCAACTCGAATAGGCTTATTGTTGATTACAGCTTTTTCCCTCGTGAATATCCTTCAGCCGATAGACGATTCTGAAGGTTCAACGTGAAGTTTGTATGGTAGGATTGACACCCTCCTTTTCCACCAGCCACTAGAATTAATCGCATTCCTGTTAGACTGTCGTCGCTTGTCGTTCGGCCTTGTTCTTTCTCTCTTCTACCATTGTTATCTGCCAATCCTTTTCCACCTTCTCTTCGTTCTACTCGAGGTATCACGGATTAAAATCCCATTGCAATTAAATTTCTATCACTCTTCTTCGTAGAAGACCTTTTCCCATCCTTTCGGGATACTCCAGTCCTTCTTCTTTCAGGACTGAAAACTTTGTCACCTTCTGTATGCGAAATTAGCCTTTCAAATTGCACAAGAGTTTTTATCTCCAATGGATATTCTTTTTATATAGGAACAAAGGGATTCCCAATGAGATCTACCTGGGGGACAGTCTTAAACATTTAACCAAGAAGTCAATCCCGAAGAATTGTTTAAGTCAGACAAAGTTTTTGTATCTCGTACGAATTGTTACTGTAAGAAAGAGTAACCTTCTTATGAGACTCGAGGTTGACTGTTAATTGAAGTCAAAAATACGGACTGTATTTATAATGCATCCGATATGATATATTCTATATAAATACATAATTAACTTATTTTTGCGAATGTCCAATTAAAATGAAAATCAATTAGTAAATTGTAAGCCAATGCAATCACTCTGGTTACACAATCATCCAGGATATAGCACACAAAGTTTTGGACATTAA